GGTTTCGTAGTCCCAAGGTGTGTGATTTTTTTATCCATACCATTTTTTGGCAATATTAGCAATGAAGAACCCCGTTTCTCGATTTGGTCACTACTGCCTTCATTCATGACACATCGCTTGTTGCAGCGTTGTTACGGCCGCGTACCAGGAACATAAGGGAGCGAGCACGGCCCGGCCAGCATTGACCTGCGTGCCGAGCCTTCAACAAGCCGCCGGCTACTTGAAAGATGATCCGTCACCCCTCCACCACTATCCATACGACGTGGCCGATCTCAAAGACTTTATCGTGGGTTGTGTTAATCGAATCAAAAACCTCACTTTGTTTTAGTATTGCGAAAAAGGAGGGCGCCCAAATAAGACAAGCTCGTGTGAACCGTTACCACTCTGTATCGACGGCAACAAGACACTGTGGGCAATTGGTTAGGCAATGATATTTGGTTGTAGTCCCACTTCTCCACTCACATCGGATGAAGTGAATCTGGCATCGGAATGTGAATTGCCATGCAAGTATCAATATGGTCGAATGGAGTACAACGACTGTGTCTTTCTCGACATTGTCAATGCTAGCGCTAGGAAGTTCTACTCGGCCAGGCGTGCAATGGTATTTTCTCATTTCAACATTTCACTCTTGTTTTAGTCGGGTCCATATGCCGAATTGATGGATGAAGAAGAAAATGTGAAAGTGCACATTGTACCCAGTACCAGCCAACCACCGGCTGAAACGAGACACTCTCGCCAAACGGACAGCGGAGAAAAGATTCGATATCCCAGATGCATCAATTCGATCAAATTGTCGGCAAGTTTTGGTTAGCTTCTGGTAGTTACGTCCAGGGCCGTAACAAACCCAAATTTCGGGGGGGGCGACCCCAAAAATTTTTCACTAATATGACTAAAACTACAGCGCCACAGGCAAAATTTTTGATAACATAGGGTTTATAACACTCAACTAGTGTTAAAAATAGCCAAAAACAGCGCCGCAGGCAAAAAATTTTTTGGAAAAATTAAATCATAAGGGTCCCCCCTTATGAACTTTTCGGCCTTCGGCCGATTTCGGGGGGGCGGCTCGCCCCCCTCGCCCCCTCTTACGGGCCTGGTTACGTCCATAGAGTAAAAAAACTTCATTTTTTAGCCAGATGATCGCAAACGGGTTGAAAAGGATTTGATGCTGAACTGCGCGACAAACATCTTCGTGCAGACACTTGGTGATGAGGGACTGATCATTCAACCGCCACTCTGTGATGGGGACGACGATATTGTGGGAATTGGCTTCATGTTAGGCAATCTTTACCCTTTACAGCGTATCTGCTGGAATCGCACCGTACCTGGCATGGGGAATGGCACTTCGTGGACTCCAGAGGCAGAGACTCTTCCGTATTGGCCGTACGGTACGTCTAGACAGGGTGGTAGCGATCCCCGATTTTTGGGGCGGGCAACTCCAGAAAATTTTTTTTGGTGACGTATAAAAACGCTCAAAATCGGCGCCGCAAGCCAAAATTTTTGAAAAAATTATGCCCATGACAGTAAAAATAATCTAAAAAAGCGCTATAAAAAGCGCCGCGGGATGACCCGACGCTGCAGTAGCGGAATGAGAGTTCCAACATTCGAAAGCGCTTGAAATGGCGAAAGGCATCAATCCTTAGCACCTTTTTGTAAATATTTAGTCACGTCATTGATCGCGAGTTTAGCAACATTCGGTCCGTTCGGTCCGTTTTTTCGACTCTCAGGTTACGAAAACTCTAACTTTTTCAGCTGGCGGAGTTGTTGTATTTATCACGCTTCTGATTGTCGGCGCAACTGCATACATCCTGGAGCAAAGGTGAGATTTAATTGAATCCCTGGCGGAAAAGAAATCATTTTTGCTCGGTGGGTGAAAGATGAGCTTAAAAGCTTCGGAACTTTGAAACCAGGACTTTCAGCCCGGAAATTTTCTGATTTTTTCTTGCAAACAGCTACGCAACCAGCAAAAAATTCTGCACAAGATTGGCTTGGTCTTGCACGAATTTCTATCTAGACCAAAACAAGTGTAAGCGACCATACCCCGCGTTGCAGAAAGCCGTAATAATCACGCCAGCAATTACCCTATTGCCCTACAGCCACCGTCTTTTGGAAATATTCGTTTACTTTTAGGAAGCACTGGTTCTTCAAGCTCCGCGCCGTGCCGTTACCGGCGTTCGAAATGGCAGAAAACATTGTGCTCAAACGACAACTGATTGTCGGGAATTGGCTGGAAAACTTCGAGAAAGTGGTAGCGGATGGTCTGCGCGCGAGTTTGTAGCTTGCATTCGAAATTGCAATCCTTTCATTACTCAAAGACCGACTTTTTTGAGTCAGGATCCCCGGTTTCTACGGCAAATATAGGTTTGCAACACGTTTCTACGGCAAATACGATTGCTAATTGGGAAAGTTTGCGCGGTAATTTGAAACTAGACAAAGTTCACCATCGCATTTCATTTGAAAAATGCAGCATTCGATCGAGGAACCGAAAACTTAATAAACTATGCTAACATTGCCCCGGGGAAAGCGCCTTGGGCGCTTGCGGAAGAAATTCAGGTTTGAGTGCAGTTCCCAGGTGACCCCCAACTTATGTATCTCGGCTCCCTGTCGGCCTACCGGTGTGTAAGTATACGAAAATGCTCGCCTTGCTCTAGAGAGTATTTTGGTTTACTTTACGCACTGGTTGGATAACGGGGAGGTTTGGCAGTCGCCTGATCGAAAATCTCCTGGTCGAAAAATCGCCTGAACGAAAATCGTCTGATCGAAAAATCGCTTGATCGAAAATCGTCTGATCAAAAATAATTCAAAAAATTAAGGTTCTTCTAGGCTTCTAACATGTGTTAAAACTACTTTTTGAGTTATTATCGATTAGACAATTTTCGATTAGACGACTTTTCGATCAGGCGATTTTCGATCAGGCTATTTTCGATGAAGTGATCGAGAATCACAAGAAGCCGAGATACGGTAGGTGGGGGGGGGTCCGTTGGCGGGGGGGGGGGGTAAACTGCACAAGCCGAAATGCACGTTTCAAGACGTTTAGATCAGCGGCAAGCCACCGCCCGTGAAACCAGGGACGCTACGATTCGCGACCAATGGCCATATCGCCTATCAAGTCACCAAATCCGATCAAGTTCGTCAATGTTTTTTTTTCTCGGAAGGCTCGCTTGGGCGGAGAAAGAAACAGGGCGTAACAAAGCTAAACTACTGCAATCCACAAAAACCAGCACAGTAGGATTGCAGAAATATATACAACCCAACTTCAGAAAAAATCGAAATTTAGACAAATTTAAAATTGCCGAACTTTGCAGAAACTGGACGCAACTGTCATCGAAATGGAGCCGACCCCAACCAAACCGAAAATGGCGACGCAAGGAATTGTGAAGGTCGTTCGTTATAATGCTATACTGAATCGCCGACCATTTTTACTCTCGGAAATTTTGACTTGGATCAAGTTGGCTGGAAAATAGCTTATCTGTATACATAAGCCGTAGAAAGTAGAACCTGATGTTAATCATATTAAAGCGCGGCCCTAGAGTTTCGACGGTAAAGAAATAAGCCACTTGCTTTGGTCTCCTCAGAGCGATGTCGGCAACGTCGGCGAAGGAGACGAAGGGAATCAACAGCTCAAGCCACCTGCAGCTAAGCCAATCACCATTAAGCCAGAAAGACTGGCAGCCACAGCCGGAAGCGAGCTTAGCGGGACTGAAGTTGCGAAAAAATTCTTGCAGCGATTGGCAGATGAAGATTTGGTCTCCATGTCCAATCGAGAGGTCGGGGTTGAATCGGTTAATTGTCACCCCATCTTCTAGCCATACATCGAGTTTGACCAGGGGGAACTCACCACCCTATTCGAGCACGCGAAAAAGATCGTCATGAAGCGCGGTCCCGTCGGGGTGTTGCACATCACCGGCGCCACCTGGGTCATTGGCGACATCCATGGCGACGTGAGTTTCTACACGGGTGAGCAGCGAAAAGCGTTATATCGCACTCAAGTACACAATTTGATAAGGTGCTTTTTTCCATCATCCTGCAAACGGCCTGAGCTCATGCGGTAGAGAATTCGGTTCTGAACAGGGCACGCTTGTTCATCTTGGCCAAAGGGTAATACGTGATTTTATAGAATAAAAAGACGAAAAATAACTGCTGGAGGAGAACTTTTCAGAAACCCGAATTTTCAGAATCTCAAAGTTCAGAATCTTGAACATTAGAATTTCGATTTCTCAAAAGCTGCAGGCTGCGGCTGCAGGAATTGCAGCTTACGCCCTGCATCCAGCTGATGGCAACTTCGAGATTCTGATAATTCGAGAGGACAATTCAAGATTGTAATTTTCGATTCCCTAATTCAAAATTCTGATTTTCGAGATTTCGATAGATTCCCTCGGAGGAGCATGACCGCCTCGCGAACCGTAGCTCCCTTGTGCTCTCCCCAACACCATCGATTATAGCCCAGTGGCCTAGCCGGTTCCCTATGAAACTCTTTTGCTCCGGCTGCGAGGTGTCGATTTCTTTTGCGTGTTTGCAAAATAAGGAATCAGGCCCGAAATAAATCGACTTTTTGAGACGGGGGCAAGAGGACTCGAGGCCATTGCGCACCCAACGACGTATCAAACATAGCCTTAACGACTCTTTTATTGTGATTTTTACTGGAACACGCTTACGAAAGTTGCATGCGAAGTGGCACAGACACATATAGACACCATTTTTTTATATATATAAAATGATCACGAATTGCCATTTTACTAAATAGAACAAGTGCAGTTTCTTCAGAACTGAATTCTCTATCGAATGGGCGGCTATCAAGCCGTTTGCAGACAGGCCCAAAAAGCACACCTTGTTAGTTCAACACCATCGCTCGCGTCTTCAGGGCTTACTCAACGGATGCTACGCCAGGACAAAAGTCAGTATATCGCGAATGGGGCGCCGCTAACATAAGATAAATATGACCGCGCTGCATGTTTAGAATGCTGTTCCTGGGCGACATCATAGACCGAGGAAAACGCCAAGTGATGTCGCTGTTGCTCGTCGTATCTGCTTTCGTCCTCTACCCGGAGACGGTACGTGCGGAACTTGATGTTTGGATATTACTGTCTAGAAGGCGAGAGAGAGCGAGCGAGAGAAAGAGAGAAAGAGAGAGAAAGAGAGAGCGAGAGAGAGATAAAGACAGAGAGATAGTCATTACCTTATTATAAAATCGTGTACATCACTTTTTGAGGCTGATATTAAATTTGGTGACATCGTTTTCGACGCTCCATGGATAGAATTTTCATAAAATAACATATGATTATCATCAGGCTAAACTTTACTTTACCCCCCCCCGGCTGGAAGTTTTTGGCTATAACTTTTTTATTTTACATTATTGTAGGCTGAAACTAAAACTTTTAGTATATTTTTTGAAGCTCTATCGAATGGTTATGCATAAATCCCGATAAAAATAGCGAAAATTTACCTGTAATCAATACAAAATTTATTTCCAACGCCATCATTGGACCCCACCCCCTCCTCTTTAGGCAATTCTTTTGCCCCCCGCCCGTTTGGCAAATCAAGCCTTCACTGCTATAAATACAATTGTAAGCAGTTATAAATGGCATTTCATTCACGCCATTACTCACGGTGTTCTGGTGTTTCAAATTGTAAGATTGCTTCAGGTTTTCTACCTGACCGGCAACCACGAATCGTCATATGTACACTGTGATCACGGGTTCTGTGACGAGCTCCAGAGCGCCGGTTATAAAGGTTCCGTGTATGTCGCAATGCGCGGCTTCTTCGAGTGCCTTCCGGTCGTTGCCGTGCTCGATAAGCGTATCATCGCCATGCACGGAGGACTGGGTCGGTTTTTTTTTACTTGAAGTCCTCATTGTTATTGGGTTGGTACAGATCCGCCGACAAGGAGTGGTTTTTGAATAATCTTTGAGTTTTGGGAACTTCGAGAGTGAAAGAGAGCGAGAGAGCGAGAGAGAGAGAACCAGGCCTACAGGGTGTCTTATAAAAAAACCCCTCGGCATTTGTCCGCCTTATTTCCGACCGAGCTGAAATTTTTAGGAGTGGTGCGGACAGCCAAACTCTACATAACGTGCTTACTTAGAAGCGCTAGGTAGCCGGATACGGGAAAAAAAACGCGAAAAACATCCTTAAGCAAACAAGCAGCCATTGGAACATCAGAACCATGGCCCACGTCAATGGGAGTGGCGAAATGGATGGAGAAGCGATTGAACTTGTCTTTAGAAAAGCATGAGTCTCTTTTATTTTTTATAACGTTAATCTGTTGAAAAATGCTACCGCTTTACTAGCAAACGCTTTGGGGTTTATGCCAATTTCGGATGTAAATTATAATGATGTAATGATTGGATGGATGTAATTTCGAGCCGAGAAACCGAGCGGCTCGAATTTCAGCTCGGTTTTTCGAGCCGTGATTTTTTCCCAATACGAACCCCGCCCCCCCACCCCCTCCGCCCCCGATATAAATCGAGTCCCAACTATAGCATATCAGAAATCGTTTGACAAGTTGACTTTCGTAGTTCCCGTTACCGCCCTTTTTGTCGATCATTGCAGGACCCGAGATCACAGCTGAAGAACTTCGCCGAGGTTTCGATCCGCAGGACGGCTTGAAGCACTGGCTGATAGAGGCAATTACTTGGAGTGATCCAAGCTACCTCGTGCAAAAGTTGGTGGTTTCGGTTTTTTCGCCCTGACCGACGAGCAATCGACTGACCAGGGAACCACCAGGGCTGGTCATTTTGGGGGCAGACCTAGACCCGGACTTACCCTAATTTACATGGGTCCGACCGCGTCCGAGTCCGGATGGGTCCGAATGGGTCCGGGTAGTCTGGGTGCTGCGGTCCGGGGTACCGCAGATTTCTTATGCTATATGCCTTGATTCGGATTAAAATTCAACGAGCCAGAGCATTTTGTACAGGGGCAGTTCAAATTTGCATCATAATACAGACTTGATAAAAAATTGTGTGTTTAAGCTATTTGGCAAAACACCAAACGGATTTGGAATTACCAAAAAAATTCTGCAAAAGATAGACTAGGTCCCATTTCGGCAAGTCACGTTGGCTGTGCAAGGATCCCTTGTGGGGGCGGAGGGTGCAGGCAACATGGAAAGTAAACGAAATGAGAATAATCGCGATTTAGCTATGAGCTGAACAAAAGTCGAAGTGGCGGTTGGTTCTTCGGCCTTGAGGCCATCGAAGAGGCGCGCCAGAAACTCGGCATCCAGTTCATCGTGCGTGCACACCAGGTTTGTTGCTGGCTCCTTAACTTGGGCTGCTGTTTCCAGACACAGGGATAAATTATGGGACATTTGAAGCTGGGATTGAAATGCCAGTTTTCGATATTTGCATAATTTTAGGCATTTTTAAAACGCCACTCGAGAGCATCAAAAATATGCTCTGAATTCCAATTTTAATTAAAAAAATTAGTGTTAAATGGTTATAGGAAAAAGAAGATTTAAACGTGGTTTCCAAACAGGAACTTGGGTAGGAAGTTCGTTCTAGACATTTTCGATACGTTCCCAAAATTCTTCAGCGGAATCCGATAGTGTTAAAAATACATACAAGCGTTATTCCGTTCCTTTATTCCGTTATATGGCGTCGTACGGGATTACGGGGAAAAAAAAACCCTTTTTTCCACTATAGGAGATGAACACCGGTGTGAGATTCTTCGGAGATTGGCTGATCTCGGTGTATACAGCATGCTGGCGAGGTTCTTACTCGGACGACGGGGGGTGGGAAGAACGAAGAAGGTTGATTATCGAGCAGGACGAGACCAATACCCCGGTAGGGATCCAGTCGCGGAGGTTTTCGTGGTCCGCTCACCGAATGACCTGGTCGAACTTCTTTTCAACGAAGTTTAGGCCACCGAATTTTCATTTGACCAGACCGTAAACTGGCCAAAAGTTCATTTATGGACACCATCCCGAAAAATTTGCATGGGAAAACGTCATTAGCATGGAAAAATAACTCCTTTTCTCGCGCAAATTTTTCGGGATGGTGTCTTCTAGGTATAGTTTTCCTTTGCCCGTGCGTTCCTCCATCCGAATTTCTATTCCATATTTTTCGAATGGCCGAAAAAATTAACAAAACATCGTAGCCCGAGTCTTTTTCTCTAGCATTTTCGCGATTCTAAGAACGTCCTCTTCGGACCATTATCTAGGCAATCATTTATCCTACTATCGTATTTCGTCTAATGCGGCAGCACTTTTCCTCTGTTTGTCATCGGAATCAAGGGATCAAGGGATCAGAAGGGTCCAGGTTGAAAAGCCGCGAAGCGGTTTTCAATTCTGGTTTTAACGGATTTTAGCTAGACACTCATCAAAGGTAAGGTTGACTAGTTTTCGAAACTTGAAACTTAGAGACCTTGGCAACTTAGAAATTTTTTCACGAACCATGGGAGCGTAGCTTTGCCTTTTTTATTTAAAAGCATTGCTCTTTTGAACGAGATTTTAGTGTAATTTCAACCAAGACATCCGGCTGTGTTTAAGGAAATTGGCGGCGTGCTGGTGTATGATGGCTGCGAAACGTTCAAGATGATCCACTTCGTGCCCGTGCAAAAGCCCTACAAATGTATGTCGTTGCAATCCGCATCTTTGGCGAATTTTTTTACTTTAATCTTTGGCCCCGAAAATTCTGTGGCACCCAAACCACTCGATTCGTACGCATCGGTGCGCCAAAGTTTTCGGACAATTGAGCCGATACAGGGTGACTCAAAAAAACACCCCCTCTAAATCGTCGGAGAAGTATCGGATCGGGATGATAGTTATACCAATTGAAAATACTTGAAACGGCGCGTTTGCAACAATTTTCTGTCGATTTTACAACGCATTTAAAAGCATTAAGGAACGGCCTCTGCAAAGTTGACGGCTACTTTCGGTAACCTTACTTGGAGAAAAGGTGGCAGATTGCAAAAAAATTTGCAAAATTGCTTGTAAAACGTCAGGTTCAAATAGAATGATGGTTTTGAAGCTTGGTGCAAACTTGCCGCTTCAAGCGCTGTCGAACCACGTAACTATCGATCTGATCCGGTACGATTCTTCTCTTCCGATAGTTGGGGGCGTTTTTTTGTGATACCCTGTACAGGACAGTGCTTTGGAGATGGCGGTCCGTAGCTCGCCAGAAGAGAACCGTTTCAGCGCACGCCGAATTCGCCGCAGCCTTTGCTGAGAAAATCAAGAACGACCTAGCATTCTCGGAAAACAACTTCGATTGCGTTGCCAGCGTACGTTTTTTTTGGCGATGCGTCGCTTGCACAGTGGACGCCCCTGAGCACAACTTACAATGCTGGTTTTTTCAGCCATTCAAAAAGAAAGTGCCCGAGGCTAAGAAAGCGGAAGCGGTGGGTTTGCTGCAATTCCTTGCATAGTGGCGCGGACGCCAGTCCCAAAAACGCTTAACGGTTACAGGCAGATAAAACCACTCGCATTGCACGGGCTGCGACGAAGGTGGCTGAAGAAACGGTAGCTCAATGTCTGCCCTCTCTCTCACTCTCACTCACTCTCTCTCTCTCTCTCTCCCTCTCTCACTCACTCTCTCTCTTTCTCTCCCCTTCTCACTCATTCTCTCTCGCTCGCTGTTTCCAGTAATCATGAAATCATTACAGGTTGATCGAACCCAAGAGGACCCTACCGACGCCGAGGCCAAGCCTTAGCCGCGGACCCCTGGTCAAACCGATGGCGTTGAAGCCAGAAGCCCAATTGCAAATCACTGTCGCCGCCAGCATCCGTGTATACAAAAACTCATTCCTTCGCTAATTATTTTTCTGTGATCTGTGCCTGCTTTTGAATAAATTATTGAGCGGTAAGAGATGGATACCATACGGCTCAAACGTCATTCTCACTCGAACGGGCAAGGAAACCGTCAACGCATTCCTAAAAAAATAAAAAAAGTAAAATCCGCTTCCTGTTGTTAGCCGGGGGCTGCAATTAACATCCGGATTTTGCATAGAATCCGTTTCCATGGATTTTGTTCCCAAAATTCGTATTAGAATGCCTTTATTGTGAAACAAAAGGTGCTGGTATTCTCGTTTTTCCGAGAGCTTATAGATACCTGAATACTCAAAATCGGACGCTTCGGCAGCCCGCAAAAAGGGTCAATTTTTTTGGACATACTGTAGATTCTTATACTATTTTTACCGACTTTCCCTAACTTTCAGGTTTCTAAACTGGTTTTTACGCGGAAACCTCGGTTTTCGCAAAAGTTTTTTGCTCTCTGCTCGCCTGCGTGCTGCCACATAAATTTCATTTTCCTCACAACGATGTCCGCTCGCGGGATTCGCCGAATGCGGGCGCACGTCGCCTCGTATTGGCGTAGTGGCGGTATTCCCTAGTGGCGAATCGCCCACGGACGACGTCTGGCATTCTAATGATGACCGAAGCGGAGCGCGGGCGCCTGGGTCAATTTTTGACAAGCGTTTTGGGCATGGGAGCGACGGACGGGCGGCTATTCATCTCGAGGGCCCTGGTCGCATCCCTTAAATAAGTGCTCACACGCGCCGCCTTTTTGAATTAATTGAATAGCAGCGTTTTTTGTGTCTAGGGTGGACATGTGTTCGGTGTCTGGTCGTCATGCGCTCAACGTTTTTGGTATGCTGACTAACAGGGCGACGTTTTTGAGTGACAGTCTTGAGCAAGACCAAGCCTAGCTTGTTCAGAATTTCACGCCGATCTAGCTCGCTAAATTTATTAATTGGATTCAAGAGATTTTTAGCGCATTTTAAGGTGAAAATCCTCAAAATGGCATAGCATAGGCTCTTGCAAAACTTCCGTAAAAATATTCCGCGAAGCAATTAGCGCGACTTTTTCAGCATAATGCCAAAGGTTTGAAGAGTTGATGGAATTCGGTTCAAGCTGCTGCGTACCACACCGTCATAAAAACGGTTTTTCCGAAAAATGTCCAAATTTTTCTTGTTCTGGCTTTTTGAAAAGAAGCTTTTTTAGACGAAGTACTTCCTCCCGGATTTCTTAATTTAACTAGCTCCTGCTATCGACCTCATCCTCCTCTCGAATTTAAATTTTATTTTGCTCAAAACGTCTCAGTGTAAGGCTTTCAAAACCGAGGATTTGAATTTTTTTTCTGCCATGTTTGAGGCTCAAAATCTCTTCAGCAGGCTCAAATTTTACCGTGCGTAATGTATTATGCAAAGAAACATAAAAGGAAAATCTTATTTTTGCAAACCTCGGCCTATTTTAATTATCCGAAGTATTCATTCCTTCCAAAATTTAACGATTGTTCGGTCCAATCAATAATAAAGAAATATACGACTTGCTAACGCCCTTAAAAAAATCTGGCTGCGAAAATCAGCCTCTCCCTCGAAAATCGTGCTCCACCCCCGAAAAGTGCACTTTTTCCCGCTTTTACGCCGGGCCCAATAAATAAGGAAGCGTTCCGGTTGCCATTTCGAGCGACGTCGGCACGTGTGGCGGAAGTTGGCAATTTGTGCTTTCGCGAGAAACAACCCGGGGGGGATCCCCAGCCCCTCGTCAGTTGAAATGGCCACAGTTTAGAGGGCAACAGAAAAGGGGGTGAAACGCAATTAGGTTCATGTGGGAAGCGGAACATACACACGGCGCCTTCCTCGGCAGCGCCAGCTCGAGCCGGCCCGGCTTTTCCAAATAAGACGCGCCGCCGAGCCGTCCAAATTGCTTCTGCACCCCGGCGCATCAATCTGCACCGAAAATCTGGAGAAATTAGAATTTTTTTTGCGGGCGTCTTGGGCGACCCGGAGAGTTTCACAGATCAACATGCAATAAAAACAATAGGTTCCGGGAATTTTTCAGGCGCTAGTGTTGTTTACTTTTTAGAAAATTCAGTACCGCCCATCAGTGTAGCCTAACGTAGCTTAACCTAGCGTAGCGTAACGTAGCATATGGTGTGGTGGAGCGTCTCGCCTCCCGATTTTTCGATTATTTTCCAAATTGGCCAAGAAATCACGATGGGCGATGAATTTAGCGCTTTACAGGGCATTACGATATGTAATTCACACAGGCGCAAAGTCGATTTTGCCCCCAAACATACTTTTTCTTCAATATTGGTCTTCTAAATTCAACGAAATAAAATTGTGGTACCATTTTGCAGTATTCTTTTTGTATTTTTCTTAGAGTCTATTTTAGTAGCCTACTTACTTCATATTTCATTACGAAAAGCTACCGACGGGCTTTTGGAGAGACTTGACGACTTTCACGCCCAAAAATCCGCATGACCTCGCGGGACGTGCCAAGCTTTTACAGCCCCTCAAAAAGTGCCAGCTGGTGCGGAAGAAGCGAAGCGATTTTTGCACCCGGTCACTTGTTTATCATCACTGCCCTTCCGAGAGTCTGCCACCTGTTCGATCATATCCGAACTTTTTGCGGGCATCAAAATCGGTGCCCCTCCGGTTCTTTTTCAACGCATCGTGTCGATAACTTTTTCGCAGCTTTGAATGATTTTAAATTCTTTAATTTAAATTTTGTTATAAATTGACCCGTGCAGCTTTTAATGGGACGCAAAAAGCATGGTTCTGGCCTTGGAATCAGCAATAAGGCGGCAATGTCTGATGGGTTGTGTTTTTCTCTTAAAAAATCTAAGGTAAATACAAAGAGTCGTGGGTCTTGCGATAGTGAGTATTTTGCCCCTACCCCCCCCTGGAAGCCCTCTTATTTACTGGTATCCACCGTCGGCTGGCCTTCGAAAATTCCATGTCCGCCCCTATTCATTCCAGCCCTTATTTTCATCCAATGAGGTAATCTAGAAAATTAAAATTTTTATATTTGGATGTCACATAGAGCACGACGTGCTCTTTGCAAGGTGTGCTTTTAGGGCTTTCTCTTCTCTTCTTCAAAGAGTTCTTCAAATTCTCTAAATTGCTCTTTCTTTTTATGAGTTTTTAGACCGGTCTTAAAATTCGAGTTTTGGTAACATTATTTTTTGAAAAATAATCCTGTTATTCTGCCGCAGCGCGTTCTGCCACTTTTCGGGGCGGTTAGATTATGCCTAAATTGAACAAAGAAAATTGCAACTTTTGAATTTGGTAACTTAGGAAATTTCGAAATTACGAACAGGAATTATGAATTTTTTCATTACGGACTGCAACCTTGAGAAATTTCGGCATTATGAGATTTCGACTCAACGAATTACGACATCATTTTCTTAACAATACCTTAGCAAATCTGTTAAACACGGTCAAACAAATTCCAGAAATTAGTACCGATTGGAACTCTATAACTTTTGAAATTCCCTACTCACCTGAAAGTACCCTCCTCGGACCCGGATTTCTGGGCGGCTTCAGAATCTCCGTGTCACCGCAACCCTTGCGATACTTTCGAGGCGGGGGGCAATTTTTCTCACTTTTTTGGGGCATTTTTGGAACAGCACACGCGCATGGGGTTGGGGTCCAGTGGCCAGGGGCCAAGGGCCCGGGGCCCCCGGCCCTCGGCCTCTCAATCTTCCCCCCCCCCCCCCTGGGTTTTGCCAGTCCCCCCAATATGTTTGGACATGGAGATGCGGCGCGGGGCCTAAATATTTTCCGGCAACCCTTGCCCTTTTTAGCGTTAAAAGTGGCTTCAAACTTCCGCAACAAGCTCTGAAGTTTCTCTTGCACTTCTTTAATTAAAAATGGCTTCAAAGATCAGAATACAAACTCCTTGGATTTGTTTTTCTTTTTCAGATTTGGGGGCCGCCTGAAATATTCATCGCCACATGAACTATTGTTATGAAAACGGGCGCATGGCTTTATCTTCTTATTTTTTCTTCGCATTGCCGATAGCAAAGCGGACAGCTGCTTTGTGGTGGGGTTTTTTGCTAGAAAAAGTCATCTGAAAATTCTCTACCATTTCAAGAGGAAATGCTTCTCAAATGTCTTGTTTTCAAGAACTTCAAATGCTAACGGATGTGCGAATTTGGCAATACAGCAATATATAGCCTAGCGGGTAAAGGTTGCACAACGGGGGGAACAGATTCGGAATCAGCGTAAAATTCTGCACAAAATAGGTCTACTCCAATCCAACTCCATCACGTTAAAAAACGTATCCTTGTTCGCACAGCGTAGCGTCATGTAGTGTAAAGTAGCAGCATCCGGTGTAGAGTACCTTGACATAGCGTCGTGTCTTCTAGTTACTTGGGATAGCATAGCACGTTTTGGAGTGGAGCTAACATAGCGTAGCGCCGCTTCCGGTAGTGCAGGTGCTAGTCGGTAGTGCCGACGAAGCGTCGTGTAGTGCAGCGTAGCGTAGCTTCGTATAGTGTAGCGTATCGTGGTGCAGCTTAAGGTGCCCGGAAGCAGCTTAGCGTAGCGTTGGGTAGTGCAACGTAGCGGGGTGTAGTGTATTATCGGTTAAGAGATGCACATGCGTATCGCGGGGGTGGTAGAACTCACCAAAACGCTGTAGATTACAAAATACACGCTTTCGTTTTGGTCCTTGTGCTGTCGAGACCTAGTCTCCCCGGGGACGATCTTCTCTCTTTCCAGTCCCTTTAAGTTTTCAATCGACACACGTAGCCTCTCCACCGCCCCAGACAAAAACCTGAAGTCGATGGCTACATCAGGGTTCGCCTATAATTGCTGACCTTCTGCCGCTCATCCCGGCTTTTCACCCCGAAATTGCCCCTGAAAAGCCCCGGATCGAGCGTCACCTCACCGCCATCAAAAAATGTTGCCTGCTGCCATAGGGGCGGGTGAAATTTGGCCCCAGCAGCCACCCGGGGCGCTTGATGAGCGGTTGGGGCCCAATTACCGAGTCCCGTCAACTCATCTCGAGCGTATCTCTCCCGACCCGTTTTCGGCTTCTCATCCTCATGCTCCTTCTGCTGCTATTTCTGCTCTTGCTCATTCTTCTCTTCCTTGATCCTGTTTGTATCCTTATTGTGCTGCACCTCCTACTCTTCACCTCCTTCTCTAGCTCCTCCTCCACCTGCTTCTGCTCCTCGAACTGCTTTTGATCCTCCCCCTGCTGCTCCTGCTGCTCCTTCTCGATCCCATCTTTCTCATCCTCGCGCTCGTCTTCGTGCTTCTCCGTCACCTCTGCTCGTTCTCCAGCTTATCATGATCATCCTGTGTCTCTTGCTGCTCCTCCACGTCCTCCTCCTGCTCCTGCTCTTGCCCCTCCTTCTCTTTCTCTTGCTCCCCATCTTGCTACTCCTGCTCTATTTACCAATTTGGGCATGACAATTTTTAGAATATCCGGGGGGCCGCAGGAGCTTGAGGATCGTTTTTCCGGAAGCCTGGAAGCTTGAATGAGCGGAATTCCCAGCCCCTACGCTTACCTTAAAGGGATCAGCAAGCTGCAGAATCGTCCCCAAGATCTATTAGGCCTTGGCAGGGCTTTCAAAAGCTGCCCAAGCTCATGCTCCTCAAAAGCTCTCCGTTTTTGCGTTGCCGTTTTAGCTTCTTCTCCTCAGGACATGTGTTTCCACTCAAAACGCCGCTCCCCAATCACCTTTGCTAGCCAGCCTCATGGCTCGAGTTAAATTTCAAATTTTAGGTTTCGACTTTCCCTTCTCTTCTTGTGAAAAATTTTTTAGCACAATTAAATAGCGACCGCTGCTAATTGTTAGAATTTTGAGAGCATTCAAGCCAATTTATCCTTTTGAATTTGCAGATTTGCAATTTTTTAAATACATTAAAATTCATTTCAAGGTTTTTTTGAGCTAATTTTCAGTACGTTAGGCTCCAAAGCACACCATAACTTTTCAGTTCGCACGTTACCGTAACCCAAGATACCACCCGGATCCCCTGGTTTCCGGTCCAACTTTCCTGATTTCCGGCGCTGATGGCTGGGTTCGGCAACCTTTCCCCCAAATCTGGCCCCTAATACCGATGATTTTTAGCAAATCTGGGCGCTTGTTTTTCCATGACGTTCCATTTTTTTTGGATTTTTTGACCAGGTTTGACGAGATTGACCGTTCCGGGTGTGTAGCCCGTAATTACGGTGTGCAGTGGAACGAACGTATCTTTACCGCAATGTCACTAATTGCCGTTTCAACGTGCAGTTTGTTATTTGACGAGCGGATGCAGGGAAGGTTTGAATTTTTATCAAAATTTTACAAATCGGAAAGTGATTGGCAAGCTTGAGGATCGACTCCTTGCGACGCCTGGGTAAATTTTAAGTTTATAAATTTTTTTAAATTTTAGTAAATTTGTGAATTGTTAAATTGCGAAATGACGAAATGGTCTTTTTATTTAGCTCTTTGTACTATGTTTGAATGGTTGCGCAAGACAATCAATGCATTTTTTTAGTTTTAATAATATCCATATAGTTAAAAACGCCATCATGGGGCTTTTGCTTTCTCATGCATTTTTATTTTGTTTCCACGGTTTTGAGGCGGAAGCGGGTTAGAGTTACATTATAATATACTGGAGGCTCTTGTTCCCTCGAAGCAAGATGAGATACAAAACTTTAAAGGGACAGGCAAGGTATGGCTCCGGCTGTCAGGAGCTATTAGAGACGGATTCTTTATCATTTTTCAGCAACACGCAACGCGCACCGTAAATCCGTATATTTTCATTGCGTATTCGAGTTTGAAGGTATCCAAGTGGCGAACGCGTTGCGTGCGCGGGCCATAAATTTAAATCAGAAAATCTTTTGCTTGAGCTTGCGTGACGGAGAAGCTTCGCGTGGTGTGTCGCGTCTATTTCTAAGCTTACAGACGGCTTTAGGATACGAAATCCATCGTTTGAACATTCCCACGTCAATTCCTTTAATGAGCCAGACTTCCAGACAAGGTAGATAAGACTTTCAGGCAATGAAGAAAGTTTTACTAGTAAAATATCCTTTTTACTAGCTTTTAATGGCTTTCGATGGCTGCGTAATCCTTAATGAATTTTCTATATTTCCTTTAATGGCGTTCAACGAGGGCAATTTCCATGAAAATTATTTTCAGCCCGTTCTTTCCGGGTAGACCATCCGGATGGGCTTTCAAAATTGAGCCACTTTCCCGGGCTGCCACTTTGGTCAAAACTTTTCTTCTTTTTGTCCAAAAATGACGATTCTAGATGATTTTGCAGCTTTTCTACCCTCTAATTTTTATTTAATACCGCTGAATTTTGCAGCTTTTTTGGAGAAACCGTAAATTCAGGCAACCTTTTATTCCAAAAACAGCCGGAAAAAATTCAAAATTGGCAGCTATGTATGCCGCTGAACACCGAACACTTGGGGTTTTTTATTCATGGTTTTCGATGTCCTTGCCCTAATTACCGTAGTCAGGAGCCACAGCAAAGAGAGGTCATGTTATAGAAAATTAATGGTGGCGCTCCGGGATGTAAATTAATTGGGGCCCCTGTGGGGATAATGGTTTTTCATGACTAACTCACGCAACCAGGTTGCGAAAAATATTTTGAGGCTCCATGTCCCATTGGGGTTGTGATTTGTCACTTTACGGTTTAATACGGTAGTATTTTACTGCTTTAATGACGATTGACAACGTAGCTTTTGAATTAGGTTTCGATTGGGACTTAACCTTACAGGCTTAGGCTTAGGATTAGGCTTAGGCTTGGGTTTAGAAGTATGCGTATTATGCCTAGGCTTAGGCTTAGGCTTGGGCATGGGCGACATGCTTAGGCTTCGGCTTAGGCTTTGGCTTGGGCTTAGGCTTGGCTTCGTCTAACGAGGAGGCTTAGCATTAGGCTTGGGCTAAGGCTGATGCTTACGGATAGGGCTGGAATACCTTCCGCACTTTACCTAATTTTTAATGACTAAGATACTATTATTTTCGAAAAAGTCAGAATTGAAATAAAATCGATATTCATAGATTAGATTTATACATTTGAAGATTTAATACATTTTTTGAATCGGGCGATGGCTTTTAAGGTTATGGACACAGCATCATAGTCTCAAAGTTTCCATCATCGCCATGAATCTCTAAACTCTGAGCCCGCGTCACGCGGATGCGAGATTTTTTTGGGGATTTCTTCAAGGAGGGGAGAGAGCTGTTCGACGGCGCGGCGACCCAGTCGCATGCAAAGGAAATTGCATTTCGCGAATTGCCAAACAAGCCGGGCCCTGGGCCGTGGGTCCAGTTTTTAGCCTGAAATCCCGGCGACCACGATGGGATCGTCGTAATCCGAATTCGATTCCATCCGGTTAATTCGTTTCTTTTCGTGGACGGATTTTGTCGGGTTTTAAAAATTTGGTCTTCACAAGTATTTGTCATTTTTCAAGTTTTGTACGTTTCAGGATTTTTTTGTAACTTTTCCCGCAGCCAATTTTTTTTATTTTCTGCTTTTTGCGCTTCACATTCTCTTCTTGCCTTCCCTTTTTCTTCTTCTTTTTTCTTTGCGGCTTTGATACTTGAATTCCAGAACATGGCGTTAATGGATGAAGCTAGCTCGTCCACCCTCGCGCTACTCGATATGTATCAAGAAGTGGTAATTCCGAGACTAAAAATTCCTAACTTCTTGCTCTTTTTAGACGGAAGCCACTACCATGATGACAAGGCCTACGATAAGTAATAACCTGACGAAATTTTTGATGGAAATCCGGTCCTACAATCACTATGCTCAATTGCTAATGGCAGCTGTGAGTTTTTTTCACAAACGAGCCTTGCTTGTCTCCCTTTTGAGGCTTTAGCGTGGCCGTGCTTACTGCTTTTTAATGTTTTGCCTAAATTTTTGCTGCTAGCCTGCCCTACAGCTCCAAGTCATTCTGCTAGTTTGCCCTGCATTCCGAAAGAATCGCTGCTAGCGTTCGTTTTTAAGGATAATTGCCTTGCCATGTTCAAAATGAATGGAGACTAGGATAGGCCATTTTACCAAAGGACAAATCTCTTTTCCAGCTCGCTATCGCCGGTAATGGATTGATTTGCTGCTCGGCGTTTTACCTCAAGCGTCCGATCTCTGTATACGTCTTGCTGTGCGTATCTCTGGCAGCCGTCGATTTTTGGGGATCAAATTTGTTCCTGATCGGTCAGTATTCATATTCAAGGAGAGAGAGAGAGAGAGAGAGAGAGAGAGAGAGAGAGAGAGAGATGAAATAGCCGCACAATTTCGAATTGCAGAAGAATTCGTTCGCGGCAACTTCTCAGATACGGTCATCCAAGAGTGGATGTGCTATTTCCGGCCGATAACGATATTTCGGGTATGACTCAGACGATGTTATTTCAGAAGATAAAGAGGAAACGAAAAAAAAGATACTTTCGTTTCAGAACTCGGCCGTCATCTCCTCATCTTGGCACTTATTAGCCTTGTCCTTTTACCAGTACGCCGGTATCATGTGGCCCTTAAAAATCAAGGTATTTTCATTGTTTTGGAATCTGCAATTAAAGCAAAAGTTTAACTTTGTTTTATTCTTGTTTTTCAGTCAATCGTCCGGAAAAAGCATCTCCGAAAGGGCTTCCTTTTTCTCTGGCTCGCTCCGCTGTTCATCATGTTTTTCAAGTGAGTTTGGGCAGAACGGCTCCCGATCTCTCTCTCTCTCTCTCTCACTCTCTCTCTCTCTCTCCCTCCCTCCCTCTCTCTCTCTCTTTCTCTCTCGCTTTCTCTCTCTCTGTCCCTCTCCCTCTCGCTCTCTATCTCTCATAACTTTAATTTTCAGATACTCCATGGACCCGAGCGACGGGTTATTGGCAGAAAAATGCGTGACCAAATTCCGAGAGCATTTTCCCCACCGCATGTTCTTATCAACGCTCATCATGGTACCGATCATCATCACTGTGGTATGTTATATTTTTAGCTTTTATTCCAAAGTGCCCCTTAGACCAGCGTACAATACTTGCCACGTGGAGCGTAAAGGAAACTTGGGCTTACGGGTTGAAATTTGTTCGGTAGTCGAAACGAACGCTTTCGTGAGGTCTAAAAATGTTATGGGCCAGAATCCTGATTTCAAAACTTGTGACCAGCCCTCCGAATTCGTCCAAAGAGCGGAAACTGGAAGATAAAGAGCCAAAAAGTAGTGCTAAAGTAGCAACATTTCCAGTTCCTCTACATCCGCATCGTGTGCTTCATCTCGAAAACGTACACGGTGCTGAACACGATGAATGTTGGGAAGGAAAAGTGGGTCATAGATAATTTCTACTTTTTCGGTTAAATTAGAACCTTTTAAAATAATTTTTAGAAGCGAAAGCACCTCCAAGCTCGTCAACACCGCCCTGGTGATCGTCATCTCGTTTCTTTTTGGATATGGGGTCTTCTCGATATTCTCACCATTGGTAAGCGATCTCTCTCTCTCTCTCTCGTTCGTTCTATTTCTATTTCGCTCTTCGTGTTAACTACGTAGCACTCCAAAAACACGCGAAAGACGCAGTCTTCATCTCTGTTTTCCTGAAAACTGTTTTCCCAGAAATTCTGAACGTGCCAGCCCACCCACCCGGCTTCTTCCCGTAATCGCTTTACCCCAATGTTGGCGAATTTCATTAGCTGGGCCCCGACGAGTCACACTCGAGAGAAAAAGCCGCAACAAAAATAGGTGCTGACGAGAAATTTATCGTGAACAATACCGAACCTAATGCCGAACGCAAAAAGTCGACAACTTACTGTAACCGTTTTTTTGTTGACCGTGGGATTTCGATAAGTGAGATAGTACATTTTGTGCAGAATTTTTCGCTGATTCCGAATCCGTTTTCAAAAGTTGCGGAACCCCTCTAGATAAAAAGTTACAGCCGGTTTTCTACCCCAAATGACCGAAAATTACAAACTTTAAAGCCTTATAAAAAACTCGTGGAACATTTTGCGTGATAAAATACAGCACTCCTAGGGGTAAAAAAACGTGCTCTTTCGAATGGGCTACCTCACGAACCTGTAGCTCAAAATTCACAAAATTTGAAAAATTGGCCATCCAGGGCATTGGCCCACCGAAAAACTTTTTTTTTCATGAATTTTGAGCTACGGGTTCGTGAGGTAGCCCATTCGAAAGAGCACGTTTTTTTACCCGTCGGAGTGCTGTATTTTATCCCGCAAAACGTTCCACGAGTTTTTTATAAGGCTTTAAAGTTTGTAATTTTCGGTTATTTGGGGTAGAAAACCGGCTGTAACTTTTTATCTAGAGGGGTTCCGCAACTTTTGAAAACGGATTCGGAATCAGCGAAAAATTCTGCACAAAATGTACTATCTCACTTATCGAAATCCCACGGTCAACAAAAAACGGTTACAGTTAGAATGCCGGCAGTCGACTGCCGGCAGAAAAACGCAAAAAAGAAGTGTTAGTCAAAAATGCGCAAAAATAGCAAATTTACGCTCCTCCAGTATGTCGCTATTTTTGTTGGTCGGCAGATATCCTGGCGCACCTGGTCTCGTCGAAATTGCCAGCGAATTTTGGCTATTAGAATCACGCCTTCCATCTTTCAAAATTCTTTGATTTGCAGGTATGCAAATACGACTGCCCCTTCGAAATGGACTACAACAACTCGCTGATGGTCATGATCGGCTTCTTTCAGGCGGATTTGGTGAGTTTTTGGTGTAGAAGGTGCTTTAACCGCGGCCTTCGAATTTTATTAATCTTGAGCTTAGCAGCATAATCTCACTCACTTTAGGTCGTGCTCAAACTTGTCGCCAATCCGTTTATCTACACGCTGCGGATGGGCTGCTTCAGGGAAGGCATTCGAGCCCTAGCGCGACATTTCCACATCAAGGTTTTTAAGGTATCTATCTACTTCATGACTTGTTATCTTTTTTACATATCCCAGCCGTTATTATGAAAAAAAACCTCTAAAACTCGAAATTTTAATTATTGTCCTATTTAAAGGAAGCGCGGCGGTGCCGGCCTCTGATCGCATATGAACTCGAGTTGCGCTGACTGCCCATTGGGGTAAAACCAGGAAGCTTGCAAAGTCCGTGTCTATCACCCAAGCTTTGCGCATTTGCCTGTTTGCTATGCAGACCTAGCCCTAAAAGTCGCTTTGCTGGACCTTCGAAGCCCCGCTCTCTTCTGAAATTTGCACGAATTCTTCTGAAATTCAATATTGTGTATGAGAATCGAATTCTCTCTCACACTCTAACTCCCTCGCTAGCTCTCTAACACTTTTTCTCACTTTCACTAGCTCTCTCTCGCTCTCTCGTTCGCTCTCTCACTCTCTCACTTTCTTTTGCTCTCTCTCTCTCTCTCTCTCTCTCTCTCTCTCTCGCTCTCTGTCACTCCCGCTCTCTCGCTTTCGCTCTCAGTGCTTGCCGCTGTCATCCGAGTCCCCGTGCCTTTAAAAGCGTATTTTTCTAGGAGACTCCCGTCACGATTTCCTGCCGACTGTCGAAACCTGAAGCGTGTCCACTGAACGGGTTGTAAAACGGAATCAGCATCATCATCATCATCAACACCAAAATATCATGATCACGTGTACAAGGATAAATTATCGAATCTTCCATACATCAACCCTTTAGTGCAAAAAAATCGACCCATTCGGTCTCCTACATCTCGACAGCTACAATACACACCAAAGCACGTCATTAGCCTCATGTTTCATGACCAGAGCGTTATGATTGCTGAGTGAAATTCGATTGTTCGACTGCCTGACCTCTTCCCAGGATGCATGAAGTGTAATATTTTGCGTGTTGTGTGTTTTATCTTTACTCCATGTTCATCTGCGTGTCGTACAACAACCACGGGCGGCGCTTCAACCCCGGGCATTTCGGTAGTTTAGACCCCTAAAAATAACAAAGGGATGCCGAAAACGCGAAAGCGAACCGTTTTCCTATCGAAAATAGAAACCTACCGGCTTTGAACTGAAACCATCCTCAGTTGGTGCCGTCTGGCCGCAGCTTTCCAGCATCGTACCAACAAAGCTGACCTGCTCCATGCCGCCGTGGCACTAAAGTTCTTTGTCTGTTTTGACTACGCAGACTGCTAAGTTCTTAAAACCTGGTTTTCTAATCGTAGAGGAGCATGACACTATGAGCAAGAACGTACCCTAATTCGATCAAAATCCGCCAGCACGAGCCTAGCCAGCTCCTCTTTTTGGACAAAGGAGACGCTAGAGAGCGTTTTTGAGAGCGGGTAGGTGACGTCGACGTTGTTGGGAGCGCGAATTCTAGATTGAGTTGTTAATGTCCAGACGTAAGCCTAAACCGAACCCAAGCCTAAGCCTAAGCCAAGCCTAAGCCTAAGCCTAAGCCTAAGCCTAAGCCTAAGCCTAAGCCTAAGCCTAAGCCTAAGCCTAAGCCTAAGCCTAAGCCTAAGCCTAAGCCTAAGCCTAAGCCTAAGCCTAAGCCTAAGCCTAACCCTAAGCCTAAGCCTAAGCCTAAGCCTAAGCCTAAGCCTAGCCTAAGCCTAAGCCTAAGCCTAAGCCTAAGCCTAAGCATAGGCCTAAGCCTAAGCCTCACATGACTGACTTTTCAGCCAAAAGCTGAAGTAAACGCATATCTCGCCATCTGAAAATACCGCGAAAAAGTGCAACTCACGTAAGTGCCATTTCAAACTTGTCACCAGGCTCGTAGGGATTCACATTTTGCTTGACTTCGAGATCGAACCGGAAAGCTCCCTACAAAGCAAAAAACTCTACTGTGTTGCATGACAAAAACCCACATTTCCCGCTGAATGCGAGTTGTAGATGGATTCTTGCTTGGAAACACGATGATCAGCGTGGATGAGACGGGCGGGGCTGTCCTGCACAAGAATTTCGCAGGTCCAGCTAAAAAACGTGGATCCGCTATAGTTTTAACGCGCCTAGGAAGCGTCAGAGAGAGACTACGCTCCACTCGGCTAGGTATCGACAGCTGAGAGAATGAAGGGTACCGCGTGCAATTCGGCAGCAACCGTCCCCTGACGGACAGCACATCCTTTGCTTGTAGCTGACGGGTAAAGCAACTTTGGAATTCTAGAAACTAGGGTCTATTTAAAAGCTTAAATTATGCCAATTTTCCGATTTTAGATTTTGCTACTTCTTACCTTCACGAGCCTTAGCTGCGGAAAATAAGAGTCCTAAAATCCAAAACTTCAGCATCGCGGGCATTGCATTTCGGCTAGGACTTTTCAGAATCCGTTGCGAAAGGCGCGCATACATAGCTATTAGGATTCACCGGAAGTAGCTGAATTTTGCTGACAAAGGCATGGCTATAGAGGTTCGCCTTTTACAGCCGGAGAAACCACGGTGAATATTTTAATGTATTCCCAGCTGCATTTCCAAATCACTTTCTAAATGAATTAAATGAAATAAAAGTTAAAATAATACTATAAAACATTGAAATAAATTTATAAAGTGGTAGAATAACTTTTTTTGTCGTGCCGTAGAACAATTTATCACGGGCATAACGGATAGAATGTGGTGGTCGCCGGGTGAGCGGTTGTGGTAAGAATTGGCATGTCTGAAATAAAAACAGTCAAATGGCTACAAGCTACAAAAAGGCCTTTTGGAACTAGTTCGGTATTTTCAGTGCCGCTTCCTTACCCGCCACTGGTCTGGTGATCGACTGGCTGGTCGGGCAGCTGACTTGCGGGATGGCGCGGTTCCAGGCTACTCCGGAGATGTCACCATCGCACTGAAATAATGAAGAAATAAATAAAAATAACTAAAATGATGAATAATCCTTTTTAAAGGGACTAGAAAGACATGATCAAACAAGCAAAATGTTACCATTTTCAAGATACCAAAAAGAAAGTCGTAATCAGACTCCTAATAACTCTCTTACCCTAATCTTTCGAATATTCTCAAAACCCGTCCACGCCATCTGCTGGTCGAACTGGTTGCCGCCGTCGTCGACAAGCGGGCTGTTTTGGTAGTTGATGATCACCTGGTTCAGCCCGGAGATTCTAAAATTCTATTCGATAGTACCAGTGCAGTAGTTTTAGATTTTTCCGCGAGATTTACTCACGTAAACACAATAATAAACGTTGCAGGCGGAGTATAGGGGACCGGACCGTAGTTTAGTGCGATGGGCCAAGCCTGAAGGGTGGATTAAGCTTTGGAGTTCAAACTTTACATCGCCAGCGTATTTCGAAGAGTACGTCGTCTCATTCTTGTAGATCAGGTGATCGGCGAGGATGAAAACCGCGCCATTTGGCGTGGCTGATTCAAGGCTGCACGACCATCTGACATAAAATTTTAAGCCCTTTCTTGAAGCAAACTTGGTTGTATACCGGTAACCGGCACTTTGTATGAAATCGGGGATTTTGTACGAAATCGGGGATTTCAAAAAGCGGAAAATCGGCTCGATTTTGGAGCTACCGAAATCGGGGATTTTAAAAAGGGTCAATCGGACGCGCTAAAATACCTCTGTGCTCCTGGCAACAGCGTCCCGCGCAGCGCGATCACATCCCCGATCTGGATGTCGCGGCTGATGCAAATCTGGTTGTCTAAAGGACTAAATTGTAGTCAGATCTAATTCTATTTAACCATGCGTCTTCTTAGGTATCTTGAAAGAAAGTGATAGCTAAATGGGGTGGACAAGGCCTATCAAAGCCATAAAAAATTCGAAATCCACCAATTCCATAGCCATGGCTTGTCGGCTTCATTAAGAGTCTAAGACAGCTACAATACCGCACCCTGATATCCCACATATCCGGCCGCCACTTGGATTAGCACGACTAGAATCGGAATTCCGGCCAGTCCATCCATTGTCAAAGGGGGAGTCGTCAGCGAAATTGCGCGGCAACATTCGCCAGTAACACTTTAGAGTCATAAAAAGGTCATAAATTAGTTGCGTGTGAGGATCCCGGCCATTTGACAATTTACGGTCGTGGGAAGGTTATCGGATTCCGGAAATGGACTTCTTCGATAGGACTACAGAGAGCTGAAAAGACGAAAATTATGGAAGCTTCCTTGTACTGCCAAATTAAAGGAGTGCAAGGCATCGATAAGGATTCGTACAGGCTTAACAACCGTTTTTCTCGCGATTGGCCGCGTCGCCACACCCAACGCACACATCACGCAACCTCCCTGAAATATTGGTAATCGATGACGCGATGAAAAAGTGATATTCTTTTGATGCGCTAACACGTGAAAACATAATCCATTTATTTGGCATTCGATACTTCGCGACGTAATGCAACATAGTATCCAGGTTCTCAACGGCCATAGGCGCAGCTGAAAATCATAACATTAAGCGACACACCGCTATGACTCACCCATAACCAACACATGGTGCCGGAGGGGCTGGGCTTTCGGTGGGCGTCTGAACATTTGCTAAAAATTGGGCTCTACTTTCCTACCCCGCCGCCCGGGTTGACCACCGTCGTCGCCGCTCCGCCACCCTAAAGTGTGATATAGTATTAAAATCGAGTGATTAAGCGTTTACATTCGCCGGTGTAGTGGTCGGGAGGTCCGTGGAGCTACCGCCCACTTGGTTGTTGTGCTCGGTCAGGCCATGCTGAAATTGTTGCTTGAATGAGGTGCTAAGGTAGTGAAATCACGGAAGGCCGGGATAGGGGACAGTTTCCTAGCCGTTAATTTTCTCCCGGTGCTCAGAAACCCACCACAGTCGTTGTTTCCATGTTGTTTCCGCTCTGGTTTTTGGGTGTCTGAGTGATGGCTTGCGTAGGAGCAGCGGTAGGGGCTGACGTTGGCGCAGCCTGGAGTTGATCTGCGCAGAGCCCGACGGGCGGACCAGCAAACATCACGTTCGACATGTCGCCGTCGCACTGAATGAAGCTTTTACGACAGATCCTGCTTATACGTAACTATTAACTAGGACATACTCGGATCATCCTCATGTTCTCGAGTCCGGGATTCGGGATCGTGTTACTCTTTGTGAAGAGCGCTCCGCCCCACTTTGCGCCCGAGCCGTAGGAAACTTCTACGCTTTTCGCGGATTTGATCCTGAAGTTTAGATCGATAATTCGTCCAAAAAACTCGCGGAGAGAGGGAGGAGGAGAAAGAGAGAGAGAGAGAGAGAGAGAGAGAGAGAGACTAGAGAGACGTCAACTGGAAAATCAGTCAGAAACTCACGTAAAATGGATCTCAAAGTCCTGGCCGGCCTTGTAGGGCACCTTCGAAAAGTGCGCCTCCTTTGGCCACCTCTGCCCGGGGTATTTCATGTTGTAAACGGTACTCTTCGCGGCGATGCGGTGATCGGCGTGGATGAACACGCCGTTTCGAGATTCCATCTCGATGTTGCATGTCCATCTCAAGTAATATTAACCGTAACTGCATTAATCATGAAGTCTCTAACCTGACAGCTTTCGCAGCCAGCGTGCCCTTGACCTTGACGACGTCGCCGACCTGGAGGTTACGCGTCAGGCAGATCTTCCAGTCTGAAAGTAGAGTTGCGTGAGAAGTGATGGTTTTGTCCTCTACCGTAAGATCTAAGGCAGGGGATAAAAAAACATATTGGGGGCATCGGTTCTTTCGCATTACCGGGGGGGGGGACAAATTTTTCCCAGGCTGGACTTAAAATTCATTTTTCAAATGGATCATGAAAACCCTTTTTCAAATGTAAATAAATTTTTAACGGAAGTGTCTCTAAGATGTATTTTGCTATTTTTGAACGTAAAAACTTGCAAAACATGCAAGGAAATTTAATTTTTCGACCAAAAATGGCTTTTTGCGACAAATTTCGTCTTTTGAAAAGTTTGGAAGTTTTCTAGCTGAACTTTTAAAAACTTGATTAAAATACATTCTATCAAGTTACTAAGCATTTCTAGACTTTTGCATTTAGGCCCACCCCCCCCCGATGATGCGAAAAAATAGCGTTAACGTAATTTTGAGATCCGAAAATACCCCACTTTCATAAGCGACGTGCACGCTGTTCCAGCTCGTCGCCGCGTGAGCACCAGCAACGAAGCAAACGAAAAATAGCAACATTTCGGCTAACAATTCGGCCTACTGTAGCGGTCGGCTCCGTTTCAATAAAATAGTGTGCCGCTTTCAGCTGCCTTTTTATGCCTCGATTCACATCATAACCGCCCAAACCGGAACAAATTACGACCGTGTCTTGATGACGCGCCGATCGCAACACACGGCACAACACGGTAGACTGCGTCAATCAGAGAGAGATGGCAACATCAGGAACTGAACATTTTCTCAAGGGGTGATGCTGTAAATGGTGTCTGGGTCTCCTGATCGACATCGTAAATGTCTACTATCTGGTCCAAAAGCGATACTCCTACCCTGGCTTCCGTCACGCATAAGCCTAAGTCTAAGCGTAAGCCTAATTCAAAGCCTAGGAGGAGGAACCGAGCACAGCTCTTGCCTTTTGTGATTTTTTTGATTGCCCATTTGATTTCTTGGCAGGGGGTTTTTTTTGATTTCTCGCATGTCTTGCACAAATGAGTCAAAAAAACAACAATATATATTTATTCCTTGAAATAGTCCGCCGCGAAGTCGTTCTGCCCTTCTATTTCTTGCCCATACACCTAAAAGAGCATAAAAACTTTCGAAAACGTCGCTTACTGGTATCCGCTGCACGGGGCCGGTGCCGGGCTACTGTCCGGCTGCTAAAAGTTGCGGCTATGGGTCCCGTTTTTGCCTTACCGTTTGATTTGGGAAGACCGGGTGCTCAGTGGTCCCGCCCTAAAAATTCAGAAGCAATATTTTTCTCTGCGCCACCTACATTTGCCGGCGTTGTTGTTGTAACATCAGTGGTATTGCCATCGTTCCTGTTGGGAATTGTGACGGTATGCAGGGTCTGAAACCTAAGTAGGTACGACGAGCAGTGTAGCTGCTTTAGCGCATAAAATTCCATGGTGCGTCGCGGACTAGAGTTGTCCAGATGAGTCGTGATGTCGACGCATTGCGCGCCGATTCGCACTCGAAAACCAAGTGGAGTACGACTCGACTTCGCGCGAACGCAATGTCAGGGAATTACTCACGGTCGTCGCCGCATCGGTGACTGTCGTTGGAGCATCGGTCGGTTTCTGGGCGGGAGTTGGAGCTGGTGCAGGAGGCGATTGGCCTGCACACAGCCCAACAGGACCTCCGCGGAACATCACTTCCTTCATGTCGCCGTCGCACTACAAACGTCATTTTTGGTTTGGAATTGAGCTTGCAGTTTGAGCACCAGGTAATCGTTAATTTTCCGAACGCACTCACCCTAATCATCCTCATATTCTCGAGCCCGGGGTTCGGGATCGACGTGCTGTGGGTGAACAAGGCTCCGCCCCACTTAGCCCCAGCGCCGTAGCTGACCAACGTGCTTTTCTTCGATTGGATGCTAAAATTTGGATTTCCCGACGTTAAGGTTCGTTCTTACGACGCGAGTACCGGAGATGCCGTCACGGAAGCCGAAAAACCTACGTGAAATGGATCTCGAACTCGTCGCCCCCCTTGTAGGGGATCTTGTTGGGAAAGTTCATCTCCTTCGGGTACTTCTGCCCCGGGTATTTCGAGTTGTACACCGTGTTCTTCGCCACGATGCGATGGTCGGCGTGGATCCAGACGCCGTTGCGGGACTCCATCTCAATGTTGCACGTCCACCTGGTGATGGGTTGTTATATTGCGATTTTCAGCGCGATAACTCGTTCCTCTCCCATTTTTTATTATATGATTTTCGGATGATTTCGCAATAAGGATTATGACGTACAAAATTCCAGAAAAGGGTGCAAAGCGCTGCCCGAAAATCCCCAATCACCTGTTCGCGTTCGGGACCAGCTTGCCCTTCATCATCAGCACGTCGCCGACCTGGATGTCGCGCGTCAGACATATCTTCCAGTCTAAAAAGTTTGAGGAAGCTTTTATAATTATACCGCTAAAAACTCCGGCTATTTATGGCGTTTTTAGCAGATTCCGAGTTGATTTTCGAGCAGTTTTCTCATATTTAGAAAAAATAAAATGTTGTGACATTTTTGAAAAAAACCAACTTGTTGGCAAATGTGAACAACTTTCATAAACTAAAAAGTTTAAAATTCTACGCAGTAATTTATATTCCATGGTTTGGTACCTATGGGGTCACAGGTAAAATCTAGTTTTCCGTTGCCGGAATCATCCCTCCCCGCTAACGCACCAGAACCGAAACTCATTTAAAAAACACGCATGCTTTTCATCATGATCCCATAGGCTTAATCCGGTTTAACCAGTTTTTAACGCATTTCAGAAACCTAAAAACCCACTCTCATAATCCGTATGAGTGCTGTTCCATGTGGTGGCTGCCTGGCAGGCGCCGACTAAAAGCAGCGCGACGAGCGGTAGGGCGCGGACCATTTCTTGCAAAATTTATGGTCTCCCAAACACTTTATATCTACTGCGAAATCCAGACGTCCATCGGCCGGCCATTTGCATTCGGCCAATTGCCCATTTCGTGTCGTCTTCCCACGGCGACAAGCGATAAACGATCATTTTACGCGCGATTTATGCGCGGTGAACTCTGTGGAGATGTTGCGTAGTGGAGACTAGAAACGCGAGCAATCGAACAGTTACCTTAGAAGTCGTCGTTTCGTATTTTAAGGAGGTGCCAATACAAATCACATGCGAATAATGTGAGCGCAGTAAAGTGCTTTTACTCAGGGTGGGATTTGAAGTTCAGAACAAACCTGTCGTGTGTACTAAAGTTTTCAGAAATTGCGGAATGCCGGTATTTCAAAGGTTATGACCGTACCAAACAAAAAAAATTACAAAAATGTCGAGCGGGTTTTTTTACTAATAAAACCATGCGGCAAAATGAGGAAACGGTAGCGCGATACTGATACTATACTGTCGATCGGCACTTTTGAAAATTGAGAAACACAAAAGCCGCGACTTCCGGCTCCAAATGTCTCATTTTTTTCTACGATTGGTTTTTATTATACTTTTCGAAGTAGATAAGCTAATCCAACGCGGAATTTTGCGAAGTAAAAAGGCTTTCAAATAAAAAAAAATGTCAGCGCTTTTTCGCCATGCATTCCGAGGCGGAATCTCGGCGGAATCCCGGTGAAGATCGTAAGTTTACGTTTATTTTGCGACAGTTCGAAAAATGTTGTATATAGAAGGCTGGAAGTTTCTTTGCACCATTGGAATATCGTTTTACAGCTTTGTTCAAGAACTCAAGTCGATCGGATCCGAAATGGATGTCTTCCAGCGTGACCGTTTTTATTGGTATACCCCCTAATTCTGAAGCCTAGCCATTCTGCCACTTTCTTGTAAATTTTTTACAACACGTACTTTAACTTTTTATCCAACAACGTGAAAAATTTGGAAGGGAATACAAAACAAAAAAGTCCAGCGAGACGCCGTAGACGGACCTCATGAAGGACAATCCATTTCGCCGGGAGCATTGGCTTCCATCGCGGTAATGTCGCCGGTACACTAAAAAGCCTTCCTGGTTTCATAGTCATCAAAACCGCCGATTGCACGCGAAAACAAATGCCGTCGCTTACCCGAATTTTCCGCATCCCGGTCAACTTTGGGTTTGGCGCCTTGGGGCTTCTTTTATGGACGGCACTCGCAAAGGCGGCGCCCGGCCCATAAGTGATTTTCACCTGGCTTTGGCTTTGGATTCTGGAACAGTAGATCTGACTCCAGTTCCATTTTGTTCTCGAAAAATTACTTGACGCTAGATAACGTACATGAAGCTCATTGAGAAGTTGCCGCTGCGAAAGGGCACCTTCTTTTTGACGGTGGCGTCCCACCACGGGAATCCCTGAAATGAAAATTGGAATTGGGGTGGAATTTAGAAATGCGATTTTACTTCTAAAAATTATATGAACAAATGAAAACAATGCCTTTTCTGCCGAAACCCAAAAACCCAAATCCCAAGGTTTGGAAATTTCATAGAGTCGGAAATCCTAGTAGTCGCGATTCCATAATAGCAAATTTCGTAAATTCCAAATTTCCATAATGTCGAAGTTTGATCAGCTTGGAAGCTCAGAGTGTCGAACCCATAATGTCGAAATTACAGAATTTCGAAATTTAAATGATCGTATCCCCCGGAAAAATCACCGAAATTTCTATTGAAAGTACGACATTCTGAAATTCCAAGAATATTAAATTTTATTTAGGTTTAAATTTTCATTAATTTCTTTGTTTTTTTTTCAAGCATTGTAGCCTTAATTCTTAACTCAGGACTACCGGCTACTTATGCTAATTAATACTACGACTACCGGAAATGCGCAAGCTAGCAAAACACCCACCTTTCCCTGGAGCCGCGTGTTGTAGTGCGTTTCGTTCCGAATGACCCGATGGTCAGCGGTGATAAAAACGGATTTCTCGCTGATCAACTCCAGGTTGCAGGTCCATCTGGGTTTTCGGTAATCGCCCAAAAAGGTGGGGAAGCTACCGTACAGCGCCCGGCGCGAGGGTGCCGCGAACGGAGATCGTGTCGCCCACTTTCATGTCTTGCGCCATGCAGACGTGCCAGTCTCAAAATGGGCAAGATCGGGGCGGAAAATAGCTTAGTATGCAAAATGGACTTTTGAGCTTTTTTCAACTTTAAATTTCACCGTCTTCGACATCAATTTTTGCAGTCTTTTTTTTGAAAAATTGAATATAGTTGTGAAACAATATTGCAAACAATACGCTCGCAAACACGATTTGCGAGCAGTTTTTGGATATTCTAGGAAATTTGAAAGACCCTACCTAGAAACGCGACATACTTCATCGGCAGCGGCTTGGCCTTTTTCACAACCTTTTTCACCACCTTCTTCGGCTTCTTCTTCCCATCGCACGACCCAATTATAGCAAACAACAAAAATACAACAGCCAATTGGTAGCGCATCGCTGGCAACTTTGCCACGTTTTCACAAGTTCTCGAGGCTTCATCGCGTGAGGGGCAAGCAATAAATCCGAAAATTCACAGCGTAAAAACCGCCGGCAATCCGGGGCCCAAGATTTATGGGCTGACGAGGGCTCGCTGATCTAGTGCGGAGTGCGCACGCGGGCCGCCAGAAATACAGGTGATCGATGATCGAGATCAGCGAATAAGAAAGTGCCCCCGTAGCACTAACAAGGCAAAGCCTAAGCGTTAAGGGTTGGGCTTTCGACACGAGGCACGGCTTCACTTTTGGTGAATTTTTTGCTGATCCCAAATATACTTTCAAGGAGTACAAAATACCTAGAGTTCAAATGTTATCCAGTCATTATTGCATTTTGCCGCCCCGAAAATCAGTTACCATCACATTTTTTTATATGAGACTGATGAGTCGTCCGCCACTTATTAGTGCGCGCTTTGTGCGATGTTAGCATTTCCGTGGCATTGGGCCTAAAAAATACATATATATATATCGCACATGGCACATAAAAAATGTATATCACTCACTCGCTCTCTCAAATCATCTCTCTCTCTCTCTCTCTCTCTCTTTCTCTCTCTCTGGCTCTTTCTCTCCCTTTCTCTCTCTATCTCTCCCCTCTCTCTCTCCTCTTTATCTCTCTCTTTCTCTCGCTTTCTTTAGGTAAACTTTTCTTTTTCAATAAAATAACCATGAATTATCTGTGCAATTTTCCACGAGCATTCGAGTAAGTCCGACTGCAGCCTCCTCGAAAAGCACAAACTCTTACCCCAAAGTAGCTAGCAATTACAGCCCAAATTCCCCCAATCGGCCGCCCATTCAAAAACATCTTAAATCCGGGCAAAAATGCCACCAAATTGGCGGCTGCACGCCCGAATCTTCGCGAAAATGCCCTGTAATTTTTGAGGTATGCCAGCCGCTAAATTGCACGCCTAAACGAGATCAATTCCCGACTGTAAAAAGCGTACTATTTCCCGAAATTGTGAGTTGTCGCTGAAGCCACTGCTATTTTCCAGGACTTGGGGATTCCGGAGATTAATAGTATTGTTTAAATGGCGAATCATCTATTTTTCTATCTTTGCTATGGCGTACCTTCTTGTATCGTCACCATAGCGACAATAAAGTGCATCTGGAGAACGCCCGAGTTTCGGAAACACTCGTTTTATCGGGTTTATTTATATGTGCTGATTGTGGTGGGTTTTTTGTCTCTCTCACTCTCTGGCTCACTCTATCTCATTCTTTCTCACTCCCTCACTTTCTCTCTCTCTCTCTCTCGCTCTCTCTCTCTCTCACTCTTTCTCTCATTCTCTCTCTTGTTTTATATTTATCTTACCGTCTTTCTGGCTCCACTTCTCTATTACGTTCTGTCTCTCTCAAACTATCTCTCTCGCTCTCTCTCCCCCTCCTTCTCTCTCACTCTCTCTCTAGCTCTCTCTCTCTCTCTCTCTCTCTCTCTCTCTCTCTCTCTCTTACTCTCTCTGTCTCTCTCTCTCTCTGGCTCTCGCTACTTTCACTTTTCTCTAATTTTCGCGAAGTCAAAAAATTCGAACAGCGGCGCAACTTTTTAGGAGCTCCATTTAATTTAAACGCCTGAAAAATAAAAATCAAACATTTTTACAGTACCTGACCACCTACTTGAACACCTACATCGTGCTGAAGCTGCGCGAGCTCCCCATCGCCGCCTCGATCTACATCGGCATCGAGAATGTGTTCCCGCCGTACCGCTTCTGCTTCATGTTCATGGGCGGTGCCTTCCACCTCCAGCACCTCGCCCTCATTATGCTGCACCTCAATCGGCTCACCGTGTTCTGCTCGAAGGAGTTGCATGAGAAGGTGAGCGTCTACGACTTGGGGCTGGGTGTCGCTGCACCCTTAAAAAAGCTAGTTTTAAAACCCCAAAAACATAGGAAACTTGGCGAACTTGGTGCATCGGTAAATTCTGGTCGGAAAATCGTTATTTTTTTTGTATTTTTCAACACTAATTGTAAGTTTCAGTTTTTTGCTTGTTCAACACCACAATTCCAGATCTGGTGCCAGCGAAACCTCTGGATCTGCATCGTATTCACCGTCCTGCTTGCGAACGGTGTGTGCTACGAGCTGCTGCTCGTGACAAACCTGTACGCCCTGAACACGGAGGGTGTGGCGACGTACGCTCCCGGCGCCACCGATGTAAGTGTTTTTCCCATCGGCCCTAACCAGTGCCGATCAGAAAATCCCCTTCCATCGGTGGTTGTTCGTCACCTCAAATTTTGCGTATCCTGTCGTACAGCTGGTGCTCAACGCCGCGACCTTGATGCGGATTTTCTATCTTCGGTGCAGGAAGCAGAGGTACGATATTTAAAGTAGCGTGTATTAAAGTGGAAATCCTTGTCCTTTAACATGGATTACAAGATTTTAGATGAGCCTCTATTTTTCTAGCATATCGGATGAAGCCCTTGAAACCCCGCTTTTCCTCATCGGCTTCATCTCCTTTATAATCCAAGCTCTGCTTGCAATCAGCATACAGAATGTTGACGCTATTATTCGCACATTTTTGGGTAGGTGTTTTTGGTAGCAAAAAGTACATTTTACTTCCAGGTACTTCTCCTGAGCAGCAACTTGGGCAATTTCTGGCGGCTCAGGATTTTTTGGTAACCGAACAAGACAGGAGAGAACGAGCGTGATACAGAATGAGAAAGCGAGAGAGTGAGAGGGAGAGAATGAGAAAGAGGGATAGAGATGGCGTGAGGGACAGGGATAGGGAGAGGGAGAGAGCTATCTAAAGAGAGAGAAAGAGAGAGTTAGAGAGCGAAAGAGAGTGAGAGAGGGAGAGAGAGGAAGAGAGAGGGAGGGAGAGAGAGAAAGATAGAACGATATAGAGAGCGATAGAGAGACAGACAGAGAGAGGAGATAGAGCGAGAGAGAGAGAGAGAGAGAGAGAGAGAGAGAGAGAGAGAGGGAGAGAGCCGGCTAACCCAATTCACTTTTTTCAGATCAACGCCGTCTCCGACCAGTGGACACTCTCCGAAGCGTACATCGGCCTTATCGTTAGTGCCGACCTGCGAACAAAATTCATCAGAATGTATTTCCCTGGCTGCTCTGCCGTCATGAACCGCTTCATGCCCCAAGTCTACCACAGCCAAGTTCAGCCCCTTGCCGTCCAGGTGGACCCACGATCATTAACGAGAACGGAACCATCATTTTGAAAGTAGTACTTTTTATAGTCTTAAATAAATTATTGAATCTAAGCTACTCCGCACACAACCTCATCGAATCCTTGCAAAAGGCCTGAGCCTTTAGAAATGGTTCGAGGAATTTTCGAAGGCCAGATTTTGAAGGGAAGCTCTGAATAAAAAAACAATCAACAATATTCTGTGCTGATTCTGGGCCGGTTCCTGGGTTGCAAAAGTTTATCTCAAATACAAAAAATAAAGCAATTTAGTTGTTTTTGCGTGTACAAGTCGGGTGTGTCCATTGGAGCGTCTAGTATTTGTCCATTTTTCGATCAGCCGCGCGGGCCTTGTCGTCCGCCCAGTCCTTCAGGTCCTCCTTCTGAAATTTTCGGGATGATTTGGGATTAAGAGGCTAATATGCTAGATGCTAAATACTTTAACAAAAATACAAACCGCTAAAAAATTACAGTAACCTCTCGCTACACGAACCTTATCATGTGCCTTGTCCTTGACATCCTCCCAGGCGCTCTTGGCCGAATCCTTGGCCCGTTCCTCGTGGGACATTCCCGTCCAGTCGGCAACTTTGTCCTTCACCTGAAAAAGAATCAGAATTTAATTTGTAAAATTTGGAATATTATTAATTACAAAATCTGAAAGAAAAGCTCACCGCCTCAGCGGCATTCTCGACGGCGTCCTTGGTCTTCTCGATGATTCCGGGCATTTTGATTGCGTTGGTTGGTGGTTGATTTCTGGAATTTTTGAGGTAATGACTGTAAATGAAGACGCTAATCCTCCAGAAAAAGAGTAGGAAAATGAAGATAATGGCGAAAATGTGCTAATAAGCGAGAGCTCGGTTATAAAATGTAACGAATTCGAGCGATCAATTTAAAACTAAGTTAGGGTAGAATTAAGCCAACTAAAAACAGGAAATGCTTGGCGTCAAAGCCCTAACCAAAGTCAAAATAATCCAAAGCCTTAGACAAGCTTAGCGAAGTCAAAGCGAAAGTCCAAGCTTTATTGGAATCCTAAGCCAGGGCCGAGGCAGGCTAAACCCAGGCCGAAGCGAAATCTAGGCCAAAGGTAGGCAGGCATAAACCGAAGCTTAAACCTAGCTTGGGTCCTACGCAAGCCTCAAAAGTCAGCTTCAAAAACTGAAAGCCAAGAAGTAAGCTTAAAATCCAAGTAGCTGAAGCTGCTGAAGCTGCCGGATGCCTTCCCATCCCCAGCCTCCACCTTATATAAAGCCCCTGTTTGGGTAAATGGCGTGTAAGTGCAAGTGTCCCTTCCGGAGATCAACACTCTCCTCCCACCTTTCAGACGATCAGATACATATCGTTCGCCTTTCCTCCTCTTCCTCTCGCAAAAAACATGTCTCTATTACAACGTCGTCGTCTAGAGCTCAAAAAATATTTTTGACGCCTCGGCGGACCCAAAAACAGACATGGTGCTGAATTGATGAGGTTGGAGGTGGCCGGAAGACTGTCTGGAATAACAGTTCTTTGGTGAGGTGGAGTTGAGTGTAGTTTTGTGGGTTCAGAAGGAGCACTAGCTTGTAAGAATGTTAAAGGTAGATGACGATCGGGTCGTAAAAAAGTCTTAACTTTACGATTCAAAATGAGGAATTTCCACAAAGAATATAGTGGGCGGCGATGAAAATTCCCTTTTAACGGCTGAGCCTCTAAGCCTAAGCCTAAGCTTAAGCCTAATCCTAAGCCTCCGTCTAAGCCTAAGCCTCAGTCTAAGCCTAAACTTAAGCCTAAGCCTAAGCCTCGGCCGACTCATCGTGCACCTCTAGAATTTTGTTTACCCCGCTGGGTTCAAACCCCGGCTCCCAATGGTACACGTGCACTTCCGCCCGGCACCCAGCTTTGGCATGGTGCCATCCAATGTTACTCATCCCCTCCTAGAGAGTATCGGCTGCGCGTTGTCTATGCAAATTTACCGGAATCGTGTTTATCCACCACATGTTTGGGGTGATGCAAATCGCGTCCAATTTTTGAAAATTTGGTTGCGAGAACCAGAGATCACTAAAGCGGGAAGCTGAAAAAAGTTGAGTATGGAGAAGGGTTTAGTAGAATTTTGAAGACATATAATAGCGGATTCTCACTTACTAATTGCAGACAAAGTACGGATCCGACTTTTGGTGGGGTCCGCTTTTTATTAATTTCGCGAAAAAATGAGTAACGTTCGACCTAACGAAAAGGTATTCCGATTCACATGCGTATCCTTGCGTACTAGTTTTTTGGAACCCGCGAAAAGCTTTTGACAAGCTCTCAAGTTAGTTTTCACGTTTGCATATTCGAGCTTATTCAAAAGCTGTAGGCACGATCGAACGCTGCCTAAACTAAAAAAAAAGAGAGTAGTGAGTACTTGAGTTCGAGCTTAACCAGCTTCGCTTGAGCTTGAGCTTGCGCAGCTTTGCTTGAGCTTAGCTTAAGCATAGGCTTCACGTCGGCTTTTGCTCGTCGTGCCCTGGACTTTAGGCTACGTCACAAGACCAGCTTCGACCGTCTCAGGTTGTTGTTTATGCAAATCCATGGCAGACGATGTTTTTGAGGACTGGGGTGCCCCAATAACATGGTGGGGCCAGGGGGCGGAGTCTGCCCAGGGGCAAAACACCAAAACATCCACTGTATAAAATGGCGGGCCGGGGGAGGGAAAAGCATCCACTGCCTCCACCAACACCTCTAGGGACCAAGCTTTCTCTAGAGCTTTTTGGATCCAGATTTTAGTTTTTTCGAATTTCTTAGGAATTCTTGACTTCGTCGAAGCCTTACTTGTCTTTGAAGAATTATCGTTTCATAGTTTCTTAAGGCGACCAAGTTTCGTTGAAGCCGCATTAGCTTTGGAAAATTGCTAGTTTGACGAGTTTTTGAGCCTGGTTTTTTAATTCCTTAAAAAAAATTCGGTTTTTGAGAAAAGTAAGCTTGGTCGGAGCAAAATTTTTAGCATTGTGCTATGGCTAGCTTCACAACTTTTCTGAAGATAACTAGCTTTCTAAGCAGTTTTCTGGCGTGAAACTTGGAAGATATGAACGTTTTGATGAATCTTATTCTTTTAATTCTATTTTTGGACTCTAAACTACGATCCTTACCTCAAAAATTACAGAAATCAACCACCAACCAACGCAATCAAAATGCCCGGAATCATCGAGAAGACCAAGGACGCCGTCGAGAATGCCGCCGAGGCGGTCAGTTTTCAAAACTTGTAATTAATAATATTCCGAGCATTACAAATTACATTCAAATCCAATTTCAGGTGAAGGACAAGGTGGCCGACTGGACGGGAATGTCCCACGAGGAACGGGCCAAGGATTCGGCCAAGAGCGCCTGGGAGGATGTCAAGGACAAGGCTCATGACAAGGTTCGTTTTATAAAGGGTTGGATGTAGTTCTGTAGTAGTTTGTAGTCTTATTAGAATCTCTAAAAACTAACCTATCAGCCTCTTGGTCTCGAATTATCTGGTTAATTTCAGAAGGAGGACGTGAAGGACTGGGCCCACGACAAGACCCGCGAGGCTGACCGCAAAATGGACAAATACTAAACGCTACAAATGACACACCCCACTTATATACGAAAAACGACAAACCTAAATTGATATAATTTTTTGATGTAAATAAACTTTTGAAACCGCAAATACTTGATTTAAACACATGATATCAGGGCAACATTAAGATACAGAAAACTCGAACATCCCTAGTCTCTCGGTCTCTCTGTCTCTTTCTCTCTGTCTCTCTTTCTCTCTCTCTCTCACCCTCGCTCACTCCTATTCCGCAATTTTCGAGAGCCTAAAAATCGGTGCGTCAGCGGGAATCTTCACTCAAACCTTCAGAGATGCTGGCATTCAACCCAAAATTAAGATAATTAACGCTGGCCGGAAATTGGTACCGCAAAACGGAAAGTGCGGGGCGTGTACCCAGTAATTTTGCATTTTTAAAAATTTTCTGCTTTTCTACCCGCGAAGAGCGAGAGAGAGGAAGCGAGAGAGCGAGCGAGAAAGCGAGAGAGAGAGAGAGAACGCGTGATTGTTCCAAAGGCAAAGCGCTACTTTGTGCTTCCTAAAGCACACTGGCCTCAGGGGATCATTGTTGTTTGTTACTGATTTGGCACGACGCTTCGGATTGAATTATTCGGGTTTTTGTCGCCTGCACGAAATTATAGATTACAGATACAAAGATTTGCGCGCAAATATGTTGGAATTCCTATTAATCTACCTGGCCTACGGTATCCCGTCATTTGCATTGATGGTTATGGTGATAATTTGCATTGCTAAGACGAAATCTCTGTATTCGGGTTCTTTCTATAAGGTCTATTTGTTTGTGTTGCTTGTGGTAGGTTTTTGGACTGTCAGAATTTGAAGGGATTGGGGATAGATGCAGCTAGAGAGTGAGAGAGAGGGTACGAGAGAGAGATGGGGGAGAGAGATAGCGGTAAGTGAAAAATGAAGGCTTTTAGTATCTGCTTACCTACATTAACACCTACGTCTCGATAAAACCCCGAGAATTGGCGGTATTAGCGGACTTTTATGTTGGAATTGAGAAGCGATTTTGGCTCTATCGCGTTTCGTATTTATGGACCTATGGCGCTTTCCATTGCCAAAATTTGGCGCTTATCCTGATGCACTTAAACCGATTTTCGATCGTCTGGCTGCCGGTTTTGTATGATAGGGTAAGACGAGAGAGAGAACGGGAGAGAGAGCGAGAGAGAGAGCGATAGAGGGCGAGAAAGAGCGAGAGAAAGAGAGAGAGAAACTTCTCTAGATCTGGACCGCAACAAATATCCTCATCGTTGCCATCCTGATTTTTGTCGTTAGCAACGCGATCTGTTATGAAGTGCTCTATTGTAGCAATTATTATGTGAAATTTGGAGAGTATGCGGGTGATGATGTCAATAGGAATGTGGTAAGTGATAGCGAAACAGGAAATGAAGTACAGTAACAGCCAAATAAAAGAGCTCTCGTGTCCATGAGCTTTTAATCAACGAGTTTAATGCCATTAACGACTTTTGATTCGTTTTCCGAGCTTTGAAAATTTCAGGAAATATTGTTCGTCAACCAAGCCCTGGCCCTGACCAGCCAGGTCTACCCCCTATTTTCGTTGGCCGTCAACTTGGCCACCTTCTCAAAGCTGGCCTGGTTTCGGTGCATCGGCAAGGGGTAGGTTTTGCTAAGCCTGAGGCTAATTAAGCCTCTGCCTAAGCCTAAGCCGCAGATCGCCCCAAGCTACGCCTAACAAACATAGCCTATGTGAGCCTAAGTCCAGGCAAACTCCCCTTTCCAGGTTACCTACAAGTGCTGCGGAAATCAATCTGGCGTTCATTTGCTTGGCAACGCTGGCGATGCAACTCGGTCTGATGCTGTATTTGGTATGGATAAGGATGGAGCCTACAAGGCAGAAAAAGTTACCAAAAAGTTCCAGTTTTCTCCGTTATTTTGTTGGGCCACTCCCATTAGCTACCTTAGCTAGCTGAATCTATTTGAAAACTTAAATAATTACAATTTTTCAGTTATTTTTCCAATATTTCGGCTGGGGCGCGACGATGCTGAATTTTTCGGTATTTCAAAATCAGTAACCTTATTCGAAACCCTTTTAGCTAAACTGCGTCTCCGATTTTTCGACGCTCAGCGAGGCGTGGATCGGGATAATTTTGAACCGGAATTTGCGCGCCGAATTCATGAGGCGCTTCTTCCCATTCAAGCTGGTGCGCGTCGAGATATCTGGGATCCACCAGTCTTCCGGGAGGGCTTCTACGAACAAGCCGATCGTTATTGGACGCCGGTGATCCGATAAATCGATCAATGAGGCTACCTAGGGTTGGGTTTTGGCGCAACCGGTTTCTGATCGATCGCTTTGCATATCCTAAACGATTAAATCGTTGGACGAAAACCGGTTTCCTGCTTCAAACCGATTTAAATCGGTTCACGAGGCAAAACCGGTTTTTGCCAGGCTCGGAAATTGGTTCAAGGTAAAAAACCGGTTTTTCACGATTCGGTCCCGGAAGTGAAACCGGTCTTTATGCAAATCCCCAGCACACTTATTATTCAAGATGCGGTAATGTAAAGCCTGAAATTTCACAAATTTTTGGAAATCGGGTTCTGTTTTAGCTTGTCAGCAATGCATGGAGCAGAGACAAAAGATTAGAACGTCATATTTAACGCTGGTGCGAGCCTGGAGCGCTTCAAAATGATCGAGTACAATCTAAGGATATCAGTAACAGTCGGGTCCGCGCGTGAAAGCGGGAAAATACCTTGCCGATCTAGAACTGTGACCGAAAAGACAATCAACTATAATAAAAAAGTAGAGACGTCCGTCTGTCTGTGTGTCTGAAGCCGAATTCAACTCGAAGGGGGAAGGAGCTAGAGCTTAGGTCTCTTCGGATTCGGAAAGAGCGTGGTCAGAAACCCCCAAACTGATAAAAAAATTATGAAAAACTTTTAGTTTAAATTATTAAAATTAACTTTGAAAGTTTTTTCCTTAGTAAAAGGGGTGGGGGACGGAGGTTGGGATGATTTTGGACATAGTGAGCCAGGTCGCGCGCGTTTCGTGGATGAAAATTTTCACGGGGGATTTCATTTCTTTTTTTTCTCATTCCATCCGGTCGGTCGTTATTTTTGTCTTTTTTAAGGGGATTTCGGCTAGGGGAGGTATCTGAAGCCATCGGGAACGTATTGAGGTAGTTTTTGAAGGGGATTTCAGCCATGGGGGTATCTGAAGCCATCGGGAAGGTATTTAGGTAGTTTTGGAAGGGGATTTCAGCCATGGGGGTATCTGAAGCCATCAGGAAGGTATTTAAGTTGTTTTTGAAGGGGATTTCAGCCATGGGGGGTATCTGAAGCCATCAGGAAGGTATCGATGTAGTTTTTTTTTGAGAGGATTTCGGCGAGCGGAAGTATCTAAAGCCAAGTAAAGTAGCTAAGTTTTAGCAGGGGTTGGCCATAGAAGGTATCTGAAGCGACCAGCGTGGGTATTGATGAAGGTAGAGGTGTAATGTGGTGGTGTATAACATGGAGGGTAGCCCGAAGGCCAGTCGATTACAGTCGCGAAGCGGCTGTAATCGGCTGGTCTTAAACGACTGGTAAAGCCCGAACAATGAAGTAGCAATCACGCTGTCTGAGTTGATTAGAATTAATATTATTTGCATAAAGACCGGTTTCACTTCCGGGACCGAATCGTGAAAAACCGGTTTTTTTTTACCTTGAACCGATTTCCGAGCCTGGCAAAAACCGGTTTTGCCTCGTGAACCGATTTAAATCGGTTTGAAGCCGGAAACCGGTTTTCGTCCAACGATTTAATCGTTTAGGATATGCAAAGCGATCGATCGGAAACCGGTTGCGCCAAAACCCAACCCTAAGGCTACCTGAAAAGCGCCGAACTGTTATAAAGTATCCTCGAAATATATCAAATGCCAAAGAAAAAATTTCGCCGTATTGGCAATTCATAAATATATGAAGAAAATTTTAGTTTGTTTTAGTTTTGAAACGCAACTTGCCAGATAAAACAACAGAAAAGCAATGGAAGCGAAGTTTGCGTGTTTTGTAGTCGAACCTTTCATATTTTGCCGAAAAAGATTGAGAATCGTGTAAAATGCCGACAAATTGCTTTCTTTGCAGAAAATAGAGTAACGATTGTCGGCGTAATGGTTTTCGAAACTAGGAATTTCCGAAATTATCTTTTTCGAAAGTTTTTAAGCAAGGATTTTTCTAGATTTCCTTTTGAATGACGTGATTTTCTCCTGTATTGCTTTCTTTTGAACGATTTTCTGGATCAATACCGTTAGGATATAATCCCTTTTCAAGCAATGATTTTTGAAATAGTGAGTCTTCGACGCCATGAAATTTTGGAAGTAATGAACCTACAATGGTGTTTTCTCGAGGCTGAATTTCCAGGCTATAAATTTTCGAAAGTATTCGCTGCCAATTGTTAATAAGGATCTTTTGGCTGTTGAACTGATACCTTTGAAATAATGGTTTTTGGAGCAATCAATTTGCAAAGGACGGGGCAGCGGGCAGCCGGCCACTAGGGTCCAATAGGCGGGCCCGCCCCTCTCCCCTGTTGCTACCATGGCCTAACGGTTAGGGCCCTCGTCTCTGACCCCGAGGGTCGCGAGTTCGACCCCTGCCCGCGGCGCTCACCTATTCACCCGGCCGTCGCCCCCCAGATGGTCGGGTTGCAAACGTGAGCCACAGCAACGGCTGCCAGGTCCGCATTGATCAACCAGTGGAAGCTGAGCCCTGGTTGATTGGGTGATACTGGACAGTTTTTTTTGTTCATTTCGGAAAAGTATGTTAGTTACTAAAATACGCGCCTTTATTTGGAGGGGAACCTACCATTTTTTTCTATTGGCTTGATTTTGTCTAGTATAAAGCGAGGAAGGGTTGTTAAACGGCTTCTATTTTTGCTAAAAACTTTACAATTTTTTTCAGAAAGGGAACTTAGAATAACATCGATTTTTTTTGACCCAAAATGGGCGATTTTTGGCAGAAGTAAAAGACCAAAACCGACCCAGACCAAATTTTCGTTCCGGGGCGAAGTTTTGAGTTGCCCAACCCACGGGACCAGCAAACCAAAATCAGATTTGCATATGGAACACCTTTTTCAGATCATTTTAACGCGCACTATTCTTTTCGCTCTCTCCGCGCCGACCGGTCGTGCCCCGGTATGCCGTGGCAGCCGGTGAAGTATGGGGGCGGTATTCCGGCCGATGGCAAATCGGGCGATACGCCCATAAATACCCTCGAAGCGGCTTCGACCCCATTCCAAACGCCGGTGAACACCGCCCAGGACCCGACCAGCGAGGAAGAGCCAGGTGAGGGGGTGTCGCTGTACCTTTAGAAAGCAAATATTGCCGGTCGCCGGACCGTAAATATTTCATTTTTGCATTGATTTTCCTTATATTTTTACTGATTTACTATTTTGATTTGCAAAACAGTTGCTTTTCAAAAAACTTCAGCGCTTTTGTAGCTGCATTAGCCCCTAGCGGACGATAAGAGCAAACTAAACAGAAAGAGCGAGAGGACGAGAGCGAGAGGGAGAGAGAGAGAGAGAGAGAGAGGGGAGAGAGAGCGAGAGAGAGCGAGAGAGATAGACAGAGAGAGAGGGACAGACAGAACGAGAGAGAAAGAGAGAGAGAGAACGAGTGAGACAGAGAGAGAAAGGGAGGGAGGGCGAGGGACAGAGAGAGAGAGAGAGAGAGAGAGAGAGAGAGAGAGAGCGAAAGAATTTTAAAAAGTCCCAAGCTTTTTTGCTAAAAGGTTCAAAAATTTTATCGCTAGTTTTCATGTTCTGCCTGGAATTCCAAGCACCCCAGCAATCGCCGCTGACCCTATTATGTCCGGTGCTGCGTTTTCACCCCCGATTATGCAAATTTGATTTGCTGTTTTGCTCGCAGAATCGGGTGCACTGACCCCTCGTTTTCCAAAAAAGAGCCGCAAATTTTACCTAGATACAGCACAATGTACACCAAATTGCAGCTTTGTAGAACCGTCCCTTTAAAATTGCTCATTATTAAATTCCTTAAGAATTAAATTTTATTTGTTGGTAATTAGAGCTCCTTTAACGCCGCTAAAAAAACCAGAAAACCCAAGCCGATTTTCCTCTAATTTAGTGGTGACCGTCGGGGACCGAGATAATTTGCTCCGAGACCAGAGGGTTAGGGTAGTTTTCAAAATCGGGTTTTCGGGATACTGTAGAAGATCTGAAGCACATAATTTCAGCCATGACGCCACCCAAGAACATTGACGACTTTATGCGATTCGGGCGGCACTCGCTGTTAGTGGCCATCATGCTGGAGGTCGGCAAAGACTAATTTTTTATTAAACTGCTTTTACGCGTCTCAAACCGGCTGCTAGAATTCAAATCCATTGGCTACGGTAGAAATCTCGTTTTTAGATTGTCATGATCTCCGACTGCGGGAATTTGCTGTACATGATTTTTGGAGGTGATTTTTTTGTATTAAGTTCGCAAAAATTTAAAGTTATTTGGGTTCTGTTCTATTTCGAGTGGGGGAAAAAACTGTGCGGGGGGAAATATGCTTCGTGGAACCTTCCATCTTTTCGCTATTTTCTCGGGATTTCTGCAACGCCATTCGATAGAGCATCAAAAAATATACTAAGAATTTTTGTTTTAGCTTAAAATATTGTAATATAAAAAAGTTATAGCAAAAACAAAAAAAACTATTGAAACTGGTTCCGGAATGTTAGTTTTCGGCATTTTCGCCTGTTCTTCGATATTTTGAACCCGTCATTCGATAGAGCATCAAAAATACACTCAGATTTTTCATTTCATCTAAAAATATTGTTTTATAAAATAGTTATAGCAAAAAGAAGGTTTATTCGGTGTTTCCACATGGGGATCGTGGAGTCGAAAGCTAGTTTTCGACATTTTTGATAACTTTCAAAAATTTCTTTAATGCCATTCGATAGAGCGGGAAAAAATATAGTAAGAGTTTTAATTACAATTCAAAATAGCATCATATAAAAGATTTATAAAAAAACTAAGAAAATTCCCCCCGCACAGTTTTTTCCCCCACGCGAAATAGAACAGAACCGTTATTTGAGTTGTCCGGTTTTGCAATTAACAAATTAATGGGTTAATAAAAATTTTATACAAAATTTGTATCTAAAGAATCATTCTTAGGGGCCGTGCCGACCATCGAGGGCTGCGAGGAGTTTCCGGCAAACGTGACGGCCGGCTGGAGCCAAGAGAAATTTTGTCATGCTTATCATAGTAAATTTCCTTCTTATTATAAAACACTTATTATTCTATTTTTTATTAAATTTAATTCTACTAATCCTAAAGCATTCTTTTAGGCCGGAACGAGTTCGCCAACACCACCTGCTCCCCCATCATCAAGCCCGAATTTTTCTCGGTCAATGTCGAGGTTGTATTTATAAAAGAAGCAGGAAGCGCTGCTAGCTGGTCTTGAATTAGCCATAATTGCTTACGGTGTTTCAAACGAATTACTGATTGCAGTTCGAACTCCTCTGCGACGACACGGCGCACGTGAAGCAGAGCACGTCAATTCAGGTTGGGCTGACTTCAGTGGACCTTTAAGTAGTAGAAAAGCGATCTTTTGGCCACCTGCCTTCACCCCCGTACCATTAATCCGTCTACACCAAGTTCGAAAAAATTCTGATGTTACCCTCCCTTTAAAACCCGGAAATTTTGCAGATGATCGGCTACCTCGTCGGCTCGATGTTCTGGGGCCAAATCTCGGATTTATACGGCCGAAAGAAGGTGGGCTCTAACGTGACTTTTGCTCTCATTAATGTGTTTTTTAGCCAATGGTGGCCACCCTGATCCTGAACGGCATCATCGGCTGCGTCTCGGCCTTTATCCCCAACCTGATGTCGTTCACGATTCTGCGCGTCTTCGTCAGCCTCTTCTTCACCGGGCATTTGGTGTAGGGTTTTTTAAGGGCTTGGGGTTGAGCCAGCTAGCAGAGATTTTTAGGGATACAAAGAAGGTTCGAAAAAATCATTGTTCAGGCTTTTTCGCTTCTAAAAATTATGCATTTTCTTTTTATGCAGTTTTTGACCAATGAATCAAATTTTTCGAAGACCCTTGGAATTTTTGGAATTTTTTTTGGTATCAAAAATCTGTATAAAATGCCATAGTTAATTATGGGGCCGGACCGGCTAATTTAGTCCCCCGCTAACGTACCAGTGCCGATTTCAGCATCGCGATGGTCTACTTCTGCGAAATCTTCCCCACCAAGCACCGTCTCTGGCTGGCCTTCGTCCTCAACTGGTCTCCCAATTTCATCGTTGTTGCGGTGATCGGTAGCCTAAAACTTGCTTTATCTACAGTACCCTGTTTCTAGCCTGGTTGTGCGGTGATTGGCGCGTCTTCTCCGTTGCAGTTAACGTCATCTGCTTTGCGGCGGCTGGGTTGATGTGGTAAGTTTGTTGTGGTGGCTTATGACCAGCTTATAGATTATTTGGTGCTTTGGCATTATCGGGGGGGAGCAAATTTTTTGTGGATCTAATTTTTCAGCGATAAATAGTGCAAGTGTTTTTAAATAGTCTCTGCTATTCCTTGGGTTACGATGAGAAAACGTCAAAAACATCGGTTTCTCGACCAAAACTGGCCGATTTTTGACAAAAACCCCCAACTTTTTCTGATTTTTTTTGCGAAAAATACTTGCCATTAAGTTACTGTTTAGTTTAGATTTCTATACTTATACAAAAAATTCGGTTCTCCCCCCAATAATGTAAAAGCTCCTTTTTTCAGTTTCTGCATCGAATCCCCGCATTTCCTGATTCGAAGCGGAAAAGTGGATGAAGCCATTTCGGCGCTACGGTATATGTATGCTGTATGTTTCCGGCTTATTTTAATTAAGCTAAATTATATAAACTTAACATGCCAAATTAGCGCGTTTTTGGCAGTTTTAGCTAGCTCTACAAATTTTCGGATTTTAGGTCGACGGCGCCGAACTAGACGAGAAGGAGCTCGAGGCAATGATCTCACACGAGCAGAAAAAACTGGAGGTACGAATTTTCACGTCATGAAGTTTAAAGGGGTTGCGACACCGCACTTTCCGTTTTTTTCAGTTAATCCCGAAGGAACGCTTCTCGTTCCCGCACCTCTTCTGCACCTGGAAACTGTGCGGCTACACGGCGGCCGTGTTTTTGAGCTAGTAAGAAGAACTCTGGAATCGATTACGCTACTAAATTAATTTTCCGACTTGTTTATAATACTAATCTGATAGTCTATATAAATGCGTAATCGTTTTATCTAGCTATTTGGGCCGTTTAACTTGATCCTTTTTCCAGTTTCTCCACCTCCATCGTCAGCTACGCCCTCCTCTTCAACATGGAAGACATTGGGGGATCGGTAAGTTTTTTCATATGTTTCTCAAAAATAACTTGAAAGATAATTGATAGCTTGAATGTCAAGATAATCTTTTACTCTAATTTCTACAGATTTACATGAACACGATCGCGATGGGCGTCTTCCGGCTGGTGATCAACCTCTGTTCGGCGGCCGCCGATTTGAAGTTGCCCTGGCTGGGGCGGAAGGTAGACCTGAGAGAGGAGAGAGGAGAGAGAGAGAGAGAGAGAGCGAGAGAAGGAGAGAGTTAGGAGATGGCTTTTGGAAATAGCGCCCATCACAGCTTGAACGAATATCTAAAGCGAAAACAATCATTTTAGAAAGCTCACAAATTCTTCTGCTTCTACAGCATTGCGACCCTGCTGATCGCGTTGGTTGCAGATCGGATAGGTATCATTTTAGCCTAAAACTTCCGTTTATAGCTTTCAGATGTCTTAAAGACAATCAAAAGCTTTGAACGCCCAAAAACCTCTGATTTTTCCAGGCGTTGAAGACGCGTGGGCGGTCGTCATCCGCTACATGCTCCTATCTACCGCCTCAATGGTCTGCCAAATGTTCGCCATCGTCAGCGTCGTCTGCAACGAGGTCAGCTTCCAAAAAATTGTATTTTGTTGGCTTCGCAGTCCCTTTAAAAGTCAATCTGTTTTTAGGTGTTCCCCACCCCGGTCCGAAACCTTGCCTACGCCATGTCGCAAGTCAGCGAGAGCGCCGGAGCTGCACTTGGACCCCAGCTTTTTGGATTGGTGGGTCGGGAAAGAGGGAGAAAGCGAAAGAGAGAGAGAGAGAGAGAGAGAGAGAGAGAGAGAGAGAGAAGAGAGTGCTTGTTTCAGCGAGCCTTCGGAACCTGGGTGCCCCTGGCGGTGATGTTGGCCTGCGTGATCGGCGACTTGACGACGTTCCACTTTTGCATCCCGGAGACGAAAGACCTGCCGCTGGCGGACCACATGCCGGAAGGGGAGAATCGGATGGGACCGTTTAGGTATGGTCCACAGCTTTTCAATTTTTCCTTCGTTTTTTGGTACTTTCCTCTTACTGGGGGGAAGGGGGGGGCAGGGTTGCTGCGAAAAAAATCAAAATTCTAGACGCTTTCAAAACCAGACGCCAATTCGAATTTTTCCAGAAAAACAAGCAAGATCATCAACTCGGCGACAACTTCCGGCTACTCGTCCCCCAACCACAAACTGAGCATCCACTCGACGTCATCGATTGCTGCTTGAGGGCAGCGTTAAAAGTATCGGATCAGATACTCGACCATCAAAAACCATCACATTATCTTCCGAACGCCTCGCCCCTATTAATATTTGCTGTGTGAGGTTGCACCAGATAATCCGGTGTCGTTTTTGTACATATTGAATAAAGCTATTACATTGATTTTGTCGTTTTCGAGCAAAGGGCCGACGACGTCGATTTTGTCGAAAATTCGCGTCAGCCAGTCGAGCTCCTCAGGATTTCGCCTTGGACTTATTCGAACCAGCTCAAAACGCTGATTCCGAGGTGCTAATTGCCTTAGCTCAAAAATCCGGTTTGTCGTTTTCACGATTTTTTGAAGTTTCACCTAGACCTAGAGAGATAGAGAGAGAGCCAGCGAGAGAGAGCGTGAGAGAGAGAAAAAGAGAAAGAAAAGGAGAGAAAGCGATAGAGAGCGAGAAATAGAGAGAATTAGAGAGACAGCGCCGCTCAAAACGGCTCAAAGCAAGCAAAAGGCAGATAATTTCTGCACTAAAATTGAATTCACCGAAAATGGCAACAAAATCCATTTCCGATAGCCATTCCTGAGTGCAAAAGCTGGGCCACAGTTCTCCCCGCTACGGGACCTTTTTTGGCCCCGGCGTTTTTGGTCGTCTGCACCCGCGCGGGTATTTGTGGGCGGGCGGATCCCTTTGCGCCCCGATCCCGCTGGGATGTTTGGGGCCGGAATTGCACTAGGTGCCTCCGGAGTGCGGCATTAGTGCATTTGCGGACATTTTGCGGTCGCGCTGCACCAAATGCCGCCTTTGCACCGCGCGGCGGGGGCGAGTGTACTTGGAATGACCTCAAGATGGACCCGAGCTGCACGGTGGGCTGCTGGGAGATGTGTTTGAAATACGCTGTACTTCGCGCCATCGCGTCATCTTTTTCCACCTGTTGCGACGTTTCCATCTCACTAATTCGATCCCTTTCTCGCTCTCCCGCCCTATAGCTCTCGGTCTCTCTCTCTCTCTCTCTCTCTCTCTCTCTCTCTCTCTCTTCGCTAACTCTCTCCCTCTCTTTCCCTCTCTCTCTCTCCCTCTCTCTCTCTCTCTCTCTCTCTCTCGCTAACTCTCTCTCTATCTCTCTCGCTCTCTCTCCCGCCTACAGAAAACATGGCATTTGATCTTTCGATAGTACGTCTGGATACTGTCGCCGGCCCATCAAACCCTCATAAAGCTTCTCGGGTCCACCAAGCACGCGGCGATAAGGATCCACGCTCTGAAGAAATTTACTTCCGTTTTGCCAAAAAAACTGGATTGATTTTGACAAATTGTGAAGTTCCGCTGCCGCTGAAATTTTTTTTTTGAATCCATCAGATTTTGCAAAAAAGTTGTCAGTTCTCAGCCGAAATCTCAGTTTAATGTGAGAAGGGTATCTAAGGGACATCTGCTGTCTAGACCGGGTTTCAGATCGAGGGTCGAGATCGATGGGCGGGACCCTGGGGGTGCACTGGGTGCGAATGTGGGTACAGCCCGGGTGCTTGCACCCGGTTGCACCCACGGTGCCCTGGGGTCGTTCTGGGTATCCGCTGGGTACGGGTGCTCCTGCCCGCGCTCCGTTCTCCGGGACCTGGGTGCAAGGGATGGGATAGGAGCGGCGGCCAACGACGTCTCTTTTTTTGGTTGCGTTAGCAATTTCGAAGTATAGTCACGAGGTATCGTGATTTCATCAAACTTTTTCTTATTGTTCTTAGCCTGAGGCCTATACTAGATCAGCCGTTAATATTTGTTACTAGCACTTAAAATAAATGTTTCTTACTAACCAATACTGGTATTTATGGCTTGTTTTAATAATATATATAATTTTTACAATTTGACCTTGCCAGCCAAAAACAAGGTTTCTAAATTCCCATTTTTAGTTAAATCTTTGAAACGTCGATATTTCCCGGTCCCAGCCATTAATTTCTGCTTTTTACCATCATTTTTTCTGCCCATTATTTCCGGTTCTCATTTATCATCCTTCCCGCCCTTTCTCTGCCCTGTTTTTGCTGCTGTGTTTTTTTGCTGTTATTTCGTCTCGCCAGGCCAGCGGCTCTCTCTCTCTCTCTCTCTCTCTCTCTCTCTCTCTCTCTCACTCCCTTTCCCTTTTATTTGCTGTTTTGCCCCCGGATTCTCGCCTTTCCCCACCTCTCGGCGTACCCGTTGGCTGGGTGCATAGGGACCGCCCGGCTGGGTGCGGGGCGGCGGGGTCGTTCTGAGGATCTTTTGGGTGCGGCTGGACCTTAGATCGAGGGTCTTAAGATTAATTTCAAGGTTTGGCAATTAGGGTCCTTGCTGATCTTTTACTCAAAAAACTAGGGTTTGAAGTTAGGCGCAAGTTGAGTCCAAGAATTTCTCAATTTTTTAGGGTGTGACTCTCTCTCCCTCTCTCTCCCTCATCTCTCTCTCTCTCTCTCTCTCTCTCTCTCTCTCTCTCTCGCCCACGCGCTGTCTTTCTCTTGTTCCCTCAGCTTTAGATGCGGTTTATCGACATTATAGAAATAAAAAAAACAAGATTATAAAATTCTAAAGGTTTTTATTTGTGCTCAAAATGACTACAGGAAAACGTTTTAATTTTTCAGGATTTGTAACCTTTTGTACCTTTTGTAGCCCTCTACGAATAAAGAACTACAAAAAACTATAAAAGTTAAGTAAATACACTCTGTATTATTAACACTCGGCGTATGGTGAAAAATGATGGCGGAAACATCTACGCCAAAAAATACCACTCGTCCGCTAAAAATTTGGTCGCCCCCCCTCGCTAACCAACCAGTCGCTAGAATGTCACACAAACTCGAGCTTATGGTGCAGGAAATACGGTATTGCATTTTTTACGAGCACTAAAAACCCTCGGAAACGCTGCGCAAACCTAGTAAGTACCGGCTAACGTTAATTCGCTGATTTTGCGCATCAAATTCCGGTCCGAGTGCATCTTAGGGTCGATTTGGGTAGATATCGGGTCTATCCCGAGTTCACATCGAGGTGATCCCGGGTGCAGTGAGTGTATTGTGGGGTGTTGGGGGGAGCCTCGCGTACGCGCTTGGTGCGGCAGACGGGGGCAGAGCCGAGCACCCGGCCCCCAGCCCCCAGTCACACCCACCTCGTCCCCCCATTCTCACCTCTATTGCACCCATTTTCTACGCGAAATGCACCGAACATCCTTGAATCATCATTTGATGATATTGTCTGGCGTTTATCATGAGCATTTTGCGCTGAAATCGCACCCGGGGTGAACCAAAGAGATTTCAGCGCTGTCCTCCGCTGCGATCCGCCTTTTTCGCGTAGGATTGTTTTTCTTCTCTTTCTTTTTTTTCTTCAAGTTTACAAAATAAAAGTGTACCTGACCTTTAGCAAACAAATTCTTACGTTTTGAAACATGGCACGGATTTTTAGTACTGGGCCAAATTATTTTCCAGTAGTCCTGTACTATGACAAAATATTTTTAATCAAATTTTGATAGCTTTTGAAGCAGCTTTCAGATCTATGAAAAACTCATAAAAAATTATGACGAGTTTTTCATCAAAAAATGTTGAAAATGGGAAAAATGTCCCAATTTTGGGGATCTTTGAATTTTCTGTTGCTTTCTAGCAACCAAAACTATTAAAAACTCTAGAGAAATACATCGTACCCATTACGTTACGCAATCGAAATATCTCCTTGTTTTCTGGTCTGGTTTTCAATATATTTTTCCTCTATTTTACCTTGTTTGTAATTTTCTTGCCTTGTTGCTTTGTTAACGATTGCCCATTTCAGGTTGATGCTCACGATCTCGAAGCGACGTGGATGTTTCAGAAAAAAACTAGCAATAAACTCATTATGCTGCAATAAAGTTTGTCAGCACCATTTATCTACATCCAAGCTACCCTCATTGATTCGTGACGCTAACTTCAATGATTCTGGATTTCTGCCCGGAAGTGAATCTCCTCCATACATTACCACCAAAGATTATATTCAAGGCTTCTTCTCGGTATGGTCGATTGAACACGAGCAGGCTAATTGAATTCAGGTAGCCATGCGAGATAAACATCCCAAAAAAAAGGTTGCCGACAGCTGGAAAGAAACCATATTTTTAACACGGTTAGCAACTTACCAAGACTAAATTCAAAATGGGTTAGCGTTAACACAACGGCATAAATCCATGGGGCACCCAGGCAAAACACGGGCACGAGCAACTAAATTTCATTATCGATTTTATTTTTTTAAATTGTAGTTGATTTTTAAGGTTTCAATTAGTATTTACAAGCCTTCAGAACGCGCTCTTTAGAAAGATCTACCAAAAAAAAGTTCGCTACAAACTTTTGAAATTTATGCTAGTAAAACTTAGGTCAAAAGGCTGACCTCGCGGACCCAAATTCGCTCGGATTTAATCAATTGGATCTAGAAAGTATACACCCTGCAATTGCCCGTGGTACATTACTTCTACCGTATCCAGTTAATTTTTTAAACGCATCGGAAAATCACCTGAACCATAATCTGAGAGAGGTAGAGTTTTTGGAGTTGTCGCGTTCTGGCGCTCATATGACTCGCGTGTTTGTCGAGAATGTGGAATGAGCCCTGCACGCTGATGTGGTTCTAGAAAATAGATCAAAAATGATGATACATATACGCTGTAAAGTACGCAAACGAAAAATTTTCGACAAAGGATACCAGTAACGTGTTGCAGAGGGTAATTATCAGAATAGCCGATGCAAGCAGTGTTTGTGTCTGGCTATCAGCCGACGCACACAGGCCTGGTACGTCTCCTATTACGGCGAGACAGGGATGATCCTGAAAACTTAGTAAAACTTTTGAAGAATTTTGTCACAACCTTAAAATCTTACCAAAATCTGGAATTCTAGGCAACTGGAATTTTAGGGAGTTTGACGTTTCAAAATCTGCTATTTACAAATAGCGACGTTTAAGAATTTCGAATTTTCAATATTTAGAAGTTTCACAAGCTGATTTTCAGAAAAAACTCAAATCTCGGAATTGCCGGAATTCTAATTTCCCGAAATTCGAATTTTGAAGTTGCCGGTTTTTAATTCTAAAGTTTTGAATCACGAATTTTCATAAACTAGGATGGTGAAAGCCACGAATTTTCAAAAGATCAAGTTTTCACGGGCACGGGTACAAACGGTTTCTCCTGGTTCGTCTGAGAACCGACATTTTTTTCTCTATCCGATACCTACAAAAATCAATCGATACCTCCAGAAGCCTACCTTCAACAGTCCGTTAAATGCCTCCGATCCAAATCCATTATCGATTTTCAAGCAGAACGTCAAGTAGGTAAGGATCGCAATAGGAACCCCATAAATTATGAATACGATATAGCAAATCCAAATTGGTCTAGACAGCCCAAAAAATAAGTATATCTTGAAAGCCTATGGTACTTACTTATACCAGTGATCATCAGTGAGCAGCATTTGATGTTTGAAAGAAAGCGTTTGAACGATAGAAGCGCTGAGCAGGGATACGGTAATCGCTCCGGTCGTCTGAAAACCGTAAGATAAAAAAATTAGGACATTCATATTATCGTATATTTAAAATTTATCAATGTTTAATTACACGTGATTTGTTTATATTCGTTTTTTAATTTGACAATTAGAATTTACCAAAGTATATTGGCAATCTATGCCGAAACTGCGGCTCCACGGTCCCAACAATCGAGTACCAAAAGCTGGGAACCACAGCTCCGGCACCAGCATCAAGGCGGCGGTCTCGAAGACGACGGAAAATATCTGGAATTCCAAACACTCAAAGGGGTCAGGAAAGCCCAGGACACATTAGCATAAACTTTTCTCTGCTCCCTCCTGCCTCGACCCACTCTCTACCCATTTTTTGCATGGGTATGCCCGGTTGATTCCTGATTCCTGACCCCTGATACTTGGCCTTCCTCATCCCTTCAACATCGGAAATCTGCCCGAACTTGTTGGAAAGATTACGGAGGATACTTGGAATGGGCAAATCTGATTCAAAATGAATGCAGGTGCGTGGCTGAGCGTCGCCAGCACAAATTCAGGGTCTGAGCATTTAGACCAAACGTTCATTAAAGATCGGGCCGCTCTTAAATTCATGGCGGGAGAGCGAGAGAGAGTGAGTAAAAGATAGAGGAGAGAGCGAGAGAGGTAGATAGAGTGAGAAAGAGAAGAATTTTCCGATTAGATTGTCCGATTGTCTGATTGAAGCGGCTGCGGTTGGTCGTAAAATACATATCTTTGTGTTTCTTACGAACAATGTATGATTTTTTTCCAGTTGGGACAAAAATAATTGAGAATTCCTGCGTCTAGTTATATTAAAAAATGCGTTTTTAATATGACAAGTTACTCGCCTGCACCATCACCAAATGCACCCGATATTCGGTCATAAAATTCGGCGACTTGGCGATGATCAAATACAGCACAAAGACGGCCAAGGGGTAGCTGAAGAAGGGCATAACTTTTCCGTAGGTAGCATATATCGAGGGGAATTCATAATGGCAATTTGATAAATCAACCGGAACCATCTATAGTCTCTGAATTCCCATAAGAGCCGAAACTTGTGGGTAGGTTTGAACGGCGTGCGCGCCTCGCCGAGACGTGCAGGTGCTTTCCGGCCAAAAGCAGGAGAAAAGATCCCACTCCTTCTGTAACCGCAATTGATGTTTGAGGACCAGCTTTTATGCTTTCCCGAAAGAGTAAAAAGGAGTTTATGATTTAGTACCCGTCCTCAAACAAGGCCTGCAAACCCGATATTTTGCTCTTTGCTGTAATTTTGCACTTCGAGGCTGTGACTATGCGCTTTTTGCAGACTTTGAGGAATTGGTTAGTGTACCAAGATACCGAATGCCTCTACAAAAATGGAAAGGCAAAAACCACCAAAAATTGGCGATTGGGTGCTTTTGCATTAACGGGGGCGGGCCTAATGGGGGGGGGGGGGGGCGGGGCGGTATGGGTAAATCCGAGGTTTTCTCAGATCCAATTTTGCTAGTATAAATAGTGGAGACACGTTTAAACTGTGTTTACCACTCCCACATATCAAAAAATTTACAGAGTTCAGTGAAAGATGAAAAAGGACATTGAAAAATCCGCTTTCTATGGAAAAGGAGGGCTTTTACAAAAGTTAAAAAAATATTTTGCTGTTTGACTTAGAATGTTGGTAAATTTCGCTAAAAATACTATTAACCCCTTGCTATTTCTTGTCCTATAAAAAAATTAACTCCGCCCGGTAAACCGCAACGTGTTTACCAGGCGGAGTTCTAGCGTTTTTTAGGAAGGCCCAAACCTTTGGATTTAGCTAAAGGACTTTAAATTTGGCTCATTAAAACCGGATTTGAGAAATGTTCGATAGTGAAAAATACTTGTAATTCGAGTCTATCCGATTTTCGGAAGGGGACCACCCGGTGCTCGGCTCCTCCCACTCTCGATTTTTGCATTGCGTAATCGATTCCTTTTTTACCAGGGACTTCCTCATCCCTTTGAAAGAAAGTCGCTTTTCAAACTTATAGTATTTCCAGGGCGGTTCAGTTCAACCTAATCGTATTACATTTCCAGTCTGTATCCCCTTCCTGATCCCGGCAATTTTGATACCATTAAACCACGAATCCCGCACGTCGCCCCATGCATCTATTATTAGCCGTAATTACCGCTCCCCCCGGGCCCGCCAGGTGTTTTTCACGCTTCCGAGGTGCGACTACGGTTACCGGAAAACATTTCTGAAAGAAGTTGCTAAATTCTTGACGCAAAATGCCGCTATTTGACTTTGAAAACCAAAGCTATCGCTTCACCGAGGCACCGAAAAATTTGACCATCAATTTCGAGCTGCGCTATCGACTGCAGTATATTTATTATACAGTGCTGTGCTTTTCTGTTCTTGTTAATTCTCTTGGAGGGTACTGTATTTTCACAAAATCGACAAAGGAAATGGGCAGATATAAATGGTTTTTGTGCAATATTTGGGTAAGTTTTAGGTGCGCTGAATTAAAGTGAAAATCAACTTTCATGTGGCCTTGTATCAAATGCATAACAATTAGGAAAAAATACTATAAATTAAAATACAATTTTTTTTAGTTCTGGGCCTTCTCGGTGGACTTGATGCTGTCGCTCGTCATCCAGCCAATGTCGTTTTTGCCGTTAATCGGAGGAATTGGGCTGCGAAAATGGGGATTCGCTATTGAGGACGATCCGCTCTGTATTTTTGGAGCCACGGTAAGTCTTAAAATTTGAATGTAACTGGCTCAAACCTGGCAGCTTGCACTGTTCGGAAGAATACGTACGCAAAATGACACGCTAATGAACTAAAAACAACTAAAAAACCAAAAACAAGCACTGAAGGTCAAAAGATCTTACATAACGTGTCGTAACGTAACTTACAGTAACGTAACTTAATGTAAAGTACGCAAATAGTAGTATACTGGATCATGTCTTATAGGTCGTCGCCCTATTCTGTATCTGCTGCTGCGAACAATCTATACAACTCGGATTTCTCTATCGATTCTTGCTCCTTCACGAACAATCCTGGCCCATGAAAAGCAACCGGAATTTGATTATCGTATGCCCTAAAACGCAAAATTTCTGTGATTCAGGATTTAGCTAGTCATCTTTACCCATTATGGTGTCGTGGCGGCAGTGGCTTTTTACTCGCTTACTTATATTCCGCAAACCACCGCGAGAGCCTATATCGCGTATGTGAGTGCTTTGAAAAAGCTTAAAATATAGAAAATTGAGGCTTAAAACACTTTATTAAAAGATTTCTACTATTTTTAGCACGTCCGAGACCCTCAAGAAATCCTGGACTCCAATCTGAACCTATTGACACTACATAAGGATTTGAATCCGTGGTGGCTGGTGTCGAATATTGAGATGAATGTTGGTGGGTGAATCATTTCTATCGCGTCCTCTCTCTCTCCCACGCTCTCTCTCTCTCTCTCTCTATCGCTTCATCGTTTCCAATTTTAGCTAGCGCCATTTACCTATTAACTACCGTAGCCTTGGCCATCATCACCCTACGTGCTATCCGAAAAATCGGGTTTATGTCGAGTCGTGTGGCGCAGGCCAAACATCTGAATACCCTCCAAGCCCTCGTATGCCAGGTGAAATTGATGGAAAACCCGTGATTAGTGTTTATTTTAAAGTTTAAACATAAAACTCGTTATTTCAGGTGCTGATTCCATTGGTCACATATATTATACCAATCGCTGGTATCCTTATTGCCGTCCAGACCAGTTATCAATCGGATTATTTGCAAATTAAGTTAATTTTAAACAAGCAAAGCAAATTAAGTAGAATTTGGTTGTAATTTCCGGCTTTGTTACGCTATGTAAAATTCGAAAAAAAGCAGCGCAAAAATTTGGGTTTTGTAGCCGTCAGCTGCTACGCTTTGGCGTTGATGTCGTCGCATGGAGCCCTGAATTCCCTAGCAATGATAGCTACGGTACCCTCCTATCGACGTTTCGTTTTTGGAAGGCTATTACGATATTGGGGACGAGGTCAAGAGGGCGAACTCGATGGTGTCCAACCATCCACAATGATGGAAATGTCAAGCGGTTCGAATTCGTATTGAAAGAAGAAGTTATTGTTTTTGTGTTTTCAATACGTATTATAAGATTATGTCTCTTCTTCATATACCCTTTTCCTCTTAAACCCGTGAAATACATAACTGTTATTATCAATACAATAATACAAAAAAATTAAAGCAATAAAATTACGCCAAAAATCCAATCAATTCACGATTAATTCGATATATACATGTTAAAACTTAATTTCCATGCCAACACTCAGCGGCTGAATCGATGCTCTTTTCTGAAGATTCGACGGCGTTATTGTCATTTCCGATACTTGAATCGTAGAGGATTTTGGTGACATGACGTCTTCCCAATTTTTTCTAAAATTAATTTGGAAAACTAATTCAGAATGCAGCCGAAAAATCCTCTACAAAAAAAAACAAAAATTCTAACCTGAAAATCATGCGAAACACCTCTAATCGATATGGCTTGATAATGAAAATCGTCGTCAAGGAATTGATCAGGCCGTGGGAGAGGAAAATACCGAACAAGACGTGGTTCAAGGCTGTAATGTAATAAATTAGATTGCGTTCTAGGAAAATTACTGAGATGCAATCCCAGGCCTGCGAGCGTTGATCCCATCACCCAAATCCATGGAGCGCCCATCGCAATGAGCTGGATGAAGAGCTAAAACGTTTTCCGTTGAACTTTGGGTATTGATTTAGGCGTACTTGAAGTACTAGTAAGGTATATTTAATGAACGTAGCAAACCTGCCTGTATAGCCAGATTTATCAAAAATAGCTTCTGCATTTTTCGAGTCTGCAGACTCATATGGTCCTGGTCTTGATTAAGAATATGCATAGAGTGATGGATAAAAATGGTATTCTGAAATTTTTCTGTAGTGCAAAATATGGTGCTTCTAACCAGTATTGTATTACTGGCGATTATATAGAGCACAGCGTAGGCGCAAACTCGAATCGGTGCGTCCTCTTCTGGAGCGCAAAGACCGGAAACGTCACCGACCAGGGAGAGACAGGGGTATTGCTAAAGCAAGCAATTTTCAAAATTTCGAAAATCGTAATATCAAAGGTCAACATATCGAAATTTTATAATGCTCAAATTTCGAAATGCCGGAATGAAGAAATTTACATAATTTAATCTGCCAGAAAAACCCCCGAATCCCTGCAAAAATCTCGGCAACTTGAAAACTCGATACCCTGAAATTTCAACATTCAGAAATTACACTGCATGAAATTTCGAATGCTTTAACTAACACTAAATAACAGCTGCATCTGCGGCGAATAATATCCATCCACTCCCTTGATCCGGGATGCCGTTCCGCAGAGAATTACCATTTGATTCACATAGAAAATCGCGACCAAAATTATCCACGTTCGATAGCGAAGTCTAAAATCGATAAATCAAAGCTCATACGAGACAACGGAGTGCCAGATTTTCGGCATTCAACGCTCTAACGGCATTTTTACATGGAAATGTCGCGTGTGCGAAAGTAGGATACGAAGCGCTACCTTGTACACTTTTACTCCTTGCGAGTTTTAGTTTTGATCTCATGCTAACCGTTTAAACTCGTACTTGAACAAACTCTCCGGCGGAAGCGGCCTTTGATGTTTGAAGGACAGGATTTGAACTATAGCATTATTTACCAGGCCGGCCGCTACCGTGCCGGTAATCTAAATCTACCGTATATGGTTACTCTTGAGGATACCTTACAAAAGTATATCGACAACTAAAGTGTTGACCCCAAGGACCGTGATATCGGGCGCCCCAAGCAGGAAACCAGGTCTCCGGGACCATCATCAGAAAAGCAAGCTCGTAGAAGATCGAGAAAAACTGAAAATTTCAGGAGTTTGTGAGTTTAATTGGTTCTGGACTGTTAGGGGGGGCGAGAGATTTTTAGCAGGGGAAAAGCACTTTCTGTTTTTTTACCTGTTGATGATATATCCGGTATTTTTATAGTGTTTTTAGTCGTTTTTGATCGCTAGATAGTTATAAAAAATATTTTTGATTTTGAAAATTCAGAAATTTTTTAAGTTTTTTAGTCATTTGTCCGACCGAACCGTTTAGTCGTTAATGACTCTAACTTTACAGTCGATAACATTTCTTTTTACCTGCAACATCACTAAATGTATCCGATACTCTTTCATATAGTCCGGTGACTTCCAAATGATCAGAAAAAGCGTGAAAGCAGCCAATGGGTAGCTCAGGAACGGAAGCGCTTCCCCGTAGCTTACGAAAACATATGGAACCTCATAATCACAATTCGATAAGTTCCAAGATAAGGTCATGTTTTGAAAAATGATGTTATGACTATAGCTCTCTGCTTTGGAAGGAAGGGAAAAGGATTGAAAGAAAAGTCTGATTGCATTGGACAGGTGTTTATTAACAAATTTTATTCTTCTGCTTTTAGTATGTTAGTTAAGAATTAGTTTGGTGTTTCGAGCCTATGCTCCTATGCTCTCTCTCTCTCTCACGCTTTCTCTCTCTCTCTCTCTCTCTCTCTCTTTTTCACTGCATGAACTATATTTTTTTTATTCAGATTTAATTAAAAAAATCCTGAATTTTGTTGAGCTTCACGGAATAACGGTGTCGGACAAGGTCGAGTGTTTATTATAAAATTCTTGTCAAGAGCGTCCAAACTCAGCTGAGTCTCCGGCACCGGCACCAATATCAGATATATTAGCTCGTAGAGGATAGAGAAACTGTTATCGGGGGGTGTATTTTTAGCAGTGGGGAAAACAAATTTTTGTTTTTCCGTCTATACATCCTTGTTGCTGTTATATTATATATTTTCATAGTGTTTTTAGTAGTTTTGGATTGCCAGAAAGTTCGAAAAAATATTTTTAAGATTTTTGAAAATTCGAAAATGTAGAGCGTTTTTGGCCATTTTCATACATTTTTGAACAAAAACAAATCGAAAATTTGTTATTATTGTTTATTGTTTTAATATTTAAACACCATGTAAAATTCTATACAATAGGTCTATGTTTGGTTAGAGGGCCGTAGAAAACCACAGGGAAAAATTTGGTTTCCCTGCTAAACCCCCCGCAAACAGTCCAGAACAAATACGTTATAAGAAAGATATCCTTACCTGTAAAATCCCCAGATGGATCCGGTAGTCTTTCATAGAATCCGGGGGATCGCTAACTAATCAAATATAGCGTAAACGCGGCCATGGGGTCGCTGACGAATGGTAGCACCTCCCCGTAGGATACGTATAGATAAGGAGTTTCATAATTGCAGTTTCTTACATAGTAAGGCATGGTATTCTGATAAAATCGGGAAACTATCAGAATCTCGAAACCCAGAACCTCGAAAATTGGAATCTCGAAAATATATAATTTTTCCCATCAAAAAAAGGTAAGCGGCCGCCGGCCAACACCTGTCTGCCCAAAAAAATGTATTTTGGTCTTGATTTTCAAGATTCTGATATCAAATTGACGAAATCTAACGCGTAGTAAGTCCAGATGTCGCCACCGCGGTTGTTAGCAAACATTTAGCAGGTGTTTTCCAGGAAAGTTCAGCTTGCGCACTTTCATACCTTAGACATTTCCGATAAATTGTTTATATGCCTTTATTAATAAAATATACCTTTTTGTATTCCTAGCTAGGGTATGGTCGACACGACGATTATCGAGGATTTTGCAGAAAAGTCTTCCCAACGGCGCCTAAAAAAATATATTTAAAACCAAGCCATTAACCCGCCGAAAAACTATTCGGAAAACCTCCATACGATAGGGCTTTATAACGAACATTGTAGTAAGCGAATTGATCAATCCGTGTGAAATGAAAATGGCGAAGAGGTAGTTGTTTAATGCTATAAATAACCTTAAAAACGATTGAGAAAAAACTTGCTGAGATGCAAATCATAATTAGCCAGAGTAGCAACCAAAACCCAAATCCAGGGCACGCCCATCGCGGCCAGCTGAATGAAGAGCTAAATTCACAAAATACTGAATTTCCATAGTTGCTAAATCGGTTCGAATTGAGCACGAGCTATTTTTATTACCTGATACGCTAAATTGAGTAAGAATATTTTCTGGAGCTTCCTGGTACTGGCGCTCATATGGGCTTGCTCGCGGTCCAAAATGTAGATCGAATGATGGACGAAAATTGCGTTCTGGAACTCGTGAAGTCTTTTCCAACCAAGAGCCAAGTGTTTTTAAACACTCAAAAAAGATTATAAAACTATTGTAGTTATCTCATGAGATCGACAAAAAGACATTTACCAGCACCGTATTGCTCGAAATTACGTAAAGCCCAGCGTATGCCATGGCTTCGATACTTCCATCCCCAGCTGCGCATAGATAGCCCAGAAACGTTTCCAACTAGAGATAGGCAGGGGTGTGCCTGAAAAGTGAAGCTAGAAATGATTGGATTATGGTAATGATGACAGCGAAGATCGTTATTAGGAAAGAGAGGAAGGAAAAGATAGAGGAAAAGCAAAATCGTACACTAAAGATATTTTGCATGGCCGGCGTGTCGTAGCCGTCATAAAGCGGAATGCCGCCGGCGGCATAGCCCAACGCAGCTTGCTGCTGGATGTAGAAAATGACCAGCAGGATCACCCAGGTACGTTTTCTAACCCTGAAAATCGACATAGACAATCGATAATGTAGGATTAAATCCGGAACCAACCGGAAACGGCTCTTATGCGGCAACAGTTGCTGATGTTTGAACGATAGAATTTGGACGATCGCCTCGTTCACGAGCCCCGTCACGATCGTTCCGGCAAGCTATAGTTGTTAGTGCATTTAGAGACATGCGGACTTACAAGTGAATATCTACAACTGAAGTGGCCACCCCATGGCCCATGAAATCGGGCTCCCCAGGCCGGAAACCACACCTCCATCACCATCATTAACAACACCAGCTCGTAGATGATAGAACAACACTAAAAAGAAAACTATATTGGGAGCGGAATCCGCTTCTTAACCTGTAAAATCACCAAATGGATCCGGTAGTCTTTCATAAAATCCGGAGATCGCCAAATAATCAAATATAGCGCAAACGCGGCCATGGGGTAGCTTACGTAGGGCAGTATCCCGCCGTAGGTCGCGTAGGCCGTAGGGACCCCGTAGTCGCAGTTGCTAACGTCGAAAGACATTTAGTCCCTTTGATCTGGATGAATGCTACTTGAGACTACTGAGGGACATTCTTCCGCTGACTGCATTGGCCAAAAGCGTACGCAGGTGCTTTTGGGTACAGGTAGTGTTGTTATATGACATGAGTCGTCACCGACATGCGTCGGCGAAAATGCAAATGACTTGAGTCGGTACCGACTGGCATCGGAAAAATTATGAGTCGGAAGGGACGGATTGAAATGTTAACGATTCAATTCGGAAACGAGGCGAGTCGCCAAACGATTTGAGTCCGAATGGAAATCAGTCGGATGGAACGACTTGAAATCGCGACGACGCAAGTCGCCGACGACTCAAGTCGTTTGCGTTTTCAAGTCGTTGGAAGTGAATTTATGCAAATATATGTTCATGGAAATAATTTTGATGGACCAACTATATTCATTTTTGAGCAGAGAGACAACGCCGCACCACGCTTTACGCTACGATACGACAAGAGATCATGTCCGATCGACCCTCTTCCATCGAAAGCTGCACCAAAATTGCTTCCACCACTCTCCCTTCCACTTTTTTAGCCGCTGCTTGTTATTACCTTTCTCGTCTTGTTTTTGTTTGTTTTTGTGTTTTTTTGAGTCCACCGTTCGTGTTATTTTAGCCTTTATTTCCTCCGGCAACGCTTGACAAATCCATCACAATAATTGGCGTTGTCTTGCTTTTCCATTCGTCCCAGGACTTCCTATAAGTACTCATACCGCTCCGTTTTAAGGAGTAAACATACCGGAATACTATTCGAAACGTTGCTAACCGATATGGTCGATAAATAAAAATAACGGATAAGGAATTGAGCAGCCCGTGCGAGCAGAATGCGCCGAGCAGCACTTGGTTGAACACTGCAAAAGATTAGATTGATTGAAGCTGGCAAACAGTCCTATAAACTGATGCGCTAACACATACCCAGAGCTGGGCGAAGCCCAACCACCGTCACAAATAGAAACCAAATTGGCGTAGCTGCCAGGGAGAAAAATGAGATTAGAAGCTGAGGGCGGTTAGCACAATGCGTCGTACGTCACTGACCTGCACCAGGAGACTCAAGAAAAACGCTTGCTGAAGCTTCTTCGTCTTCGTGCTCACATTGGTGCGCGTGCCGAAGAGCAGATAACTTGAGTGAAACGCGAAGACACCGCACTATCGCACTGTCAATCAAAATATAACACATACCAGGCTGCAGTTGATGACGCTAACGGTTCCGACCAGTATCCAGCTAACCCCGGCAGAATCACCCGGCGCAATAGCACAGATATCGGGCTTTTCGTAAACGAGAGCCAGGCATGGGTATTTCTGAAGAAAGCCAGACCAATCCGTAGATATGAAACTGCTTATTAGCAAGTTACTAATTTCAAAACCAAGCGATTACGCAACACGATTACGCCGCACTTCTCTGTACCTGTCCCTTGTGCGCGTCCGCGTCTCACTCCCAAAACTCGCTGCCCCTCCTTTGAACCTTTCGCCATAATTTTTTTTGTTTATTAACCTTATTGTCACAAATAAATTGAAATACATAATCATCCTGTTGGGTTGAAGTCAACGTTTCGTAAAGTCACGCAAATCACAGTTACGAGAGCCTTCCCGCTCACCTCAATCAGCTGCTGCACACCCACAGTGTAATAACCGCAATCCAAGACCGGTTGGTACATGGCCAGGACTGTTTGAATCGAAACGAGGATGTATAAGCAAATAACCAGGAAAAGCCACCGCCTGGGTGCTACTCTAAAAATTATCACCTCGCCCGAGCTTTGCACTGTAATTTTGCTTTATGGATTTTTTTTTGTCGTTCGCTCGCCGGGTTTTGATCGGCCTTGATCAGGCAAATCCTGAATGATTTAAGAGACACCTACTTCCAAGCGCTACCAGCGGGTAGAAGGCGCTGATGCTTGAACGAGATGATTGAACGATTGCTTCCAGCGCAAATGCGTAGAACACGGCAGCACAGACCTAAGAGAAAGTGCGGCTATAAAAATTTTCCTGAACAGGAATACGGGATGTGCTCCTTGAGAACGCAAAAATTACGAGAACTCACCAGGCCAGATTTCACGCCTAACCCGAAAATCCAGTACCAGGGTCCTAGCATCCGACCGGCGGTCGCCGGGAAGAACATCTCGGGGGCGTAACTTTGCACGAGTGCGTCGAAGGCAAGCCCCAACACCTAAACGGTTTTGAAAACGCTTCCCAAAAAGCATTGTTCGACCTGTAAATTGCACAAATGCGCACGGATATCTTTCCTGTGGGCTGGAGATTTGACGACGATCAAGTAGAGCACAAAAACTGTCAGCGGACTGCTGAAGACTGGGACGATTTTTGTGTAGTAGTCGTAGACGTAGGGGTATTGATAGTAGCAGCCAAAAACCTCGGAAGCATTCTGCATTCCAAGGCTGCGATCCGTTGTTTTGTAAATAATGGATGCTATGTAGTGTGGCAGGTTTCCTCAAAGACAGGTGAATTTTTGAAAGAAGTTTTGTCGAGTCGATGGCGGGGGCGCGTTAAGTTTCCGGAGTGGGTCCAATTACAAAATTGATTTGCAAGTAATGGCACAGTGCAAGTGCAAGTGCATTGCCATTAACTTAGGCAGATCCTCGACATTGTTGAACCGACAGAATTTTGATTTTCAAGCAGTGCTTTAATTCGAGCATTAAATCATATAAATCATATCATTTGCAGCCCATTAAATGCGCATAATCAGGCTCGCGAAGGCTCAAATTTATTGTACCACTGGTACTTGATTTTGCTTGGGCGCAACCATCTTTAACGCCAGCTTGATGCGCTTGATTTTCTCCGCTTTCTCGGCGGCAGTCGATAGCTCGGCCGGGTGGACGCGCATTCCCCTTCCGAGATATTCGTCCAGAGTCCTCCTGGAAGAGCTTGATTGCTTTGAAAAATAACATTACCTGAAAAGTATAAGAAACAACTCCTCGCGATACGGGCGATGAATTATGATCACGGCCCACGAGTTGAAAAGGCCGTGCGAGCAAAAGCCGGTAAAGAGCAGGTTGTTCCAGACTTGAGGTTTCATTTTCAGGTTCAAGCACAAAATAACGCTTACGAATCAGAGGCTCAAAATCGATTATAGCAGCGATCATAAAATACATCCAGGGAGCTGCCAAGAAGACGAAAGGCAGGGCTACCTGAGATAAAATCTTTATCCAAGCTCCTTTTGGATCACCTGTAAAAGAATACTAAAGAAGAAACTCCGTTGTAACTTCCGTGTCTTTACGCTCATCTGACTGCGTTTACTATACAAAATGAAAATAGAGTGGGCAACTGGGAGGACAAACTAAAAAGGTTTTTTCGCTTGTCTCTAACAAGACATACCAAGTTCAAATTCACGATGGACACAATGCCGACACAAATGAGGAACGTATAAACCGAGTCGCCGACGATAGCACATAGAGTTGGATCATCCGCATCGACGTTGCCGACGCATGGATGTTTCTAAACAGATAGAAAATAAGGCTTGTTTTCTTCAGGAACCTGTATCGTGGCCTGAAAACCATCTGAATAATAACCATAGTCCATCTTGAGCTGATAAGTACCATAAAAAAGAATAATCGCCACCATTATGTAAACGACAATTATCGCTCGAAGCCAGCACTTTGTTTTGAATCTTGAGGGATAAAAAAATTTACAGAAAAACGCTTGCTGTCTACCTCCAAAAGCTGTTCACCGGCAGCAGTTTTTGGTGTTTATAGGTAAGGATTTGGACGGACGCTTCGATGACGCATCCTACACCAATAGCTCCGACAACCTGGAAAATGAGACGGATCTTTAAAAGGGGCCAATATCTAGTAAACACCGGTATTGGTCCCTTTTTAACTTACTAATGCCCATTTGCAGCCAAAATCAAGCACCGTGCCCCAGGGGCCGATCAATCTGCCGCTCCACGCCGGGAAATAGACTTCGGGCGCGATGCTCATGACGACGGCTTCGTAGATGATTCCGATTACCTAATATACTATTTGTTCAAAAAACAAAGAATATTATTTAAAACTAATTCACCTATTAAGCAGCGGACATTTTATTAAATCAAGTTAGTGTTACGTGGGTTTTCTGCATTTCAGCGCACTAATGAGAGCCAGAAGATCCTCGTGCTCCTCTCATACTCTATTTTGGGCGAGGAAGGGAATTTATGGTGACACGAGCGGAAATAAGAGCAGAAAGCGAAAAACGGCATGCATTGCGGGTTAAAAGGCCGCCCGCGACTCATCCGAACAGGCCCCATTATGACTTGGCACAGTTTTTTCGACCCAATTTTTATGACGTCATCTGAAAGAGTGGGGTCGAATTAGTTGGGTGGTATGGTTTTGAAAGTTTAAAAAGTTTAATTTTGGGGTTAAAATCGACGTCAAAGTTGCCACCTTCGAGAAACTATCTTGAAAATTACTGAACTAAACAGGCTGAAATTTTGGGTTAGTACCTAATTTGGGGTGGGGGAACATTTCTCTAATACATTGTGAAGCATGAAAATGGCCGGAACATAGTTAAATGGCGTACTAAATACGGTTTTTCGACATTTTCGACATTTTAGGGTGGTTTGCGAAAGCTGACTATTACAGGAAAAGATGCGCCATAGCTTTCTGCATCGAATGGTGTATAGCTTGTTGAGCGCGAACCATCCTAAAAATTAGTTTTATTCGCTTTTATGTGTGAAAAAGTGGCTAAAAATCACCACGAAAAACGAAAATTTTTTATTTCGGAAAATCTAAGATATGGGATGGCATCTAGAGATCGAGAGGAATCGATTGCAAAAAAGCGCAAAAAGAAATTCGGCTTCTTTCGTTGTCGTGGAATCGAACCCGGAGCCTCCGCCTGGGAACCCTGTGGCGCAATCAGTAGAGCGGCCGCGTGCAAATCCAGGGGTGGCGCCAGTTCAATCCCAGCCTCCTCTCAGAAGCCGAATTTCTTTTTGCCCTTTTTTTGAATCGATTCCTCTCGATCTCTAGATGCCATCCCATATCTTAGATTTTCCGAAATAAAAAAATTTTCGTTTTTCGTGGTGATTTTTAGCCACTTTTTCACACATAAAAGCGAATAAAACTAATTTTTAGGGTGGTTCGCGCTCAACAAGCTATACACCATTTGATGCAGAAAGCTATGGCGCATCTTTTCCTGTAATAGTCAGCTTTCGCAAACCACCCTAAAATGTCGAAAATGTCGAAAAACCGTATTTAGTACGCCATTTAACTATGTTCCGGCCATTTTCATGCTTCACAATGTATTAGAGGAATGTTCCCCACCCCAAATTAGGTACTAACCCAAAATTTCAGCCTGTTTAGTTCAGTAATTTTCAAGATAGTTTCTCGAAGGTGGCAACTTTGAGGTCGATTTTAACCCCAAAATTAAACTTTTTTAAACTTTCAAAACCATACCACCCAACTAATTCGACCACGCTCTTTCAGATGACGTCATAAAAATTGGGTCGAAAAAAAACTGTGCCAAGCATTGTTCGGGTGGCTCGTAAACGGCCTTTTAAAAAGTATAGTATTCACCTGAGATGTGCATAGATGAATTCTAATGTCCTTCATGTGCGATGGTGACTTTTTCACAATCAGCCAGAGCGTTAAGAATGCCAGCGGGTAGCTGTAGAATGGGATTAGCTTGGTGAAATATGAGTAGAGATAGGGGTAACCGTATTCACAGCCGATCGGCGGAATCCATGTCGCGGGCGTCGCAGTCGTCGCTCTTGTCGATCCATTTTGCATCGGTTTGGGGGCGAGGATCGTAAGTTCCGGCCAAGGAGCTACCCTTGCCGGAACAGGTGATTTTTGTGGCTTCCCGAAAATTAGGGATATATTTTGGGGCACTAGAAGCCGCAGAGTACAGAGAATCGTCAATGAAAAGCCTGTTAACGGACAGGTGAAGGTGAATACTTTTGCATCGGGAGTTTGTGATTTTTGTGGAGGGCAACAGTGTTGTACTTACTTACTTAGGCAATTGGATGATGAAATTGACAGTTTGTGGCCGATATGCCGCCTGTTTTCGAACGCGCGTGAAAATTTGAAACCTCAACTTCAAAATGCTTTCTCGGTTCTGGTTTGTCAGCGGGGTGGGGAAGAAATTTTTCCTAGTGATTTCCTACGGCCCTATAACGATTTGTTCATGATGTTTCTCAACTTTAACCTAGTTTCTGGACATAAAAATTTTATAAAAATAATCAAGGTTTTCGGAATTTATCGACTTTTTCGGCCAAAATTTCTGAAAAATTACAAAAAGATCAAAATTTTCGAATTTCCACATGAGTTTAAGCTTCTTAGCGATCAAAAACTACTTCAAATACTATAAAAATGCATTAAATATCATCAACAAGTTTTCCCCTGCTGAACCCCCTGCTAACAGTACGCGTTTGTCGACGCCGTTTCAGGTACTGACGTTGTCTTCATAGTCTGTATGGTTTTTTTACATTATCGATTGGCCAACCAGCATTGTGTAGGAAATCTATATGACACATTTATTTAGGACCAATCAATTTTAGCGCAAGTCTGACACGCTTCATTTTCTCGACTTTCTCGGCGGCGGTGGAGAGCTCTGCCGGATGGACGGGCAAAACTTGTCCCATATATTCGCCCCATGATTTTCTGAAAGCAGTTTCTAAGTAAGAATATATTACCTAAAGATAAAGAAGAAAGTTTCCTCGCGGTACGGCCGATAAATCAAGATCACCGAGATAGAATTCAGAAAACCATGTGAGCAAAATCCGGTGAAGAGCAGGTCGTTCCAGACTGAAATAGGTATATTTTGTTGGGTATCACGGTATTGAATAGTATTTTGTTATGGAAAGTTAATGAATGCAACTCACGGACAAGCGGTTCAAAATCTATTAATGCAGCTGCTATAAAATACACCCAAGGTACCGCCAGGGAGGTAAATGGTATGGCCATCTAAAATGGCTTATTTATTTAGACTTTGGTACGAATTACCTGTAACAAAATACTGAGGAAGAAGCTTCTCTGTAGCCGCCGCGTCTTGTCACTCATCTGACTGCGTTTTTCATACAAGATATAGATTGAATGAAGGACCGGGAAGAGGATCTAAACTCTTTACGCGTCTCGATTATGGCAGCAGATACCAAGCTAAAGTTGATCGCAGATACTATCGCTACGCAGATTAGAAAAGTGTAAACGGAATCGCCAACTATTGCGCATAAGGTCGGCACGTCGCCGACATTTGCGATGCAAGGATGCGCCTGAAAAATATTTTTGTGACTCGAGATAAGCCACCTCGATGACCGCTTGAAAGCCGGCCGAATTGTAGCCGTAATCCATTTCTAGCTGATAGGTACCGTAGAAAAGAAGGATACTGACGACGAGGTATAATGCAACAATCGATTGCTCCCAGCGTGTCGTGGATAGCCTGGAAGATAGAGAACTGGCTGTTTCAGGAGGCTCTGTTTGGAACTTCTCAAAGTGCTTAGGTATCCTACCTCCAGAGGCTGGTCGCTGGCAGCAGCCTTTGGTGTTTGTAGGTGAGGATTTGGACGCAGGCCTCAAAAACAAAGCCAACACCGATGGCTCCGAAGACCGAAAAATGCTTTTTGAAATGTAAATTTCAAAACGTCATTGTGCACACTTATCGAATAACTTATAAGCTGCACCACCCAGCAGGGAAATATCTAATCCGGAAGCATACCAGAGCCCATTTACATCCGATATCAAGCACGGTGCCTCAGGGACCCAGCAATCTGCCGCTCCACGCCGGAAAATAGACCTCCGGCGCGATGCTCAGGACCACGGCTTCGAAAACGATCTCAATAGCCTAAACGGAATAAGAGTATAACATCTCGTAAAATTTAAACTTTTTTATAAACTCGTGATACCTGCGCTGTGAACAGATGAATTCTGATGTCCTTCATGTGCTGCGGCGACTTCCGCATGATCAACCAGAGCACAAAGAAAGCAATCGGGTAGCTGTAGAAGGGTAGTGCCTTTGTATAATAAGAATAAGCATAGGGATATCCGTATTCACAGCCAAACCATGGCAATTTCAAAGAAGGTGTTTGGGTGGTTGAACCATTTTGCATCGAGCCCGAATGAAGATGTTTTAACGAGGAAATTCTGCCGCGCTTGACGGCAGGTGGCACCACCGAAAATCCCGGATAGGAAATGGAAAGGAGGGACGTAGGTGCCTAGAATTTTGCGACGAACGATAAGTATCGGACAGGTGATCCTACCCTTGATTTCGACAACGCATCTATATACAGACTGTCAAAAAAAAATCGAGCCTGCCCGCGCCGTCCGGACAAGGCTCGGATAGGGACGGTTTTTACCCCAACCGGAAGCTTTCGAAAAGGCAAAAACCGAAAATCTTTTCGCTTTACAAAACTTTTTAGCCCGCGCTCGATATTAAACAAATTCTTTACAAAAAGTAAATTCAGCGGAGGGCGACGATTTTTGGGACACTCTGTAGATGGAAAACGTGATTCTGATTGAGAATGGCTGATTCCGCAAACATCATGGTGACGTAGAAACCATTAAAAACCCTATGGGCTCAGTAAACGAGGATCCGCATAAAACCAAATCAGTTTTGCTGGTGTTTCCGTTTCTAGGGCATTTCGAAAGCTTCTGATAGTACGCGCTTGTCAGGAAACCTTCTTAAACCCAATTGTTCGTTTTTCAGTTTCAATATGATGCTATGTTTGCGCAGCAAATTCGCTTTATGTAATTAATCCACGAGCGCAGCCCGCTGCAGCTGTTCGCCAATTTTGCTAATGAGTCCAGCTGTTTTAAGCTCGTGATGCATCCGGGCCGACAATCGACCCAGCAGCATCAATACACAGACGCCCGCCGGTATGCAAAATAGCTCGATCTCAACCTCTTGCTCATATGAATACCCATACATCTATGATTACTACACGAGAGTGGTGCCTTTCATCAGCTTTCCATTGGCGTTTTTCGTGTTGTTTTTGATCATCAGAAAATCGCCGCCTCATATGCAAGATATCCGGTTACACCTGTGTAATTCACAGGTTTTATTTTTGCAAGCCACCCCAAAAACTATTCTAGGCAATATCCGTATGTTTTGAGGCGCTAATCCTCAGCATTACCCCGGAACTGTATTTCCCCGCCTGGGGCGGCAGGGTGCTGGGTCCCTGGTACACCATCCTTGGCTTTGGTGCCAAGTCAGCCTTTGTGGGTTACGACTGTAACACGAGTTTTCACTAATATTTCATAGGTAACGGGAGCTGTCGGGGTGGGATTCGTCTTGGAAGCGGTTGTGCAGCTCTTGTCTTACAAGCACCAGAGACTGTTACCGAAAGATAGTTTTTGGAGGTGGGTGTTGATGTTCCGGGAATTGATAGGCTTCTGGACTTCCAAACAGAGGTTAAGGAATAGCACACGCTGAAATCCATGTGTTTCTCAGATTCCTGGAACTTTGCCAAACTTGGCTAGACTTGCGCACCAAGAAGTCCTTTTCAGCAGATCAGCGCACTAATGAGAGGAGGTGCGGTGCGCAGATGTGTTAACGCTTGCCCTCGGGCTATGCTTTGGGCGGGAAGGGGCAATTTTGGAGTCCCCTGTGCGCAACATCTGCGAAATCTGGCAAAGTTCCAGGCATCTCAGTAACACGTCGATCGACGTGGCGCTATCCCTTTAGTGAATAGGTTGTCATGTGGGAGCTAAACGAATAATAGTCGACACTTACTTTGCAGGGCCCAGCCTAAGTTTTGGGTCTTCCTAATCGTTTGCCTATACATATTCATAACAATTCTATTATTCATCGGGCCCTACCAGACCAATATGGCCATTGGATATTACTCCCTAGCCTTCCAAAACGTGGTCGAGGTATCTTTCTTTTTGCGAAGGCGGGGTACGGTTTCTAAGTTTGGAGGCTGTATGTTTCTTTAAACATCCGTTAAACCTTTATTGACTTTATTTTATTGTTTAACGCTTGCAGAGACATCCATGCATGGCGCTCGTGTCCAACGTACCCGAGCTGACGGCCATTGCACCTGGAGGCACCGAAATGATTGCGCTCTCAATGATAGCAGCTGTTTGCGTCCTAAATTCAGGACTGGTGAGCCGTTTTTGTTGTTAATTTAAAACGCTACTGTGTAGTGCGCCCTCTTCACTCTCCACGCCGTCTACATCCTGTTTGGCAAGCGCAACCACATGAGCGCGAAAACGAAAAGGTTGCAGCAGACGTTTTTCTTGAGTCTGTTGGTGCAGGTTTGGCCAAGGGTTCGAAAAAGCACTAGTGAGAACCTTCAGCTACTCGTTCCGTTCATCTCGTTGGCAGCCCCATGGTTTTGGTTCATCTTTGCTGCCATTATCAAAATTGAACCAATCCTTGGTAGCTCCTAAAGCAAGTAAAAGTCAGTGACATCAGCTTTCAACAATCTCCTCCTGGGCGCGTTTTGCTCGCATGGACTGTGGAATTCGTTGTCAATTATCGTCATCTATCGGCCTTATCGCTTGGAAAGCTTGCGAATCTTGTTCGGGTGCGAGCTTGAAAGTATCCTTGAGACTTTTTTTTAGAAGATGTCGAGCCAGCTGGTCCAAAAAAACGACCCCGACTATCACAGTGACTGATCTATCGAGCGCCACGGCGCCGAGATAAGAAAGCAATCGTATGCATTGTAATAGATCGCAAGTGAGCCCGATAAAGTAACATAACAGACACCTTCGCGACACTTTTGGACTTTAACTTATGAACTATTGCTGATTGATTTTCGAAACGGTACCGTCCCTTGCTTCTTCTAGGTTTTCGGCAAAGCAAATGGTTAGCGTATATTGCGCAAATTCGTTTCATGAAATTAATTTCTGCGCATAGCTGCGTGTCCGATCTTTGGACTTTTCAGCGACGCGTAATTTGCTGCACTATGAAGATATGTAAGATTTTTAACATTTCTATGAGCACTTGGGAATCACATCCAGGACAAATATCGCCGATTGCTTCTTGGGAGTTTCCGACCCGAGGTTTCTAAAAGCATAGCGTTAGGCGCAGACAAAGCAATTACTTGGTGATTATCAGGAACGTCTCCATACGATAAGGTCGATAGATTAGCATTATCGAAATGGAGTTTAACAGGCCATGCGAGCAAAAGCAGGCCATTAGAACGTCGTTCAAACCTGAAAGAATTGGCTAGCGCTTCAAATAGCCCAACTTACCAATGCTTATACCAATTTCGAACACCGTTGCCAAGGTAAAATAAAACCATGGAGATGCGAGACAAATGAAGGGAAGCATAAGCTAAATTCGGGGTTCTACTCGCGTTTCAGAGTTGACAGTAGCACGAACATAAGAGCCACCTGGACGATCAAACTGCCGAAAAATACCCGCTGTAGTTTTTGGGTCTTTAGACTGGCGTGGCTCTGCTTTGTGTACAAAAGAACGAGTGAGTGAAGAGAGAAAAACGCGGCCTGAACCGACCATCAAACCGAAGAAGCGACCCACCAGGCTGCAATTCATGAAGCAAACGAATAGAATGCAGCAACAGGTGACCAATTGGCTGCCGCCGTCAGCTAAGGCGTAAAGATTTGGCGCATCGCCGATCGCGCCCAAACAGGGATAATCCTGGATATATCATGCTGATCTGGTGCCAAAATTTTAAACATACTTTGAGCAGACGCTGAAATCCGGCTGAATAGTAGCCCTGCGCGGGTTCCAGTTGGTACGTCCCATAAAAGAGCGCAGATAATGCGACGCTATACCCCAGCACACAACAAGTTATCCACAGCCAAAGGGGCAGTCTGGAGCGAACCTTGCCTTGCGAATAATTTGAAAAGGTACCTACTTGAGGAAGCAATGCTGGGGAAGCAATTGCCGATGTTTGAAGGCAAGTATCTGGATTACAGCCTCGAGAACGAGGCCGGCGCCGACTGCGCCGATGATCTAAACGTAGGAACCGGCCTGTTGCAATCAAACGCTGTGGGAAATTGGGTAGGGATTCTTAAAAACTTACAAACCCCGAGCGGGCTCCAAAACCGAAAACCGGATCCCAGGGACCTGGTATCCTGGCAGCCCACGCCGGAAAGTAGACTTCGGGCGCGAGGCTCAACATGAACGTCTCGTAAAACAGCGAAAATATCTGAAAGTTCGAAATCATCACCACTTCTTCTTTCTTCACCCCATGCTCTGGGCTTACACTTTCGCTCTGTAACTTTCTTGAACACATCGCTAGCTTCATTTTCAAAACTGCTAACGCCTAACGTCACAAACGCACCTGACACATGCACAAATTCATCCGATAGTCCTTCATATAGGGTGGAGAGCGCTGGATGATCAGCCAAAGCACAAAGATGGCTATAGGGAAGCTGATAAATGGGAGGACCCGCGTATAGGTAATATAGACATAGGGATAATCATATGTACAGCTCGAAAAGCCAGAAAAATTGCTTAGAGTCGTCATCCGGGATTTAATGAGCAAAATGATCGATTGTTGCCTGCCTAGCGACGCGACCGTGGGGGCATAACGTGCTGAAATGATGTTTTCATTCAGGGGCAGGTGAAAACCAGTTGGGGCAAAAAGGTCCAAATTTATTAGCTATTTCGCAATTAAGGAAGGAAAAGTTGGTGGCGGAATTTTAGCAGAAGCGGAAATGGATGGGTTTTTACTACACGTTAATTGTATAAAAAATGAGGGTTAAACCAAGGTATTGGGAGTAGACAAAGTGCATGATGATGATGTTGATATTCTTGCTATTGTTTTTTTGTTTTCACAGGATAAAACACTTTATTGTTCGGGCTTTTCTCGATTCGACATGCTCGTGCCCAAGTCGGCGATAAGAATCGGTGTCGTCTTGTTCGTCCATTCACCCCAAGTTCTCCTGAAAAACACATGAGAAGTGCCGCAACAAAGCGAAAATCAAAATACTGAAAACCCCCACCTCGATAGCACACGGAAGAACTCTAGTCGATACGGGCGGTAGATCATGATGATCGATAGCGAATTCAAGAAGCCATGAGAGGAAAAGGCGGCGAATAACAGGTTGTTGAGACCTAGAATAATTTTTGCAGCGAGATATCAAAGATTTTACCAATATTGGGAGGGTAGCTGGCGATAAAAGCAAATATGAAGTATAGCCAGGGGGCGGACAAGCAGATGAGCGGCACGATCAGCTGAAAAGGTTTTATTGTTTTTAAATACCTTGTAAAGTCTTTAAAATTGAGCTTTGAAAAAATTGCAGTCAATGCAGAAAGTCCTATAAACATTGCAAAATGTACTTGTGCATTTTCAGAAAGACACGCGTCATTTTTGGTGGGCTTTTGTATTGTTTTCACTCGAGAATCCTTCTAACGCCAGTATCCCATTCTGCAGCTGGTCTCTTTTTGTGATTCAACGCCGTCGTTGACGTCATCTAACGTTTCACGCTGTGAACCCAAGCTACAGGCGGCCATTACTGATTTTACTAGCAGGTGATTATTACACTGTGTAAATGCCAACCTGGACCATCATGTCGAAGAAGAAGGTCTTTTGCAGCGTTCGAGTCTTTGTGCTGACACGGCTGCGTTTTTTGAATAGAATTATGCTGCAGTGGAGACCGATGAAAAAGCACTGAAAAGTATCGGGTTTCTCGGAAAGAAAGATCTGGGCGACGAATAATAAAAGTAAAACAAGGTTTACCACGGTTCCATTGATGCAGGAGACAGAAAATATCGAAGCCAAGGTGCTAAATTCGGTGCCGAGCGACACGGCGTATAAATTCGGGACGTCTCCAATCAGGGCAACACAAGGAAATGCCTAAATGAAAATTAGGTTCTTTAGGATTTCCGGGGGAAGTATTTCTGGGGAAACCAAATTTTTTCCTGGTTTTCCCGGTTGACCTAGCAATCAAATATAAAGTGTTTTCACATTGTTTTTAGTAAATTTTAACTATATTTAAAGTAGAAAAACCTTTCAAAAAAGTTAGAAAAATGTTTGAAAAAGTCGAAAATTTAGTCATTTTGGGCCTTTCCCCCCCCCCCCCCGCTAATCCTAAAGGTTCTATAGGACTTTTCGACCTAAAATTAAATTTTTTAATTCAAAAGTGTGTAGTTTTTATGCTCAGGAATAGTTAAAAACCATTTAGAAACGCATGCGCTATTTAGAAAAATTTAGGCTTGGGCCGAAAAAATTTGGTTTCCCCGGAAATACTCCCCCGGAAATCCTAAAGAACCGAAAATTATAATGAATAAATTTTACCCATCTATGACAAAGGTAATGAATTTTTGCATTTCCTTACCTCAATAACCCTCTGAAAACTCGGCGTCCCAAACCCGTCCTCAAGTTCCAGCTGGCAGGTACCGAGCAACAGAATCAGGGTATCGATCAGGAACAGGGTGAACAACAAGCACATCCAGGTTTGCTGTGAAAATCTAAAAAATCTCACAAGTTAAGCTAAGGATCCTTAATGTACCTCCAAAAATTCGTATACGGAACGATGCGTTGATGTTTGTAAGAGATGATTTGGATGACAGCGATAAGCACAGGCATAACGCCGATCGCGCCCAAGATCTGAAATTATGCTTTATAACCGGCGAGTTTTTCGCATAAAAACCTAATAAAAAACTCACAAAAGCCCATCTGGCGCCCAGACCGAAGACGGTATCCCAGGGCCCAAGTATCCGTAGACCCCAGGCAGGGAAGTATAATTCGGGCACAATGCTCAAGATAATCGATTCATAGAGGAGAGAGAAGCTCTAGAAATCTATGCTTGATTTAATATTTTGAATAGATTTCTTAGCGCTGCCCAAAATTCTCCGTGATTCTCAGTCATCGTAGTTAGGATTTTAGTAATGAGCTTTAGAGTTATCGCTTTTCTCTTTATTCAGGTTATTTCAACAGCGTCTGTCCGCCTTTCAGTATAATTTTTTGGGGCATTATCGCGTTTTGCCGCTACCAAACTAGCTAATATCGATTTTTGCCATTTCCGGTAGCCGCTTGTGCATTTCTCAAACTAATCCACGCTCTTCAAAATCGTAATAAACTCACCAGAGAACAGCACAAATGTACCCGCAGTCCATTCATATGCGGTGGTGATTTTTTAAGAACTACCAGCAGGGCAAAGATGCCCAAAGGGTAGCTGACAAGCGGCAGCGCCTTCGTATACCATTCATACAAATAAGGATACTCATATGTGCAATTAGAAAGCAGTGATGTGGAATTGCCAGCCATGGGTACAGCTCTGGCTCGAATTTTGACTAGGTCAAAATAAGGCGGCAGACCCGCTGATTTTCCTCATTACGGTTGGGAGGGCCGCGGGGGCCAAACGTAAAGTTTGCCATGACCTGGACGCCGGGCAGGTGATACTTTGATTAGACACCTGAACGACGAGGTCCAGCCCGAGACCTTGTAGTCTATGCCGAAAAATGTGAAGAGGAGGGCCGTGGGCGTGGAGAAGCCATGGATCTTCGATGACATGCTACGACAGAGAATGGTGTCACATGGCTAGACTAATTTTTCAAGGTTCAGTCCAAGGTCTTTTACGAGGAATCGTTTTTAGAAGTCTTTGGAAGTTTTAGAAGTGATATAGCTTACTCTGTAGAGCTTTTGAAAGTCTGAACAAATACTTCTTCGCAAAAAATGGGCTCGAATTTCACATTTGTTCGATTGAAAAGCTAACTACTCCTGTCTACCCTAACGGATTTCGTGCAATACCTTGAAAAATATGTTTTGTAGTGTTTGAAGAACTTAATTTATCGCTAGTATTATTAGGCTTCTCCGATGCTTCTCTGCGTTGAGCGTTGAAAGCTCTTTAAAATGACATGTTACAATAAGCTCCCATATCAACGATTTTCTAAAAAGCACTTTAAAGCCAAAACCGCAAGAAATTTCTTGACAACCGAATAGAATTGTTTCGCCAGCTGCACCAAAAGGTCCCGCCAAATTCACCAAATCCCAGGTACTCTACAAACCTTTCATCGAATTTTTTCACGCTCGTTGCGCAACACCTATCCGTTTTCTCACCTTTCACACCGAAATGCTGCTCAATTTCTCGGACAATTCGTGATAGTATGGGTTTTGATCAATCGCCTTGTCGGCTGCGGATGATGATGCCCTTTCTCCTCCCGGGAGTCATCCCCAAATTAGCACCCCGATATCTGGTGTCGTGTTGACTCGATAATTTCGAGTGTTTTCATGGTCGACGTGTGGTGCGTCGCAAAAACAATCATTTAGCAGTTCTAGCCGACCAGTCATGTCGAACGTCTGCTTTGAAAGGATATTGTCGACTATTTTGTTGCTAAATATTGTACTACTACTTTCGAATACTCTTTCATGTTCAGGTTGGTTGTTTTGTTTGGAAATTACTGTGCAGAGGCTGGGCTTGATGCGCAGATCGATTATCGAATAAAGGATAAAAATTTCTTCGATAAACGGCAAAAACAAAATAAATCTAAACAAAATAAACGGAAAAATGAAAAAAAATTACAACGAAGAAAGGCGCGCGGGATTTCCCGAGGCCTTTACGATGCCGAATCGGGCGGTCGCCAGACAGGGGCTACGGTGATAAGGGCGCGCTAAAGGTGAGGGTCAGGCCCGTACGAGGGGGGGCAGGGGGCAGCCTGCCCCCCGAAATCTCGGGGGGCCGAAAAGTACATAAGGTAGTACCCTTATGTTTTTTTTTCATCATTTTTGCTGCCCCCATGGAGGGGGCTGCTGATCTAGAAGTTTGAATTTTCCCGCATTTTTTTGGCACTAATGTCAGGGTGGCAGATGGGGTTGGGTGTTGTTAGGAGATTATTTTGGCACCATTAATGGGCTAATATTTGGAGGAAAGGCCCAAAATAGGCAATAATGATACGGCGGTAACTCCATGGAGAAGTAACGGATCGGGATGATCTATATAGCGATAGAAAGCCCAAAGCAGGGAGAATACAGGGCAATGTAAAGCAGAAACCCGTATTGCTAAAGCACTTTATTCCGGTTACTAACGGTAACTTAGCGCGGCAGACCGCTTGCCTGTTCACGGCACCCTCGACAAGAATAAAGAGTGAGGAGAAATAGACCTCCCCCCAAAATCGACCGAGCCCGGAAAGCGCATAAGGCCCTTATAATTTTTTCGCAAAAATTTTTCTGCCTGCGGCGCCTTTTTATGGCTTTTAAACGCTATTTATTTTTGTTATATAGACACAGTTTTTTTCAAAAAAATTTCTGCCTCCGGCGCCTCTTTCCTCGCTCTTTAACACTATTTTTTTATCCTATAGGCACCGTTTTTCAAAAATTTCAGCCTGCGGCGCTGTTTTTTCAGTAAATTTATCGCAATTTTCGCTAAGTTTGCTGCCTGGGGCGCTCTCAGGCCGCCCCAGGCGAGCCGCCCCCCGCCCCGCAATCGCCCGAAGGCCGAAAAGTTCACCAGGGGGACCCTTATGATCGTTTTCTGGAAAATTTTTCTGCCTGCGGCGCTTTTTATAGCTGTTCGAAAGTAGGTTTTTAGTGCTAGAAACACCATTTTTCAAAAATTTTTGCCTGCGGCGCTCATTTTTTCAATCATTGAATCGCAATTTCGGTTCAAAGGTGCATTTTTTGCCGCGATTTGGCCGAATCCCAGGGTTTTTCTTAACCATTTTTGCAAAAATTTCGCCTGCGGCGCTGTTTTTAGAGTTTTTACACCGTTTCTCCGCCATTTTACAAAAGCGTCGACCGGGGGGAGGTCGTCAAAAATTTTTTTCGGTCCTGCCCCCCCCCGAAATTTCGGCCCAGGTACGGCCCTGGTGAGGGTGACTAGAGTCTAGCCGTGGCGCCACAAAATTGGTCTTTATGAATTCTAGGCTTCCTAAATCTCTATTTTTAGCAGCATTGCTCACTTCGAAAGTGCTAACGGCAAATTGTGAAGACGCACCACTGGATTGTTATCATAGTAAGTACGATTTTCATTTTATAATCGGTTTCTCCTTTTTCAGCCGATTTCTTCAACTTTATGTTTGCGGGATAAACCATGGACAACTCGTAGACATCCCTGGATCTCACTTTATTTCGTTTTCGACAAATAAATTTTTTTTAATTTCTCGAGAATTCTAAAAGAACGATCTGATTTTATTGTACCTTTGGGGTTACCGCTTTCCAACAATCTGGCACGTTGCCAAGTACAAAAATAGTTTTGCCTATCTCTTTCAACAAAAAAATAGCCGAACATCATTACCATCGGCTTACCTCCAAAGGTTCGGAGGTCAACGAAACCGAGGTACGTGATGTGAGTGGGGGGGGGGGGGGGCAAAAAATAGGCCGACGTTTTCGAACGACCAACGATTAGTTTGGGGGTCGTGCAGCCTGCCCCCGCTTTGAAAGCCCATTACCGTACCGTTCGAGCAATAATGCGGAAATAAAGGTGGGCGGTGCGTGGAACGTTTAGCATTGTGCTTTGCGCGGGTCTGTCAGATACCGTACATATGATTATTCATGTAAATTTCTCAAGATCATCTTTTTCGAAATGTTTGCTAGCTATTTGGTTGAGTTGGTCGGATTTCGGTCTGCGCCCATGAAAAGCAGCTCGCACTTTCGCTGCCGGCGCCGCGTTGCGTAAACAATTACAAGACATCACGATACTGCCTGCGTGCGCGTTGCGTTGCGTGTCGCGGGACAGCAAAAAAAGTGCCCCTAACCAAAAAAGTATTAAAGTTGCTGCTGGAAAGTAATATTCACGCCCTAGAAGGTCAATTTTGGGGAGTAGAAAGTTTCTGGCGCCGATCTCCCGCCTACATTTACGTATCTACTAAAGCAGCATAAATCAAAATACCGACCATTTTGCCCACGCGCTTTTATAAAACTATAAAGAGCCTCTCATAATGCTTCCCCGCTCATTGCCTCCCGAAAATCAATTTTGCATAGTCTGCAAATTCTACAATGCGCAGGCTATGCTCTGCTCACCCACCCACATGTTTGCCCAGCGGGCTTCCTTATGGGGGCGGCGTTGTAGAGGGACCCGGTCGGCGCATTTCTCTAAAAACAGCACTTACATGGTTTAGCCGGAAGTCTGACTAAAATTTTCAGATGGCTACTTCGAAATTGGCTACTATACAATCACTGCGAGCTCTGGCGATATTTATTGTTTTTGCATATCACTTGAACGCGGAATGGATGCCGAGAGGATTTCTAGGGGTGGATATGTAGGTCTTAAAAACTTTTGAAGCTATGTCGTGTCCCAATTTTAATTTCATTTATGTTTATATTAGGTATCTTTTTCAGGTTCTTCCTTATATCCGGGTATTTAATGGCCCGTATCTTCTATGATAAGGGGATCTCTTTTGCCAATTCCATGGAGTTCTATAAACGTCGCTTCAAGCGGATTATGCCATGCTATAGGTATCAGTAATTTTCGAGCACCTCTGAGCGACAGTTTTCAGTCTCCTCATCGCTACCGTAGTCTGGGTCGGCCGGTCATTTCTAGCTGATGTGGACCAGGAAAACCTAAAAATCGATTCAATGCTTTCACTCGGCATAATTTCTAATTTGCAACCCTTTTTTACAAAAGTGGACTATTGGCGGATGGTGAGTTCAGAGTTGTCACTTCAGCTCGTCTTTATATCTCTCTCTCTCTTTCTCTCTATCTCTCTCACCGATATGCGTATTTTCAGATCTCCGAATACAAGTTCCTCGCCCATACATGGTCGTTAGGTTGCGAGATGCAATTTTACCTCCTTGTCCCGATAATCTTCAATTTTCTACAAAAATTCGAATTCGTTGGGCAGCTGCTCTTTGGAGGGTTCCTATGTGGAATTTCCATATCCGGGTTGTTGGTAATTTTCTGTTTTTAAAAAGATAAATACTGAAAATTTTTAGCTCCTCTCACCTGCTATCTCGTTCGGTTTCGTATTCTGCCGACTTTGGCAGTTCACAACTGGGATTTTTGTGCATCTGTATCTATCAAGAACGGAAGCGGAGGAATCCAATCCAGCCGAATATGCAAAATTACTTGGGGCTGACGAGGAACGGCTGGATTTTTGTGGTTAGCAATTTTTCATCTATAAGGTCTCTGAAGATATATTTTTTGTTTGTCAAGCGCTAGGGAATACGTAACAATGCTTATGAAGTGAGTTTTAGGAGCAGCACCGCAGCCGAAAAGCCGTTTTCTACCCTACCTCTCGCCGTTATTTTTTATAAGCTGTCTTCTCCTGGCAGCTGATCCATTTATGCCAATTTACATAAGTCGGGTGGTGGTCACAATTCTGACCGGAGCTATTATAATGCTTTCACAAAAAGGTAATTTTATTTAATTTAGAGATATCGGGGAAAATTCCATTTGAATTTATAGGACACAAGTTCTGATTTCAGCAGAATGCAAATTACTCACCTTGCAACCGTTACCGTACATCGGCGATATTTCTTACGTCTTATATCTGATCCACTGGGCTGTAATAACATTTACAAAAATATCTTTCTACGACGGGAAAGCTATAGATGGATACGGTAATTCTCTATGATAAGTAAGAACTTTTCCTACGTATTTTAGGTTACGGTATCATGATTTTCTTTACTTTATTTTTAACGATAATCGCACATCATTTAATCGAAACGCCGTTGAACGGGGATACGGTAGGAAATCCAAGCTTTAGAAAAGTACAATATTTTAGGCGTTGTTTTCTTTCGGAATTACGGTTCTGTTTTACTTGATCTCATTAGTGGGGCTATTTCTACCCGGTCATTTGTTATTATCGATGCAAAAAGTAGAGGTTGTAGCGAGTGTTCAAGAAAAAGGTTAGTAGCGAATTTTGAATATTTTTAAACGTTCCATTATTTGTAAAAGTTCCATCAATTTGTGAAAGCAAAATGTTCAGATTGTGAGGCTCTCAATAAATCGCCAGATATGCCGAGGTGGGAAAATGCTTCGGAGGAGTTTCCAAAACTGGACCAGTTGGTAAGCTTGTCTCCCCTTTTTCCAAGCGAATTTTAATGTTATAAAACCGAATTCGAGTAGAAAAAGCCAGGTTTAGTCAGGAAACGGCACCTTCGATGTGTTAGTCATCGGAAACTCATATGTCCAGCGCTACCGGCAATGGCCGGAAAAGGTGTTCAGGGGGCGATACCGGAAGTTCTATCAAACGCAGGTGACAAGTGAGTGTCTGCCAAATGAACTAACGGTTTTCCGTATTGTGGAAGCATGAGAAAACCAATGAATTTGAAAAACTTAACAATTTCCAGCTTGCGTGCCGTTTCTAAACTACACCGGAATCGACTGGCAGGGCCCTGGATGTGAAAAGTTTAGCGCGAGGATTTTTGATGCCGTTGATAGGATGCGACCAAAGATATTGGTTTTGATATTAGGGTAAGCCAGAAATCCGACTCTGTTTATAAACTTACTTTAAATTAATTTTAAATTTTTAATTACATGTAAAAACTTATAGACGAAAAACCCCTGGGTAACTGAGAAAAAAAGATTTTCTACATGCTATTCGAATGCTAATTTTTTAGTTACGGTCTCGCTAACGACTTGATCACAAAACATTATGACGAAATGCTTCCCACTGCAATGCAACGTATTGAGATTTTATCGTAAGTAATGATCTTCGATTCTCCCATCATTATTTTTTTAGGAAAATGACCGACCACCTGCTAATCACTTACCCAATGTACTACCTAGGGGAAGAACTCGCTCATAAAAACGAGAGGGTTTTTCAGAGAAATCAAGAATTACCCTCGAGAAAAGATTCCCAGTTTTTGTACACGGTCCGAACCTTCCAAGTCTTCAAAAATACTCTAGAATACAGGATTACCTCAAGCAATGTGGACCAACTCTGACGCTGCTAGATGAAGCGAGTAGAAATTGCCAAAATTGTCGCTTTATCGATACACAATCGATGTTTTGCGAGGATGGGTTGGTTTAACAGTTCTTGCAAGCGAAAATACCAAATTTCTTTGCCGAAAAATAGTCATACTTAGCGGGCGATACCTTACAAGTATGCTTTAGAATTCATTGTGACGTCATCGACTACGAATGTCGCAAAAATTTATACGATTGGGGTGGAAGGCACCCAACTGTAAATGCTAGAAATAGATACCAGGTTTGTACTAATATTAAACAATTGCTGTAATTAATTACTAAATTAAAAATAACAAACGAAACATCTTCAGGCCGCTCACCAGCTCGCCGTTGATCTCCTCTACGAAGAAATTCAATACCGAGAACAGCAGAAAAATAACGAAACCGCGTTACCTGTACAAAAAGTATAAATCAAAAATTAGGAGGGGGTTTATGATGAACATAATTACGGTTTATTAATTTTATTCCTTTTATTTTGATTGTTTGATTGTTTTATTTCTTATTGTTTTCTATTGCTACGGACGCTGAAGCGGTGAGGCCATCGTCAGTAGCGCTGATGCTTGCCACCCTCACTACTTCCGGTTTCTTCCGGAAAAGTGATACCAAAAACTCCCGATAAGGCTTCATGTAGAAAATGGAGCACGAGAAGGATATCACCTTAAAGGTTAAATTGGCATAACTTGATGGCCTCGGCTCACCGGAAACAGATAGAACCCGACGAATACCCAGTGCTTGAACAGATTTGATCCTACGAGGCTCCAGTCTTTCGTCAGGAAGGCGAGCAATGCAAGCGAGCAAGGGATGACAAGCACGAGAGCTGGGTAGATGTTCTGAACAATAAAAATTGTTGTAACAAAGGTTTTCTATCCCTCACGGAGCCACCAAAAAAAAGCTGGAAGTCGGAGGCGCAACATAAATGATTAGGCGAGTAATTCACTACGCGACAGTTCTAAGGGCACGGTGTGCAGTGTGTGCGCCTAGGACAATGACAGAGACTACACTATCTGCTCTAAAACACAATTAGATTAAAATTTAGTCTAGGTCTTGTCTTATAACATATTGTGTTCTTTCTTGACCAAATATTGGCTACATGGCGTAACATTCATCTAATTTTGACTAATTGTAAATATGGAAGGATACAATAGCATTTGGTTGCTCCTACCTGCACAAACAACATCCGCAAGATACTTTGATGAGCCTTGTAGGTTTGTGCCGACATGTGGCTTCTCATTCCGTTTAATTTCTTCATCATCACTAGCGCTGAGATCATATTTAGGGCGTAGCAAACAACGAGGCCAAGGATTACGAGCTAAACCTTGGTTTTTATTGATTGCGATTTGAGTATTATAAAATGATTCGGCGAAGTATCAGTCTTGTGACTAACCCCTCCAAAAAGTATCGTCCACCAGCTCTCCTGGTCCATCGCGACGAGGGTAATACCGTGTTCGACATAATATTCAACATATTTATAATTGCCGCTGGCACGCATCTGGGCAAGGAAGAGCTGGAAGATATTAACAATTTGTAAACGATCGTACTCTACCTCCGGATCCATTATTGACTTGTAATAAGCGAGGCCGAGCGGACCTCCTGTAATTAGAAGGCCTACGGATATTGCAGGCAGTCCGATGTACCTAAGCCAAAAATTACCATTTAAACAGTAGTAAGTAAAACACATCGTCTATTAATGATACCATGTAAAAATCAGCTTAATCATCTTGTCGTTCTCGTGGATAAAAAAGTTGCGCACGTGCAGGCAGTCGTTGACGCTCATAAACGTCGACCAGGCCGTGATGAACACGAGGAAGAGCTGAATTTTCGCAGGATGTTAGTCTTACAGATAATGGATAATTTAAATTTAGAAGTCATGACTTACGGTATGGACAGCGGCGTCGTGGCCCCAGCTGCTGACGAAACCAAAAGCAGCGGCACATGGCGCTGGAAACAGCACATCCGGGCACATGAAAAGCCCCAAAATGGCGGCAAAGACGAATTCAAGCCACTAAAATCCGAAATGTTTCAAATTTCAAAAAAAACAACAATTTGTAGACAAAATAATTCTTACCGCCAACTTGATCAGCACCCATCTGTACACCTTCATCTCGGGCGGCGAGCGAAATTGCAGCAGGTAGATCCATAACAATTCTACCGACAGCGCGAACGTGCTCAAGCCGTGGTAGATCCATCTTATCCCAGTGGATTCTAACATTTAGGCAATAGTGTCCCAGGCGGAAGTAAAAAGAGCCGAAATCTAATGGGTAGACTTGCAGTCCTGAGCTGATTTTCACCTGCCTCCTAAGCGCGTACCCGAGCCACGCACCAGGTGGTTTCTTCACCCATGGTGCAAGTATAAGTTTCGCCTACGACCATACCACGTTGAAAGCACGGCAGCCCGTCCGACCTGCCAAGTTAAGCAACGTTGGGCTCGGTTAGTACTTGGATCGGAGACGGCTTGGGAATCCCGAATCTTTTGCAGTTTTTGGCTCTTAAGGAGCCAGGGGATAAGCCGTTGAATGTTGAGTGATCTTTGCAAGCTGAAGAAGAATTTTGATCTAGCGTCTTAGCAAAATCCCAAACTGTTAATTTTACTGATGTACGGATTGTTTTTTATATGATCGAACACTACTGAAAAGGAAAGCTACGTCTCAAAAAGTATTGAATATCGCGCGGTTCATCGATTTGGTTTCTTATTTCATCAGAAGATTTACTGTATCGTTTCGTAAAAAAACACAATTGCCTTGCCCAGTTTGTTTTGTAGAACGTATCTGAAGCACAAACAACATTTATTCTAACTAGCAATGAACCCGTAAGAGATACAAAATACAAAATTAGAATTACACAATGGGCTAAAAAGAGACGCAAGACAACAATGTTTCAAAAATCAGGAAGGAAAGATCGCATTTTGGGAAAAAATCTCAATTAGTTTTGGGAGTTTGAGGGCCCGGCCTGATCAGCTTGAGCTGGAGCTGCAGCTTGAGGTATAGGAGCCGGAGCAGCCGGAGCAGCTGCAGCTGGGGCAGCAGCTGGATGCTGGATGACGACGCCATCATTCAGCTCTCCCATCTCGCGAAGGATCACCTCCCACGGGTTCTCGTTTCTGAAAAGAGAAAATTTATTAAGGGAATCTGATAGGAAAAATTTAATTTTTGCCTTTATTTAATTGTCATTCTATTTTTCAAAAAATTTCCGTATAGCAGAATCACTTTCCCGAGCATAACATTCGAAAGACTTGCTTTCAAAAGTATAATTTTTCAAAGTTTTTGATATAGAAAACATAATTATCGTAAAAATCTTTTCCAAAAAATATTTTTTACTGGTAGAATGTTCAAAATTTAAGAAATGTGTAGCGGATTCTCAAAAACCACTCACTTCATGGCTTCCTCCTCTTCCGGTGTGAAGTCGTTCTCCAGCTCCCAGATCTCACGGATCTCCTCCACCGATTTCCCCTTGATCATCCCGGCAACAGTCTCGGCACATTTGTCGAGGAGGCACTTGATGTCCATGTAGTTGGCAGCCTGGAAAAGAGAAAAATTTTCAATTTAGAAAGGTCTAAGGCAGAAATCCTGAAAACATCAAAATTTCGAATATCCAGTTGCAGAAGGCAAAAATTTGAAAATCTCAAAGTTTGCAGCTTTACATTGTGAAATTTAGATTTTTTGGAAAAATGGACATACCAATTTCAAAAATTTTAGGAATTAGCATTCACGTAATAAAGTATTAAACAAGCCCAAAAGAACTTACACCAAAAACGTCGAAGAGCTGCTCGGAGGTGAGGCCCCCCAAAAATTCGTTCTCCCATTTCTTCATCTCTTCGTCGCGCTCGTTCAGCCACCACTTGTCCTGCTCCCATGGCGGCATCGTCTTGTGCTGCTCGCACCACTTTACGACCTGAAATACGCTTTTATAATGGACCAATTATTTTCTATTTCTTTTTGTTCAATCTTGATTCCCAAATGGCAAGTCAAAAACTTTAATTGATTAGCGAGAATTAGAAAGGCGGCAGTTTTTTAAATCGTTAAAATTTTAAAATGAAGTAGGAATATTTTTTTCTATCCGTCATAGAAAAACTTACGTAATGGAAGGCCTCGCTGGAGACGTTGATCAGCGGGATCGGCTTCATATTCCGGATTGACTCGTCATCATCGATGCCCAAATCCTGTTAAAATCAGATGTGGATCAGATACAAAGATTTAAAAAAAAATAAAAAATACTGACGTGGACCCCATGAATAGCAATATTGTTTTACCTGCGAGATCTGCTTGACGACACCAGAAAGCTCGGCGGCCGCTTTTTCCATGGTGAACTCATGGCCTTCTTTGGAGTGGAACTGGAATAAAGTTGACTTATTGTTAGTAAACAGATTTTCAAATTCAAAGCAGTGTCGAAACATTATTTTAGACATACTTTATTTTGTAATATTATTTTTATATTCAAAGTTCTTAAGGGATCAAGCCCATTGGGATATCGAATAAAAAGTGAGCAAAAATCAGCATCGGAAGGGAGACTCTTTGCTCTTTTTACGCAAACTTTGGAATTTCAGAGGCTTCACATGACGGGCCTTTTGTCAATTTCGGAAACCATTTTTTAATTAACTAAAAAAATTAAAAATATCCTAATTGAAATATCTTAAAGAAAAGTCTGAAATCAAAAATCATAAATTTTTAGAAGATTTTTTATTTAAAATTTTTAGAGTTGCAACTTCCGGTTTACCGGGGTCAATAACCCAGGATAAAATAAGGCAGGATGGGGATGTAAACAACATAAATAATTTAACCTACCCGATATAGGATCTCCTCTTTGAGGCGCTTGGACGATCCGGGGGTTTCTTCGAAGTTGGGCGCCATGGTTCGTTGTTGAGAATCGGAGTCTGAAGGGGTGATCCGGAGCTTTGGAATGGGAATGGTTTTCTAGACGAAAGGCGATTGCTTTTATACGTTCGGGCAGATGCGCGGACGGTGTCTGTCAGTCTGCTCAAGACGTTGCCAGGTCAAATGGTATCATATCGCAATAAGCGCATTAACGGAATTTCATTAATAAGTGTATTATCTTAACTTAACTTGTAATAAAGTAAAATAAAAATACTATACGCAAAAAAATCAAAACCAAAGCATCATAAAAGTTTTTGCGATTAACGACGATCAAGAATTACCGAAGAAGAAACATAATAAAACATAACGAAGAAAGTGAATTCCAAGAATTTCAATAAAAACCCAAGGTGAAGGGGAAGATTCTAAAGTCAGCTTGCCATCCAAGAATCCAGACGTTTCTAATCCAAGAAATGGCAAAAACAGACCAAATTTCGTGGAAGTCTCACTTCCCCCCCTCTCTCTCTCTCTCGCCCTCACTCTCGCCCTCTCTCACTTCCCTCTCTCTCTATCTCTCGCCCTCTCTCACTTCCCCCCTCTCTCTCTCTCTCTCTCTCTCTCTCTCTCTCTCTTTCTCTTTCCATTTCTTTCTTTATTTCTCTCGTCGAGGCGCATCCGGACTTGCAAACTCGAGCAGAAAATTTTTTTTTTTCTTCCTCAAAGAGTTATCGCATACCAGCGGTGTCCTGAATTCCGATGGGAAATTCTTTGAATAAAAATTCGCACTTCTAACCGGATATTGAAATCGGTGCCCCATAAATACCAAACTTTCGTATAGTTAGGATCGGGCTCCTCTTGACCCCCCGTTGCCTCTTCCGTACTTCATTGGCAGAAATTCTAACAAGGAGTGCTTTTTTTGAGTCATCGGCAAAACCTTACGAGACCTAGCTCATTCGATAGAGAATTCGATTCTGAACAAAACCCCGTTGTTCTTTTTTGCAGAATGGCTATCCCTGATTTTATAAAATTGTAAAACTGCACCCAAAAGCCTCTCTTTTGGCTCGAAAGGCACTCATGGTAAGGGACGATCACTAGTATTTTAATTTTATAAAATCAGGGATAGCCATTCTGCAAAAAAGAACAACGGGGTTTTGTTCAGAATCGAATTCTCTATCGAATGAGCTAGGTCTCGTAAGGTTTTGCAGATGACTCAAAAAAGCACTCCTTGTAAGCTTAAAACAATTTTCAGGCAATGAAGTGGCTGCTGTTTTTCGTCTGTGTGTCCGTCGTTGGAGCCCTTTCTTGGCCCTATTATTGGCATCGGAACGGGAAAAAACCGGAAGGTCAGCGCTTGGTCAGCGGTTTTCCTCAACTTTCTCCCTATATGAGCATCAGTTCTCTACTGTTCACACCATCACCTTAGGCGCCGTTAAAAATGACGTGGAATTTCTTAGTGCTGTGACGAGCATGGTTATCTAGTACGCAACAAGCGCCACTTTCACAATTCCTGATCCTGTCGAATTCTGAAAATTACAGAGTGCACTGCGCAGGAGGACTTTGTAAAATCCGGCTCGGTCTGCGACAGGGAGATATGCAGTGGGCCGGTGGTGATTTTTTATTTGTTAACGATTTCTCTCTCTTTATCTCTCTCTCTCTCTCACACTCTCTCTCTCTCTCTCTCTCTCTCTCTCTTTCCCTTGCTCTATCCCAAAAGACTATTAAAGGAACACCTGTGCTTTATTCAGAAAGACTGCGTCAAAATGCTCAGTCACAACGTTTGCTTGTGCAAGCCCGGCCTGGTCAGAAGGGCAGATGGTAGATGCACAAAGAAGGCAGAATGCACCGCGGCAGAGTTAGAAGACGATCAGGAACATTAATCATCGAATTAATAAAGCCCCAAAGCAAGAGAAGCACCCCTCTGTTGGAAAACCGAACAAAAAAGCAGCTGACGTTATTTGGAAAAACTTGGATGACCTTCTCCTCTACCCTTAAATTATTACTTTGACGAAACCCAACAAAAAACATCTGACAATCGGTAAAACTTGGGTAAAGTCGCGGATCCATATACAGCCTTTCCTCAAATCTAAACGCATCTTTCCGGAATTGAATATTCGATGAGATCAAATTATTCTTCCCCAAAAAGGTATCGCATCCCAACGTTGTCTTGAATGCCGATGTGCAGCCCGCTGAATCCAAATTCGAACACCGCACCCAACCGGATATTGAAGGCGGTCCTCCCGCATAAATACCAAACTTTCGTATATATGGCATCGGGCCCTCTGGGTTCCCACTCGCCTACCTAAACAATTTTTAGACGATGAAGCTTCTGCTGTTTTTCGTCTGTCTGTCCGTCGTTGGCGCCTTGGAATATTATTGGCACTATGGCGAGCAAAAGCCGGAAGGTCAGCGCTTGGAATAGTTCATAACACTGTATTATATGTGAGCATCAGGTGTTACTCTACCCTAGTCGCGACCACATTAGGCGAAACTAAAATTTAGATGAAATTTTTAGTGCTATTACAGATCACGGTTAGGTTTCCGGAAAAAACACTATTTTCTGCTGCTGCTACGGAATCCCTGCTAAATCCTGAAAATTACAGACTGCACGGCGCAGGAGGAGCTCAGCACATCCGGTATAATGTGCGATAGTGAGATCTGCAGTGGGCCAGTGGTGATTTTCTTCTCTCTCCTCTTTCTCCCTCTCTCTATTTCTCACTCTCTCGCGCTCTCCCTCTCTCACTCTCTCACTCTCTCTCTCTCTCTCTCTCTCTCTCTCTCTCTCTCTCTCTCTCTCTCTCTCTGGCTCTCCTCCTCTCTCTCACTCTTCGCCCTCGCCCTCGCCCTTCGCCCTCTTCGCCCTTTCTCACTCTCTCTCCCTTTCTATTGCTCCAGAATACTGTTAAGTAGGTACATGTACCTGTTTCAGCATGGTTGCCCCGACGTGTTCGCTGAAAACGTTTGCTTGTGTACAGGGTGGCCCGAAAGAGTGGTGACCGAAACTTTTTCGATTTTCTGAAAAACTATAGATCGAGGAAAGCTCATTTTAGCACATTATATTTCTTAAAGAATTATCTTCCACATGGTATAACCACTTTTTTATTTGTTTGCCTCAAACTCGGAAAAATTGGCGCGGAAGCGGATGGAAAACGGAGGTGCTGGCACGCAGACACTCAGCCCGAATTTGGCTCATAACTCGATGAAGACTTTCGCGAGCGAACCCAAAATTGAATCGGGAGTAGCCAACACTTTGGCCTTTTGGACCGGCTATACAAAAAAATTCTGCGGATTCGGGTTGGGGCTGCAGGATCGCACTTTTGGCGAGCAAAAAACGGTTTGGTCAAAACCCTTAATAACGGGCCTCAGTCACTTGACCAAGTTGGAGGGTTCTGAGCCATAGCTGCACCACGAGCTTCACCGGAAACGTCAGGCACGCTCGTTAAAGAGATGGAAATGGCATCGTTAAGTATTTTCTTCCACAGGAATTTATTTAAGATTTTCTCGTATTCAAAAAATCCCTGACTTTGAATTATGGAATTAAATTCCTAATGTAAAAGCTAGACTGCGTTGTGCGCTGAGCGTATGCTCAAATTTAGCCAACATCTATAGGAAACAGAATCCATAACCCCGTCTTGCCCAAACCCATAAGGGAACAGAGAAATTCTGTGTGCAGGCTGCGGTCACCACTCTTTCGGGCCACCCTGTAAAGCCGGCCTGGTCAGAAGGGCCGATGGTAGATGCACAAAAAAGGCAGAATGCACCGCCGAGGAGTTAGAAGCCGATCAGGAGGATTAATAATCAAATTAATAAAGCTAAATACACATTTGGGCATCTAGCACGGTCACTATAGCTTAAGACAGAACAAAAAAAAACAGCTTACGTGTTTTGGAACTAGGATGGCTTTCCTCTACCCTTAAATCATGACTGTGACAAAACCCAAAAAAGCATCTGCGAACCGGTAACATACAGGTACCCATGCATACAGACTTCCCTCTCGTCTAGACGCATCTTTTGGGAATTGCATATTGGAGCAGATCAAATTGTTCTTCCCCAATGTTAGCTCAACGTCGTGCTGAATTCGTACGGAAAGCACCATGCATAGTAATGCGGGCTCTTGCTCCGCCTACCGTGATATTCATATCGGTTCCCTATGTCCGTGTCCGTCGTTGGCGTTGACTTGGTATGATCGTAGGCGGAAGGGGGAAGGCGACCGAGGGTAAAGTGCTGGGGGTGAGCTAGAGATTAGGGCAGAGCTAGAGGTCCCAGACGACAGTCACCCGAGCCTAGGCAGTGAAGGTATGAGGCGAGCAGATGCTCGCTCCTTGGAGGGTTGCCCTACGAGAGACTGCCATCTCCTCCTAGGATAGGACAGAAAAGCACCCACCCCTCCACAGCTTCGGTTTAATTACCCAAGTTTGAGGTTAGCATTAACCCCGAGACCTCCTCAAAAGAGCGTTTCGAACAAATTTTGGAACGCATTCCCTCAAAGGGAGTGCACAAGTGTAGAGTTCGTGCAGTCCGAAGTGATTACCTATCATTATCTCGAAAGTTCAATATCTCGAAAGTTCATGATCTCGAAAGTTCATTATCTCGAAAGTCATTATCTCGAAAATTTCATACTGGTTTTACCATGAATTTTCTTGATTTCGGAATTTTAACGCAGTGAAATTTTCGGGATAATGAACTTTCGAGATAATGAACTTTCGGGATAATGAACTTTCGAGATGTTGATTTTCGAGATAATGACAAAACCCCGTCCGAAGTATCCAATCAATACCTGAAGATTTTGCTGCCATCCACCGACGCTCCTATAGCTCCTTAGGGCTCATCATCGCCATTTCGGCATCAGTGCTCGCCTACGCCCATACCACGTTGAAAGCACGGCATCCCGTCCGATCTGCCAAGTTAAGCAACGTTGGGCTCGGTTAGTACTTGGATCGGAGACGGCTTGGGAATCCCGAGTGTCGTAGGCTTTTCGTATTTTTTTTCTATCTCGCATCAGGAGAAAATATATAAAAATTGAACGTTTTTGTAGTTTTTCTTGCGCACTTTAAAGCTTTCCTTTTCCATAACTGGAAAAAGCGACGACCGTTTTTGGCTAGCTTTTTCTTGCCAGACGACTGGTCAAAACCGGCTGCAGGCAGCATGCAGATTTTATCTCTAGGATCATAGAAGCACGCTATGTCAAAAACAATGTCTGGGAGCCTTACTACTATAGAAACCGCTGGGAACTGAACTACATCAAAGAGAGGCTGCGAAGTATGGCTTCCGGAAAATTACCTGTTATTCATGCACTTCAAGCCCTTGCTATAATCATCATATTGCTGCATGCTTTTAACGAAAAATGGATGCCGCACGGATTTTTGGGTGTAGATATGTAATAACAATTTACTATGTTTTTGATAAAAAAAATATATTTTTCAGTTTCGTTGTCATCACTGGCTACTTGATGGCGAAGAAATACTTTATTAAAATGAATTCGTTTGATAATATTCTGGATTTCTATAAAAATCGGTTGAAGCGGATTATGCCTTGCTACAGGTGCGCTTCTTCTTAGCCATAAAATTTACAAAAAAAAATTTTAAGCCTGACCATAGCTACCGTGCTCTGGACCGGCTATTTCGCACTATCGAGCAACGATGTAAAATCGCTTAAACAAGAATCAACCTGGGCCCTAGCAATTTTATCGAACGTTCAGCCATTTTTTCAAGGCGCAGACGACTACGGCCAAATCGTATACTCTCATGAAACCTAAAAATCTCGGTTTTCAGGATTCCGAATACCAATTTTCCTCCCATCTCTGGTCGCTATGCTGCATGACACATTTTTTCATACTTTTGCCCCTAATTTTCTGGATCTTCGAAAGCGTTGAACGCCGCGGGCAGATTTTGATGGGCTGCCTTTTTGTTTGCGTATCGATTCTGGTAGTTATGGTAGTTTAGTCTTTTTTTCACGATAACGAAGTATTGTTTAGCTACTCCCTAATGAAAAATCCCTCGGATTAGTCTTCTGTCGCGTATGGCAATTTCTCATTGGAATCCTTGCCCATACTTTCCAAAGAGATGGTTATATTGCGGTTCTCTCGGAGGCGGAAACGGAATACAAAAAACTGTGCTTGCCGGAAGAGGAGGAGGAGAAAAGAGGTCTGATATGTCAACTAAAAAATTTGTTTTATTACTTTTATAGTTTTAGAGAAGCTGGTTGCAAAAGGGAATGAGGAAGATGGCTACTTAACTATCGGTCTTTTCCTGATCTGTCTAATTCTTGCATACGAAAGGCGATTTCCGATTTTTGCTGCTCGGCTTGCAATCACGATTCTGACTGGATATATAACTAATGGATCACAAGAAGGTTGGAAGTTTCGTAGATAGCCCCAGAAAATTAAAGAATAGCGTATTATCACTCTTTCAGCGGAATCCAAGTTCTTCTCTACAAGACCTATACTGTATCTGGGTGATATTTCTTACTTGCTATATCTTGTTCACTGGCCTGTGATTTCTTTCGTGCAAATTTCATATTACGATGGGATAGAAATGGACAGTTCCGGTCAGTATTAGAAGTACTTAGTAAATTTCCGCTCGTTCAGGCCATATGTTCGCAGTTATTTGCATAATATTATTAACCTCAACCGTTCGACATTTTATCGAAAAGCCACTGCTTGCTGAAACGGTTGTGTAAGCTAAAAAACTCAATACTGGTTCTAGTCTGCAAAATCGTTCTGGTTTACATTTTTCTGCTATACCATCGCGCTAGCTGCTTTATTAATGCCTACACAAACTACCAAAATTACGGGTCCGATCCTATCAGCTTCAGAGGGGACTAGAGGTAGGAGGCAGGTAGCCCGTTTCAGGCTGTATTTTAAGATTGTGAGGCCCTAAATCGCGTCCCACCTCAGCCAAAATGGGAGAGTGAATACCATGGGGCGCACGTGGAAGAGTATAACGAACTGGTGAGGCGCAGAAGCTGTCGAAAGACCCAATTTTAAGCCTGGAAATGGTTTCTTTGATGTGCTCGTCACCGGAAATTCCTACTTACAAATGTATCCGCAATGGCCCGTCGAAGCATTCAAGGGACGCTACCGGAAGTACTACCACAAAGCTATAGATAGTAAGTTAATGTTTCGGGCGTGATAGAGCGGAATGAATTCTCAGGGCACTGAAAGTTTAAGCGCAGACAGCTAAAACCCCAGGAAAAATGTGGGCTTTCTCGCATGTTTCCAGTGGAAAAATACTACGCAAAACGACTATTCTTGCCTTCGATCAAACCAAAAGGTGCAAAAGCCTACGACACTCGGGATTCCCAAGCCGTCTCCGATCCAAGTACTAACCGAGCCCAATGTTGCTTAACTTGGCAGATCGGACGGGATGCCGTGCTTTCAACGTGTTATGGTCGTAGGCGAAGGAGGAGTGCGGAGGGAGGGTGAAGTGTTAGCAGTGGCAGTGAGTAGAGATGGGCACAGGCCAGAGGTCCCAGACGACAGTCACCCCAGCCTAGGCAGTGGAGGTATGAGACGAGCAGATGCTCGCTCCTTGGATGGTTGGCCTACGAGGGACTGCCATCTCCTCCTAGGATAGGACAGAAAAACACCCACCCCTACACAGCTTCGGTTTAATTACCCAAGTTTGAGGTTAGCATTAACCCCGAGACCTCCTCAAAAGAGTGTTTCGAACAAATTTTGGAACGCATTCCCCCAACAGGGAGTGCACAAATATCCTGGAATGAACAGAATTTAGCATGCGTTCCGTTTCTCAGCTACACGGAAATACACCGTATGGGTGCCGTATGCGAAAAGTACAACCGGAGATTCTTTATGAAGATGGATCGGGTGCGGCCCAAGATTGCGATTTTTGTGTTTGGGTATGTTCTTTTAGAACTACGCTTTTATGTCATGAGCTTAAGAAAATCGTTACATTATCAAAAAATGAAAACAGGGGAACATTTCAGTTTATAATTTAGATATCGAGATGTATGCAATCTGGCCCTAGAACATTATGCAACGATGCTGCCGCTTGCTAAAGAACGCGTCGAAGCCTTGTCGTAAGGAGCAAAATTTCAATTCATAACCGCTATCTGAATTTTTCAGGAGTCTAACCGAATACTTGGTCATCAACTATCCAATGTACAGCCTCAATAAAAAACTGGCCCATCGCCAGCAGCGTCAGTTTGAAAAATACGGAAAACCGCCGGCAAGGAATGAGACTCAATTTGTTTATCAGGTACGGTATGGAACAACGAACGTAACGTTAGGATCTAGCATTACCTTGATCAATGCGGAGCAGCGCTGACTCTTCTAAAAACCGCTAGCAAGAATTGTAAAAATTGTATATTTATCGACACGCAAGCAATGTTTTGTGAGGATCGGTAAAACTTTACAAATTTTCCATAAAATGGCGTTTAATGTCCATTGCGATACCTTTGACCACGTTTGTAACGAGAATCTGTATGATTGGAGTGGTAGTCATCCGACGATTTTTGCGAGAAATCGATACCAGGTGAAACTGAAAATTCATGTACCGAAATAGCGGTCTTCAGGAAGCTTATCAAATTGCCATCGATCGGATCTACGACGAAATAGAGAAGAAACAAAAATTAATATCATAGTCGTGATGCGAATACTCACAGTTGAAGAAGAAAATACCACTTTTGTAGAGGTTCGTACATTGAAATAAAATTTTTGCTATATTTTTCTACATGGCAACGACAAAATAACAAAAATGAATCTCTAAAAAGTAGAAAGTGAGAGTACAAGGCGTCTAAGAAATCTCAATTCGACAAGCAAAACAAGCTTTCTCAGCGATGAGCCAAATAGTAGCGTAGCGGGGCTTAAACTATTTTCTATACCTCGAAAACGAAAAAGGTTTGTTCACCTCGAAACATATCATTAGCGCCTCCCCGGTTGACCCCGAGGTGGCTGTCCAAAAGTTATTGGTTACGAGGCCCGAAGGCCTGTACGTACACCGAAATGTAGGCTCCGAAGAGCGAACCAAGGCAATGGGGAGGGAAGGGGGAAGAGGGCAGCGGGTGGGCCAGGTGGAAGGCGTGTGGGGGAAGGGCAGCGAGCCGCGAAAGAACACACAGACGGCAGGATTTCCTTGCCGTGCTGGTTAGGTATAATATTTACACGTTGCATGAAGTTTTTTTGCGAACCTGGATGTCATTAAGTTATGAGATGCTGAAGTACAGGGTGTCCCAATAAAAAGTCACGCTGGCATTTCGCCATTTCAAACCTGTTCGATCTGAAATTTGGAACAGAGCTGCGGAAGGGAATTTAAAATGTTCACAGAAACTTTCAGCCCGATCGGTACAGTAGTTTTCGAGTTATAGCAAAAATAAACTTTATTTTACGTATTTAACCTGGATTTCGCCGGAATGGAGCCTTGGAATGTATGGCAAAAATGAAGCGCCGACCCTTTTTTACCCCAGAAAATTTTTTATTTCGTAAAATTCGTCTTGGAAATAGGTTGTTTAAGTAATTTTAACAAGGTGTTATCATCCCCGATGTTAAGAAGAATGAGGGATTTAGGGTCGAAATTGATGGTAATTGATGCAAAGTCCAAAAAGATAGCCGATCAAATGAAGAAAAAGTGTTGAAAAAACAGTATTTTTGTTATAACTCGAAAATTACTGTACTGATCGGGCTGAAAGTTTCTGTGAACATTTTAAATTCCCTTCCGCAGCTCTGTTCCAAATTTCAGGTCGATCGGATTTGAAATGACAAAATGCCAGCGTGACCTTTTTTATTGGGACACCCTGTATATGAGTAGAGCGTCAAAAATATCAATTTTTAGAAAGCGGCTAACTGAAAAGCACGAGTATGGGAAATAACTTAACCTAGAAATGGCCGGTTGGGTTAGAAATTTCCATATATGAAATTGGGCGGCTTTTTTTCTATTTGCATCTCTTCTTCATCTTTTCATGTTTATTCGTGCAACACGTTTAGCTCTTTTTCCTCTCTATCATCTGCCAAGCAAAACGGCTTTGCTGCTTGATAAGTCGCTATCCGGGGGAGATCTGGCTAGCTTTTGGTGGAAAGGCCGGGGTGGAGTAACAGGCTTTTCGGGGCGTTTTGATGGATGCCCGTCGGCATAACCAGTTACTCACGACTTGACAAGGCGATGGCGGCGGTATAAAAGATGGGTTAGATTAGGTGGCGCTGTTAAACGGAATTCTGAGTTTAAAGGGACCGTAGCCCGAAATTCAACGATTGCTAAGCTTTGACTCGCCATCACAAGCTCTCTCACCATCGCTATCGCTCTTTCTTTCTCTATTTTCATCTGTCCCGATGTATCTCTCCATCTTTAAACTTCTCTTTGGCCCTTGTCGTTCTCTCTGTCTTTCTCTCGGTTTTTGTCCCTCTCTCTCTCTCTCTCACTCTCTCTCTCTCTCTCTCTCTCTCTCTCTCTCTCTCTCTCTCTCTCTCCTTCTCTTCATTTTCGTTTTTCAGAATGCAGGTAACAACCGTTACCTACGTGGCCTCCACCCTCTCCGGGTTGGCCCTCCTTGCCTGCCTCTTCGCCCTGATCAACATCAGCGGCGATGTCAAGGACCTGTGGGAGGAGCTCGACAACAGCATGCTCAAATTCAGAGTAACCTCGACCCCTAGTTATGAAAAACCCAATTTTTCAGACCGAGACCGACGACATGTGGCACGACATCGTCAAGGCGAGCCGAAAAAAGCGCGAGGCTTACCGTGGGTATTTTTTTGGTTAAAGGTATTGAAATCTTTAGAAGGATACGAAAGCCAGCCTGCCGCATCCTCCGATTCTCAGCCACCAGGCACCAACGTTTTTGCCCAGGCCCCTGGCGGACCCTCTCCTCCACCGTCGTGCGCTTGTGATACTGAGAAGCAGAAGCGGTAGGGTTTTCGCTACGTTATTATTGTATGGTAGCGACAAGTAGTAGATAATATTATGGAGGGTCGTATCGTCGCGGCGCCTAGCGTAGCGTAGCGTAGCGTATCTTATCGTACCCTCTCGTAGAGGATGAGATTTTCCGCGCATATCATACCGTGGTGTATTGTATGTTAGCGATTCGCACCATCTCTTGTCGTACCGTACCTTACCGTATCGTCTCGTGACGATCGTGGTGTAGCGTATCATGACGTCTCAAATCGTATTTTTTGGGTGGCGTAGTTTACCATAACGTAGGATATCGTATGGAATCGGAACGCAATCGTGTCGCGTCTGTAGCCTCTTAAAGCGCACGTTCAGGGAGGTGCCGTGTACTCGTCCCCACGTGTACACCCTATGGACGTAGGGACCGCGCGCACTGCCTGCCCGTGCTGTGACAGGCCATTCCCCTCCTTTGCGGCGTGGGGCGCCCCTCACCCCCTCGCCAGGTTGTAGCTGTGGCTGACTGGTATCCATCCGCGCCTCCCGAGCGGGCGGCCCGGGTTCGACCCCCGGCTGCGGCAAAAATCTTTGCTTTTTTCCAAAAAAAACGTCCCTGAACGTGCCCTTTAACGTATTTTTTTGTATCCTAGCGGGTCGGATTAATCCCGACGTATTGTATCGTATTTTTTCGTTTCTGTATCATCAGTTTTTAGTTGCCCTCGCGGTCCTCCCGGACCCAAGGGATCCCCTGGCTCTCCAGGACCCAATGGGCTCAATGGACTCGACGGAAAGGCTGGGCACGATTCTGAAGATGTTGCCCCCGCCTACCATGATGGTGGACAGTGCTTCAACTGCCCACCCGGACCTCCTGGACCTCCCGGTAGGTTATCTAACGGTTTGAGCTTACCGGCAGTATTCTTTGTTTTTCTTATGGTGCAACCTCTTATTACAGGACCCGTCGGAGCCGGAGGCCACCGCGGAATGAAGGGCGAGGATGGGCGTCCCGGACGTGCTGGTCGGGACGGACACCCCGGACTTCCTGGCCAGATGGGTCCCATGGGACAACAGGGACGCATCGGACCTCCCGGGCCTACTGGAGAGAAGGTTCGAGACATCATACCTGGCATAAACAACTTAAGAACGGGCCTCAGGTTTACTGGCCCCTTGTTAGGCTTAGGCTTCGATTGTTCATCTCCCAGTCTACGACCCATCGCTATAATTTTGAACCTTTCCAACCACACCATTTCAGGGAGCCGACGGCCGTGCTCCGATCGGACGCCCCGGACACAAGGGACTTCGCGGACCCCCTGGAGAGGTTGGACCCGTTGGGCACGCCGGAAAGGACGGACCCACCGGAGAGCCAGGAGAGGGCGGACCCCAAGGACCCGAAGGAAAGCAAGGGCCCAAGGGGTAGGTCCTTAATTTTGGTCTCTGAATCCTAAAAAATTCAGAATCGACGGCCCACCTGGAGCCGAGGGACACGACGGTCGTGTTGGTCGCGATGCCGAGTACTGCCCTTGCCCGCAGCGTGGTAGCGGTGGATCTACTGCTCATTGTGAGTTAAAACCACAAATTAATCAGACCAATAAGATTCTGCTACAGAATTCATCGGAATTACACAAAAATCTGTTCGTTAAAGTCAGAGGAATCTAACTAGCTCTTTTCAGTCGGCGGCAAGAAGTAAGCGCAGCGTAGCTGATCGTTCGCATGGTGCAATCCGAAATTTTTATATCGATATAAATTATTTATTACAAACACAGGATTTTATTAATTGCATTGTACCTAATTTTATGACAAATACAAATCAGTGGTCGAGGCTTAGTCGAGGCATACTGAAAAGTTCGAGGTCAGCGCGATAAGCCTTCAAGAAATCACTTCCCGGCATTACTACGATGAAGCCAAATGTACTTTACTTGAGCTTGCCCATTACACTGCGATAGAATTAATAATAATGAGTCTATTTGTGACTTTCTTTGATTTGTATCTTAAAATTTTTGCTTTTTCCAAGCGTTAGAAGGTCTGCACTTTTCGTTAAAACGACACAAAATATCGATCTTCAACGAAAAACATGAATTTTCAACCAGATTTCAAATTTCAAATTAACTTCTTATGAGGGTTTTTTGTTTTTCATATATTGTCAAATTACATTAAAAACCTTAAAGAGGTTTGTGCTCTGATCAACTACATTTTGCTGGTTTTGATTGAACTTACTGTCTGGCAGACCCAGGAACCATCCTGATTCGATCAGCTGAAAGGGTATTGAGCGCCCAAAAACTTCCCCAATTCAGCGATCAGTTAGTTTCCGCATTCTCTCATCGACCTGTCCCGAACCTGCTCGCCTTTTTCGAGCCCCGGTGATTTGCACCGATTTATGTGAATGAGAGGGGGCAGGCATGGCAGCGAGCAACAGGACCAGAAACGGGCGATGACCCCGGCAATGTACGATTCTATTTTCATATCGTTTTCGTTCCGGCTACGTTTCTGCCTTCAAAAACCCCCAATTATAACTCGCTTAAGTAGGGTCTATTTACCTTTCGCTCTCTCTCCTCACTCACTCTCTCTCTCTCCTTTCTTTCTTTCTCTCTTTCTCTCTTTCTCTCTTTTTTATTTTTATCCCCTTGAACTTCCTGCTGCATTTATTCATTTTTACTTGGAAAAACCTCGCAAAGGTTTCCTGCGTTTTTCTCGCCTTTTCTCACAATGTCTTTCTCTCTCTTTCCCTCTCTCCCTCTCAGGCTCTTTCTCCCTCCCTCTCGCTCTCTCTCTCTCTCTCTCTCTCTCTCTCGCCTCAATCCAGTTTTTAGAATGGGCGCAAAAATTGCCGATTCGACCCCTCAACAGTTGGCTAAAGCTAAAGAAGCGGAAACCAACAACTCAGAAAATCCTGAGAAAGGACACATGTTGTTCGGAGTAAATGAAGTACCTCCGGTCGCCTATACCTGTTTTCTGGCATTTCAGGTCTGATTCTACGCTAAATTTTGTGTATCACCATCCCTTTAAAATGGAAAAGCGTTCCAAAACGTTGATACATTTTAGCAATCAATGATCTCCCTTTCCTGCTACCTCATGTTTCCATTTCTGACTGCAGACCTCGCTTGCGCGGGCGCGGATACCCCGAAATTACGGTATGTCCGATGTACGTAAAACCTCTGTAATTTGTTTTTAGAGTCTATTTAATAGCAGTGACGTTCATATCCGGTGGGATCGCCTCGATTCTGCAGAGTACTTTTGGGTTACGGTAAGAAAATCAGAAAACCTAGATTCCGTTTTCAAGTTTTTCAGATTGGCTATAATTCACGGCTCTTCGCTGGCTTTTCTGCCGCCACTTTTGGCTTGGAGGTACTTTCAAACATATGGATTTGATTAAAGTTTTAATTAGAAAACTAAAAGCTCAAAAATTGAATGGATTTAGTAATCTCCCGGAAAATAAATGCACAGCCAACTCAACCACGATAGTTCCGGAAGAATTCTGGAAAACCCGGTTGCTTACGGTAGGACCCAAATTTTATGCTGTTTTTTTGATAAAGGCATCGATAAAATTAAGCAACAAGAAATTCAACAAAAGCAAAAATCTAAATTAAAATAAATTTTTAGGTCTCAGGCAGCTTACTCATCTCCAGCTTCGTTTTCATCATCATCGGCTTTATCGGGGCCGTCGGCTGGTTTTCAAAGCATGTGGGACCGATTACGATAGGTAATTCTTGACCGTCGGATCTTTCCACATTTTTATTAAGTGCCTCTAATGTCTCTGCTCGCCCTCTCTACCGTACCCACCTTGGAGCGTCAATTAGGAATGCACTGGATTTCGTTAATGTGCGTTATATTTTCAAGATTTTCTTCTTTTTTTATGTCACCAGTTTTTAAAGGAATAGTGTCTCGAAAATATTCAAACTAGCCAATGAAATCTATTTTTTAGCGAGCTCTGCCTCCTGCTCCTCTTCGCCGTCCGCCTTGAGCACTTCCAGGTTCCCATCCCCTACTACTCCTTCAAAGAAAAGACCATAGAAACGGCCCGAGCTCCTTTGTTTGGCCAATTTCCGGTAGGAGCTCCACGCTACACCAAAATACACGTTACAGTACCTCCTGGCAATTGGAATCTCGTGGTTTATTTGCTGGATGTTGAGCTCTTTTGAGTTGATCGATCGGCAATCCCCAATCTCTACTAATCGAAAAATCACTGAAGGGCTGGTGGCTCAAGCTCCTTGGGTGAATGTACCCTATCCAGGTCTGAGAGAGAGAGTGAGAGAGAGACAGAGAGACAGACAGAGTAGTGAGAGAGACAGAGAGAGAGAGTGTGAGAGAGGGGCGAGACGATGATTTTGTTCTCAGGAGAACTCGGCTCTCCAAAAATTTCGACTGCGCTCTGCGTTGGATTCTGCGCTTCCGCCTTATCAGCCATGATCGAGAGCGTTGGATCTTATAAGATGAGCGCGAGGGTGTCACAACAAGGAAGTCCACCCAGAAATAATGTGAATCGAGCGGTGATCGTCGAGGGTAGGTGATAGAGAGAGAGAGAGAGAGAGAGAGAGCGAGAGCGAGATAGAGAGAGAGCCAGGACGAGATAGAGATAGGGAGAGAAATAACTTTCAGGAATTGGAAGCTTGATCGCCGCCAGTCTAAACGTTGGACCGGAATTACAACTTATGCGGAAAGCATTGCGCTCTGCCATTTGACCAAGGTTTGTCAGATGTCGAATTGCGCGAAATGCTGAAATTAGAGAATACGTAATAAGAAAACTAAGAAAATAACAAGAATTAATAAATTTTTTCGGTGGCCTCCCGGATTACTGTACAGCTTGCCGGAGTATTATCGGTCTGTTATGGACTTTTCACAAAGGTATTTTCACTGACTTCTTGCCACTTTGATTAATTTTAAGTTTGCCGCCGTCCTGGCTTGTATTCCAGACCCACTTATTGGTGGTATGCTTTGCCTCGGAATGAGCATGATTGCTGGAGTGGCGTTGTCCAATTTAAGGGTAATTTTTCGATTTTATTAGTTGGTCTATACAAAACTAGTTAGGACGTACCTAGATTTAAATGTTAGGCATTTTCGGTTCTTTTTAGGTTGTAAATCTCTTACTCACTCGGAACCTAGCCATCATGGGATTCGCCCTGCTTGCCGGAATGGTGGTACCGCTACATTTTGAAAATCACCCGATCGATACCGGTAATTTTCCGTTTTAATTCTGTATCTTCAGGGTTCATATTATTCCATTTTTAGTTTTAAGAAAAAATTCTATTTCAATTTAGGAAACCAGACGCTCGATCAGGTGCTAAACATGCTGCTGAGCATAAAAATGTTGGTCGGAGGGCTGCTGGCGTTTTCGCTGGATAATTTAATGCCAGGTAAGCACCGATTTTAAAGACGTTGTAAAATAATCGGTTATCAAAATATCTTAACTAAAGCTAAAATAAATTGAATTTTGAAAAAGCGATCAAAATGCGACAAAAATGTGTCTTTTAGGTGCCACCCGAGCAGATCGCGGCCTGATCGATGAAGCAGAAGCAGACGGACCAACTGATGGGTTTTTACTACCTAGAATTATCGACCGGTAATACACAAAATAATTGTAAAAGTTTTTATCTATTTTTAGAGCCATCTCCACCTTGCCGATCCTCAGAAAGTTGCCATTTTTGCCTTCAAAACCGCAATATACCTCGGCCAGTCGAGACCTGGACCCCTGAATTCAACTGATCTCATTTGATGTGCCATATTTTTCTAGATAAAGTTATTACTTTTTACAAATAAATTTCGACAGCTGGATTTTTTCTTTTGTTTTGTCCGGGGAATCTGAATTAAATTTAGTTGCTGGGATCGATTCTTTCGATTTTTCACGATTGGGAAAGCTGCGTTCAGGCAAAAGGGTCCTTGAAGAAAATGGCTGGCATTCAATTCAGGCAACTAGCAGAGATTCTTTAGGAATTCTGTTGAGCTTTTGAAAGTCCAAATCCCGAGATTCCAATCCCCAATTTTCCGGCTGATCTCTTCAATGGACCAAACACCGTATCGGTTCCCAAAAACCGGGGACCCCCGGGCTGTCTAAACAATGTCTCACCACAAATTCTCATGTACTCTCCCATGTATTTGCCAAAAATCCAAAAACGGTCAAAATTATGCAAGAGACATGGTTGCTAAATTAGTCAAATAAAAATGGGGCGCCAATAAGTGATCGAGCACCGTGATCGGCTAATTTGGAGCTGGGGATCAAGCGAATAGTGGACTGCATAAAAGAGGTGAGCGGCTGCTAGAAATCACTCATTTCGGCGCTGCGGCTCCGCAACTCCTCAGAGTCTCAAGGTCCCCCTCTAAAGCTCAAGCTATGAATTCCTGGTTGAGCTTGACGGCTTTGGCTGCTTTTGGTGAGTTTGGAACAGAATTGCGAGCTTTCAGAATCCTAAGGCGTGCAAAGCAGTTTTCGCGAGCTACCGTAACCTTAAAACGGAATTTTTTTTGTCTCAAAAAACAGAACAGGTTATGTAAAACTACTAGAATTTTCGGATTTGAAGTTTTTGGATGTGAAAGCATTTTTTTGGGGTTTTTGTAGGCTAGGAAATCATGTGCTTTGCCTTTTACAGTACTTCAAACCATGGATGTTTGGCTTAACAAAAAAATCAATGAAGTGAATGAATTCGTATGCCTAAGACTCTTTTAAAACACTACAACCTTCCAAAAAGCAGGTTTTTTTCAGTCGCCGCCGTCTACGCATGCAGTGACTCAAGCGCCAAGTGAGTAATTTACGCTATAGCGATCGACTAAGGCGCAACTTAAAAAAACGATTATCGAATATCTAAAAAAAAGGAAAAAAATCAATGTGTATTTCTCTAGCTGTGCCAACTGGGCGAACAACGGCTTCTGTACGAACACCTTCTACACGGATGCGCAGAGGGCGCAGTACTGCGGGTCGACTTGCGGAAACTGTGGAGGAGGCGGTGGCGGAACTGGAAGCTGTGTAGATAACAACTCGAAGTTTGTAGTCTTCTGCAGGGCTTAGTCTTTCCATTTATATGTCTACACCGCCTAATTCATTGTTTGTCTTGTCGTAGCTAGGCGGAAGTAGCTAGCAATGATTATTCAGGATTTTTGAGAGACACAGAAATCTGTACTGATAATCGTGCTATCGGCATCAGAAGCGGTTAATAAAGCTTCTCGCGATTTCCCGTAGCGGTTTGCTTAATGGTTGACTAGATAAAACGTTTTTTTTTCAAAATTATGATAATTTTTTAGCTGCGGCACCTGGGTCCAGAACGGTTTCTGCTCCAACTCTGCATACACCGACGAGCAGAAGGCACAGTACTGTCCGAGCTCATGTATGTTGCACTGCAGAATAACCTAAAATAGAACGGAATTAACTTTAGATGTCAACAAATTGAATAATAACACCGATTTAGGCAACCTCTGTGACGGCGCCGGGACCACCGCTGGATCCACTGCTGAAACATCTGCTGGTACCACCGCTGCAGGTAGGTTTTGGGTCCAAGTTTTGGGAAGAATTGAGTTGTTTTTTTTTGTCTTTATCCAGCGACGAAATAGGATTTTTTGTGCAATATTTTGTTCCAAAACAATCAAAGAAACAGCCAGAATCAATGCGTTTAGCTGGAGACACCTCAGCCGGAACTACGGCTGGCGGAGCTGCCACTACCACAGCTGGAGGAGCTGCTGCAACGACCACCTGTAGGTATTTCTGAGCCTTCAAAACTAGCTAGAGATTTCGAATACTGTTCTATTTGTGCTTGAATTAAGTAAAAATCACAAAATTCGATTTCTTTAGCCAATAATTTCTCGTTTTTCAGCGGGCCCGTAAGCTTTCTGAAGCGCTGTCCTGGGTCGTGCCGTGCCGAAATTCACTGCTTTTTCTTTTCTTTTCACAAGTCCATTTATCGGCAATTTCAATAAATTATGGGTTCAAAAAACGCGCACACGTAACGTTGAAAAGGGGAAAGTAAGCACCGAAACGTCGGCGAAGTGGAGTTCCGATAAAAATTACGCAAATTTCTAAAAAAAACAAACATTTTTTGGTACAATCACTGTGAATCCAGTTTAAGTTGAATATTTTAATTGGTCGGTGCCGACTCAAAACTAAATTTTTTTAGCGGAGGACCCACAACAAAATCGGATCCAAACGTTTAAGGAATTAAAATTATAGGATTAAAGTCTTACAGGTTCGAAAAAATTACAAAAAGAGCAGGAAAGACAGTTCTTGGAATTTTTGTGCGTCCTGTGCGAAGTAAAAACAAAAACAAAGTCCGGGAAAGATCAATGGACAGAGGATCGCTTCGGAAAATCAAACAAAGGGAAAGGGATAGGTAGACAGGGAGGGAAATCTCGTATTGTGGACAGACTCGTAGGTTGCACTATGCTAATGTCGTGGTTTAGGGGTTTTACAACACAGAAAAAAAATTAAAATATCTCTTTAATTCTCAATTCTTGAAGTCCCACTTGCCGTAGGGGCGCTCCAGCGTGTATACCGGACAGTTGAAAGTAGCTGGGGTTCGGTGCCAACGAAGACTGTCGGAGCGGGAGTGCTAAAAAATCGGATATTTTGATTTTAATTCCGGAAAAGATCCAATTCTAAAGGGGCTCTGAAGCTCAAGATTCGACCCCTGTCGATCCCTAGGTCTCGACAACTCTCGCACTGTTCGGGTCTCTCGCCAACCGCCTTTTAAGCACCTCCTATCGATTTTCGGACTCTATTACGCCATTAAAACCGAAAAAACTAAAAAGCTATAATAATGACAAATATGCCTAGAAGGGCTGATTGATCACTTCCTTTAAAGAAGAGCGACGCAGAAAAGCGTAAGCTCCTTTTCGTCTTGAAGCTCGGGAAAATTAGCATAAGCTGAACAAAAGAAGCTTTGCAAGACCTGATAATCACGTCCACTTTACACGGCGGACTCTAGGGTGGCCTGGATTAATTTGAAACGGTCAGGAAATGGCCTACCTGGCTGCTGGGGAGCATTTTCGGCTCGTTTCTAGAGATCCAAGGCAGTAATCGGCGGTATTCGGTTACCCAAAGAAGGGCAACATCGGCGGCGATGCGAACCTGAATTCACGAGTGCGATGGCTCTCCCTCTCTCTCTCGTTCTCTCTCTCTCGCTCTCTCTTTCTCTCTAGCTCACTCTCACTCTCTCACTCTCTAGCTCGCTCACACTCTCTCTCTTTCTCTCTCTCTCTCTCTCTCATTCTGTCTCTCTCTCTTTCTCTCTCTCGCTCTCTCTCGCTCACTCGCTTCAACTCACCATCCACAAGAGCACCGCCCCGCCGGCTATCGTCTCCAACCGGATCATCGTGTTCAGGTACTGTAATTGAGTTTTAAAGTTTTCAAAACCTCATGCTCACCTCAACAAGCAAACAATTCTGCGAGTTGACGACCTTATGAAAAAGCCAGATGTTATTCTGGATAATGATGGCTCCGGCAAGGAGCAGGGAGCTAAAAATTGAAGACCGTTTCCTGAGTTTGAGCTCCTGCTTACCAAATCAAGGTGTAAAGTACGATATGTCCTCCAAAAATAATGAAGTGGCGCAGCTTCTTCTTGGTGACGTTGGGCTCGTTGTGGAGTCTGAAAAAGTGTATGCTGCACTCTCTCCCTAGTGCCATCTCTCTCGCTCACTCCCTCTCTCTCTCTTTCTCTCTCTCTCTCTCTCTCTCTCCTCGTCTCTGTCTCGCTTTCTCTCTCAACTTACCGCTCCTGAATCGACGCTGCGTAGAGCTTATACGCAACAGTAACGTAGAAGAGCAGTACGGTCATCATCAAAAACGCCAACAGCACGATGGCGATGATGATCAGCGGACGCTGGCAGGAGAAGTAGGAGCATACTGTAATTTTTGACTAGTTCATTAATGCTTAATTTCCATACCTCCAGCTGCCTTCCTGGGGTCCAAGATCACGGTGGTCAGGGGAGCAAAAGCTGCTGCGTAGAAAATCGCCAACAGCCAGAGGACTACGAGACAAGCCACGAGACGACGAAGCGAGAAAGCGGATTCGAAGCCGTACGGGCGGAGGAGGCTGATCTGAAATTATTGTTGTACCTGACGTAAGTATCCCAAAAACTTTGTGTTCCAGTACTTTTAAGGAGCGGAAAAACACGAGTTTTTTCGCCTTGGAGCCAAAGGTTTTTAGGCGCGCCAAAGCATAAAGTACCAGCCTCGTATTTCTGGACCTAAACCACAAACGGTAACCGGTCGCCGAAAATACTCTGGCATAAGGTCCAGTGAAATGTATCACCTGTCGCAGCACAATCACCAAAATGTGGGACAGGCTGAGCTGAACGAAGCCGAAGGTCGCGACGTAAAGGAATAGGGCCAGCACTGCGAACGAGGCTGAAAGGTGTTTGAAAATGTATTTTCTGGTTAGACGAGCTTAATCCTACGTGGCCGAGTTCTGTATTTGTAGTTAATGGCAAAATACGGACAGCAAACAAGTCCGAGCTGCACTCACCCGAATTCCGATTGGCCATCAACGAGACGGCAGCTACCAGGACTGCCGAGAACAGGTCGCCGACGCTACGGGAGACGATTACGCTGAAATGGAGAATCCATAAAGCCAACTGAATCAAAACCGATTATGGTTTTATAATACACCTTAGGGTCTATATAAACCTGATTTAAAAACGTATTTCGAAACCGAAACCTATTTTTCAGGCCTTCTCAATCTGACCTCCTTTATAATTGCTATCACGACCGAACACCCCATTAATGCGTAAGCAAAATTATGAACCATGAACTTTGCACCTCGTTAGAAACTTCCGCAACCATCAGCTCCAATTTTTCAACACAAAACTAATAGCAAAGGGAGGACAAGCCCTGAAATTCCACCTGCTACCCCGGCCGCCGTCCTCCTTGTCTTGGCAGCAAAGTGATAAATTTCACTCCCCCAAAACTTACGTTGATTTTTGCAGTTAATACGACTGTTGATACAAATGCTATACAACTATTCGAATCCAAAAATATTACTCTTCGGGATTTATAATGTCTCCATCATCTCCGAAGAGCCCGATCTCGAGCTGCTATACCACTTTTTCTTCACAGCCGAAATTATTGGGCTGATTTTTAGTTTTAGTATCGAAATTGTGGGTCTATGGATTGGATTACGATATGAAAGACGATTTAGTTGGTTGTTTATATAATCCTGAGCTCGAGGACTTTCCATAAAAATATGCTCTATGCGCTCTCGTTTTTCATTATTGAGCATGTGGTATCGCAAGTGGGGAGAGTGGTCTTGATGCTGTACCAATTTGAGGTTTTGGAAAGGACGAGTGGGTTTACAATTTTTTTAAAGGCAAAATCAAAGCTATAAAATAGTTTTTACAAAAGGCATTTTCCTCCGAACCATGATTTCCTTAGCAGTTTAGTGGAGGTTGTTCGAGAGCGCTCGGGGCAGTTTTTGCGTGGCAAACTAGCAGGGGTTCTTTGGGAAGCTTTTAAAAACGGTCCCTATTCAAATTCAGACGACTTTAAAGTTTTTTTTTAACGAAAGAGAGCCTAGCTGCTTTCAAACACTTTTAAAAATATCTTTGAGGCTGCTGAAAGGTAAAATTAGGCAAAAGGTATCGCATGAAATTCCAGACAACCCCATCTACGACCTGCCGATCATCATATTCTCCGCATTCCGAGTCTATGTTTACATGGGCACAATGTCGATAATTTCGGCAATATTGATCGAAAGATGCTTTGCCACTCACTATATCCGAGACTACGAAGCAGTGCCAAGAAAGTGGATCGCTGCGGGAATTCATGCGAATGCGTTCTTTACCCAGGGGACCGGCACCGTGCTGTATCTTGTTTGTAAGTCATTGAAATCGTTAATTATAGTAGCAAACGGCAATAAAGAATTACTAACTTTTTTAGTCGGCGCAAGGTTTCTACGCGACCTCTTCGTTGTCATGCTGCCGCTCGTATTTTGCTACCTGGGCAGCTGTTTTCTCGTGCGTTTTTTATGATCGATGGAACAATCTTTCATCATGAAATATGCTACGCAAAACTCGAAGCTTCTTAGTCTCTAGCAAATCGACCGCAAATTATAATTTTTCAAAATATTTAACCGATGGATGTTTCCACTTTTTCTCCAACTTTTCAATCTCGTTTAAGTCCACGAGCTACAAAGTTTTGAAAATACATGTAATACACCAATCTAATAATAAAAATAAAAAACATAGTCACATTGAAGCTCTTCCCGAGTTTTAAAAATTATTTTTGTGTCGCAGAGGGCGCACCCTGGGAGAGAGAGAGAGTGTGGGTGATTGGAGAGGGCGCAGACAGAAAAAACCAGTGAAAAACCGTAGAGAAGACCGTTTTAAGGAAATGTATTATACAAAACAAGCCCCCGTCTATCTAAAATTACACTTTTTCAATTGAAAAACGATAGATTTCATAAAAAAGACAAACCAGGAATTACAAATCGTTTGCTGACTTCATTAAATTAAGTAAAAGCCCCCATACAAACCCCTTCATTTTCAGTTTTTCCTCAAAATCTACTTCCTAAACGCGAAGAACCTCCGGACACTCCTGCGCACCTATTCCCTACGCAAGTATTCCCTGTCCCGGCGCTTCCAGCTCGAGGAGAACATGCGCTCCCTCCATGTGGGTCCAGTGATGGGCGTGGCCTATTGGTTGTGTGCCGGGGGTGGCGGGGCGCGCTACCCGGGTTCGACCCCCCGCCGCTGCACACGACCCTTGCAATGACGATTGCGGGAAACCCGCTCTGACACCTCTTGTGCTAGGCTGGCAACAGTCGATGATCCGAAGTTGTTTCTGAGCAAATTTCTTTTGCTTTTTAGGTTTTTGTAGCTTTGCCAAGCTAATAGGTCAATTAGCATGATATTTCGAGGATCTTTGGGTTCCTGCGGGGCTCTAAAAATAGCGTTAAAATTCTGAAGTTCAGGTTTTCGCAACACGATAAAATTAAATTCGTAAAAACGTAACCCAAACTTAGTTTCTAGATTCCGGGCTTTTTATATGTTTTTGCTGCATAAGGCCTGAAAATCTCTCTACAGGCTAGGGGGCATTCAGATTTTTTCGAAAAGAAGCAGAAATTTTTTTTCAGGACCCGGACAAAAAGCCGTTTTAGAATTTTATATCGTATTTTAGCTTGAATATGGTTTTTTATTATGTGCCATTTTTTTAGCTAATTCGAAGAATCTTCTCTGCACACATTGTCATGTCCGTATTCGGGACCTGCGTGTTTTTAATGCCGCATATGTACTTCGGAACAAATTCGCCAGAATTAGAAGTATCACTGGCTGGGTTGGAGTGCTTCCAGGCAATGTGAGTCTGAATTTTAACGTGAATTATAGTATAGAAATAGCGCCTTCAAATCGTAGAAAACGCGATACCAATTCCGAGAAAAATTTCTTTCTTAAACGAGTTGTTCCACGTTTAAGCTTTGCAATAATGTTCAACACGGGTCTGATCGCGCTCGTCCCGTCTTGGCGCAGACGATTTGCCGAAATTCTGCGGAATCTATGCCCGACCGAAAATACCGTATCCGAGGAGCCGAGTTGCGTATCGACGAAAAAACGACCGATTGCCCACGACGAGACCCAGATCTATTTCTCACAATTGCAGAATGCGTGGCAATAAATTTAAAATCGGTCATGGCCATAAATACGGCTTTTTGAAGCTGACAAAACTTCATGTCAATTCCTCAAGAAACTTTTCTAGCGTGTTTCGTCCATACTATATTTTTTTAAAAACTTTTCCTAGCTTGTCTATCGTAATGTGGTTGACAAAGGACTTCACGTTCCTAAAGGATAACAGCTGGCTTGTATTCAATAGACAAAGCTCGATTCTCGGTTTTTTTATCGAATCCTTGCTAGTTTTCTTTCTAATAAAAATGTCTGACAAGGAGTGCTTTTTTTTAGACATCGGCAAAACCTTACGAGACCTAGCTCATTCGATAGAGAATTCGATTCTGAACAAAACTCCGTTGTTCATTTTTGCAGAATGGCTATCCCTGATTTTATCCAATTTTAAAACTGCACCCAAAAGCCTCTCTTTTGGCTCGAAAGGCTCTTATGGTAAGAGACGGTCACTAGTATTTTAATTTTATAAAATCAGGAATAGCCATTCTGCAAAAAAGAACAACGAGGTTTTATTCAGAATCGAATTCTCTATCGAATGAGCTAGGTCTCGTAAGGTTTGGCCGATGACTCAAAAAATGCACTCCTTGTGAGAAATAAATGAAATTATAAAGATCCTTAAATTCTTATAATCCTCAAGGATCTTCGCCAGCTGCCTATCGGATCTTCTCTTTCTCCAGATCCCAAAAATCGCCACCGGTTTACCTACAAATTTCGATTTCATAACAATTTTTTTTTGCTGGAAGTTTTTTCGTTAATTAATGTACCAAAAGAATGACTGTAAACTTCCCTATCACAAAATTACCCAAAAACCTGCTTACAATGTACAAGCCTAATCAAGCGTTACTCGCAAGCCCACATGCACCTGCTTGCTAAACGGCGCACAACTCTCGGTACAGACGGTCGGTCATAAAAAATTCTAACGCACTCGAAAACATTCGTGATGCCTAGATCTTTATGTCCGCATTCCCCCGGGCGGTCGTAGTCGCCAGCCAGGGCATGTGACGATCAAATTGTCGCTAAATTCATATAGACGGGGCCGGTGCGTGAATTAGGAAACGTCGGGGGCAAAAGTGTCCGAAAAATTGCTCCTTTGTTGACCATTTCTAGACTGGGATTCACTCTTGATTGGTAGTCAGCGACTAAACTGATTTTTTAAGAGTATTCTGTACTTCCTGACTAACCGATCGGATGCTACAGTTTGTGATTCCCTTGAGACCGTCAAGTTAGAGTTGGAAAATTCTTCGCAAGGAATCGGAAGTGATGACGAAGTTAGAATAGTTGAATAGAATGTGTTTTAATAGTTCAATTCACAATACCACAGCACCAATTCTTTTTCTCTTTCTCTCTCTCTCTCTCTCTCTCTCTCTCTCTCTCTCTCGTCTCCCTCTCCCTCTCTCTTTCTCTCTCACTCCTTCACAACGGTCCTTATTTCGAACTTTGGCTTTTCCACCTTTTAGTGGTATCATAGCCTAAAAACTCCTACGCAGCTTCCCATTCCTAAAACAAGCTTTATCCTGATTTCGTGAAATGCCAAATTCTACCGAGAATATGCAATCAGGCCGTGTGCTGCTGCGTTTTTCACCTGCCCACCATCACCCTCAATTTTTTACATGTTTTTCGCCCTATTGCTGGACCCTCCACAACGATCGCTTTAATTTGATCGTGGTTTGCTGTTAGTGTAAAATTTTGTCTGAATGAATTGATAGTGCAAATCTTTGTAAAATTTGTATTAGTAAATTTTTTATTGCAATTTTTTTGCGGAGGTCTTTGTTGAGCCTGAGTTTTAGATGATGTACAAAGCTCCCGGGTTAGAGCTGATGCTGTTCGGAATCTACGACCAAAATTTGTTATTACAAAATCAGAGTTTCTACCCATTCTGGCTCGCCTCACTGCTATGCGAATTATTTGGGAGCTCGATAACGATCGGATTGGGATTGGTAAGTCAAGTTGCCGATGTCCGAAAATATACGTAACTACGTTCGCGAATTTCTATAATTACAAAATGCCAAAAAAATTCTAGTGCCTGCTCCACGTCGCCAAAAACTCGCGCGTCTTCAACAAGAAACTGATCCATATCATATGGTTATTTATGGCCAAAAATATTATTGGGGAGATTGCTCGATTCCTATTAATGCTCTATCAATTTCGGGTTATTCCCGTCCAAGGTAATTTCTTAAGGTTTAAGGGGAGAGTATTAGCAAGCCCTCAAGAACGATATTTAGAAACTAGCGGGCCACCGATTTTAATTTCTACTCAAATCCGTTTGATTTTAGGTGATATTCTTGCCGATCTGCCCCTATTTTTCCTCTCCGCCTGCCGCACATTTGTGTACTGTAGCGAGGTGATGTTCGTAGTCGAAGTGCTGTGCGAGCGGTGCATGGCTATTGTATTTGTCCGGGACTATGAGTACATGAAACGGGTCTGGCTCGAATGGATTATATTCACGTATTCGAATTTGAACTGCTTGATCGTGACGCTGGCTTTCCATTTTTGTGGGTTAAAACGATTAAAAAGACCTTTACACTTCAAAAAAAAACGTGAATTAAAGTTACAAACAAAGCCAAAAACATTATTTTAATGCCAAAAGTCGATAAATCTAACCTTAATTGCAATTCTCTATTCAGTAGTAACAAAAATTTTTAAAGATTTTATCCACTTTTTTTAGTAAGCGTTCAGCAGCACAACTTCATGTTCAAGCTTATGCTCCCCTTGACTCTATGCTGTATAATCGGCACGCTAATTGTAAGCTCGAACTTTGAACGATAATGCTAGATTTATATGCTAGATGTTTCTCTTGATCGAGCGGTTCAACAACAAAATTTCCGAGCGTCTCGAAAAGTTCGACATCAGGAGATACAGCCTGAGCACCAAGTTTCAGGTCGTGGAGAATTCGAAAGCGTTAAAGGTACGTATTAGTATTAGTATAGTCAAATGTTCTAGTTTCGACTTAAATTTAAGGATACTAAGGGTTTGAGGCAATTAGCAAAATTGGCCATTAACAGCTCAATTTACGGGATTTTAGATACTCCAATGGATATTCCTGGGCCACAGTATATTCTGCTTATTTGGCAGTTGCCTATTTACAATTCCGAACATCATTTTTGAAAATGAGACACCAGAATTGGAACTGTCGACTGCATGTCTTGAAGCAGTTCAGAGCCTGTAGGTCTTCAACTTCCTTGTGTTTCTCAAGCATCAACAAGCATTCGCCGATATTTTGCAGCGATTTTGGCATCATAAACTTGATCAAGCCTCACTTTTAAGGGGACTATTTTTCTCAAGTTCATCAAACTTTTAGATACGGCGTCTTCTACACAATATCTCTACTCATCTTAATACCACCGTGGCGTCGAAAACTATTTGATTTGGCCCAAATCCGACGAAGAAAGTCCTGCCGCGTGCAATTTGCATATTCCCAACCTAAAATCCTTGCCGTTTCGCCAGCTGAATGTGATGAACACTTCAACCATTTGAAGGAGATTTGGGGGAAATAAAAATATTCAAAGAATTTATCGCGGCAATCTAAAAATAACGTTACTCTCCTCTCTCCCTCTCGCTCTCCCTCTCTCTCTTTCTCTCCCTCTCTCTCCCTCTTTCTCTCGCTCTCTCTCTACCTAAAAATTGATCACTTGAGTCTACGCTAAACGTAAATGGCAAAAAAGTTTCAATGACCAATTATCTTGGGTATCTCCCCAAAAACACCTGCTGCTCCTACTCAGGCTTGATCGGACCCTGAAACTATCACCCTACTCAGGTCACCATTGTCTAGTAAAATGTTTTACAACATTTTTGGGTTCAAAATGCTACTCTATGCATTCTACGACACCGATTTACTTTATAAAAACGCTACCTATAAAACGCTAACCCAATGTTTCGTCATGGGCGAACTTATGGCGACAACTTTTTTGTTGACGTTCGGGCTTGTGAGTCATATTTTCATATCTTTTGGACAATAATGAGAAAAATACGTATATTTTCGTCTAAAAGGAGCCTTAGAGCACGAAAATGGAGCATGAGCTCAATGATTAAGGTACAAAACTACCTCTTAGATAGCCGTTCGAATCATGTACCGCTCGAACGCTTTCCATCATAATTTTATACGCCCTTTCGTCGTGTATATAATCCAATATATTTTGTCTCAAATTGGCCGCCTAATTTCAATGTGTTATCAGTTTAGATGGTTCGAAATATCAGGTGATTAAGGCAGTTGTAATTTTTTAGCGCTAGAAAAATTATTCGAATTATAAAGTAAGCTTAGCTTAGTCTTATTTTAAGCTTAAAAGCTTTAATCCCCCATTTCTAGGCGTTGTATGGCAGGATGCGCCGCTACTCCTCAGCTCTATGCTACGACTCTACACATATTCTGGGGCATTCACGATATTTAGCACGATATTTATCGAGAGGAGCTGTGCTGTGTACTTCATTAAAGACTATGAATACGTGGATCGGCCCTTAATCGAAGCGTATCTGCACCTACAATCATTTTCGATGCAGAGCTTCTCGGTCATGGTGTATTCGTTTAGTAAGTGTATTTAGCATTTAGCTAGTATCTCCCAAAAAAGGAAACCGGAAGCGTTGAGGTCGCGTCGGGGTGTTATAGGTGCTTTGCATGCAATCGTAAACACAAAGTGCGGTGGATTTGTAGCAAAACTCTTAGCCAAATCAGAGAAATTTACTTTTAGCTGGTGGCTACTACGATGCTTTGACGTTCAAGCTGAACCTTCCATTCATGACTCTCTGGCTTATTACCGTCTGGTTTGTAAGTCCTAATTTCCATTTTGAAATAGCCACTACATTTTAAGCTTTTCCGCAATGTCTACATCGAAAATAATCGTGCCCTGAACCAACTCTTCGAAACGTTTGATGCAAGAAAATATACGCTAAGCAGACGATTTCAGTTGGATGAAAACCGGAGGGTGTTGAAGGTAAGGCAGAGGAATTCAAATGCAAAATTCAATTCAATTCAACCCTTTCAATTTCTCCCAAAATGCCCTAGGGTCACCGAAAAAATCTCTGAGCTATTTACCAGAGCGTAAAAGTTCAACGGACAAATTTCCTTCCTTCACCTGTTCAATCATTTTTAAGGGTCATCCAATTTTTTCTAATTGGCTAACATTGAACGGAGCGTCATAGCGAACTTTGGAACATGAGAGAGAGAGAGAGAGAGAGAGAGTGAGAGAGAGACTGCGAAATGAGGGTTAGACAGGGAAAATTGCTGATGCTTTTTCAGCTATTCTACAACATTTTCATGGGTCACGCATTCTTTTGCTCAATTGCTATGTGCATCTTCACGCTTCCGCACATAATTTTCGATGACCCCTCCGCAGAGGTCGAGCTGTGCGCGGCGTTTTTGGAGTGTTATCAGGGATTGTAAGTTTTTGAAGGGGAAAGAGAAGGAGAGAGAGCCAGAAAGAGAGAGAGAGAGCGCGAGAGAGCGGAAAAGATAGAACAAGGGCGAGCGATATTAAAGAATCCCTCCTTTGTTAGATACGGAGTCGTGTTTATTTGCGCTCTGATCGCCACAGTACCGTCATGGCGTCACGCATTTCTGCGAATTTTTGGGACGATAAAGACTGCCGATTTGAACCAAGAGCTACGACGGGTCGGGCGACGCGAAAGTCACGTGGAAACGACGCAATTATATTTTCAAAATTTACGGCTGCAGTGGGCTTGAGAATAAAGAAGTTGATGGAGTGTAAAAGACTTGAAATACTGTAAGGGCATATGAAAACCTTTTATATCGAGAGATCACGAACTAAAAAGCGTCTTGGGACTTCAAAAATCTTGGAAAATAGTGAAACACCGTCTCGCAGGGGATAGTCTTGAAAAACAGGGTATTCGGGCGAAGGAATGGTTCAGTAAACAATTTAATGAGATTTAAAAACTTTGCCAACCTGTACTTCCGATTTGGCAACCGTCTACGTACGAGCGCCCAAATTAGGAATACGATGCTTGCCACGGAAAGTACAGCAGCTGTGATGGAAAATGCAGGAGCGACGGACAAGATGACGGAGCTGGACTAAAAACGGGGACAGTTAGACAAATCGCTAGGTATTTGTAAGTGTAGAACCGCATTAAAGTGCAAGTGATCAAAACCTGTTAAGACAGACCTCTTCAATTCGCCTTCTTCTATCATAGGTCGCCGACAACTCCTCCGTGTTGAACTGCCCCTTGCAGCGGGCCACGATCTCGTCGTCGATTTCCATTATTTAGTGCTGATGACGGGGCGTCAATTTTTCATTCCTAAATTTAGAAGATTTTTCCGCTGCCATTTTTTGTCCTTAGAAAGTATTGTAAAAATCCAGAAAATGGGTCATCTTTTTCACTTTAGAAGAGTAGCTATTGGGTGGCGAATTTTCGAATTGTTCGGCGGATTTTGGAAGGTTAAGCTTACCAAAATCTTCAAATAAAGGAGAGCGTTACTGTCAATAAAAATAAAAAAAAATGAAAATGGCAATGAAAACTGCGCGGAAAAGTGGCCTTTTCAAAAATCGAAAATAATTTTTTGAAACGCTGATTTCCAATCTATCCTTTTAAATTTTTAAAAAATAAAAAATAAGGAATATGAATGAAGTCACCGTCCAGTTAAAATGAATGCGTAGTATTAGGTATCAGAATTACTAGAAAATTTAAAAAGGTTGGATGATTAAGAAAGACGAACAGAAAAAATACATCAAAATTTAGATAAACAAAACAGAATTTAGTTCATATTAGAGTTATGCCGGAAACTAAGTGAGTCACACCAAAACTGTATCGTTACGTAATCAAGCCGGAATCTGAGAATTTTTCGAGGCCACCCGCGAGTTGAGGGGGTCCCGGGGTTGGTTTGGTACCTGGCGGTGTGGGCCCTTAGGGCCAACGAGAATCGGACAGGCTCCCCCTTCTTTCCCCTCTTCACCCTACTCACGACGTCCATAGGAAAAGAGTGGAAAAAGAATCGGGGAAAAGAAAGGCGCAAACATTCCCTCCTCATCGACCCCCGATCCCTCAGGCGCTCGCGCGCCCCCCACACCTCAACCCCCCACAGAGCCGACAAAACTTTTTTTTTGGGAATTATTTACCCTGAGGAACTGGGGAAGCGGAAAAAGCAGAGGTAGTGATTGAAAGAAGTAATTTTTTTTACTTTTTTAGAACGGAAGATCCAGAGCAAAAAGTGGAGAGCCCTAAAAATGAGCAAAAAATACTCAAGAAACGGACCGACGTTTGGGCAAAAAAATCAAAGAATACAAATGTACGTCAAAATTCAGCATCCGCAAGTCTAAATTTTTTTAGGGACCCATCTTTCGAACACTTGAGGAACATTTTAAGAGATGAATTTTGAATCTTTAAGGCAATTGTAATATATAATTTTAATGAATTTTAAAACATTCAAAATTTAAAATTCGGAAAGAAAATCACGGAATCAGCAGTTTTCCCCATGTGAGTTCCCCTCAATTTGCATAATCGGGTTATGCAGTTTTGAGTTTTTGTGTTTCGAAACAGCAATAGGCCGTCGATTGAGATTGAGAGAGAGCGGCAGAGAGAAATAGAGAGCGAGGTGAGAGAGAGAGAGAGTGAGAGCCAGAGCAAGAGAAAGAGAGAGACGCTAGCTTCGTTGCTATTTTCTAAAGCTTACAAAATTTGCATAAAAAATTAGCATAAAATCTTGCTGAGCGTGGTGAACGTCAAAAATCAGTTTTTGTTTTATTACTCTCCACCTTCCCAAGATGCGCGGCGTGGCCATCGCCTTTGCGCTTCTGATTTCTGGGTACTTTCTGCAAATTTCAAATTCAAAGCGACTTCTTTGCAAAGATTAAAATTGTTCAGGGTCAGCTGCTTGTCGCTGAAGGAGGGCGACTTCATCCACGACTTCCTCGCCAAGTACAAGGACCCGCAGATACAGCCGTGCGACGACTTTTACCGTCATGTAAGTTCCCTCAGGCTTAAGCGTCCGCCTAAGTTAGGCGTAAGCTTGGGCTTAGGCATAGGCTTGGGCTTAGCTCAGACTTAGGCTTAGGCTTAGCTTAGGCTTTGGTGGCTTATTTTTCAATTCCAGGTGTGCCCCCGAGGCGTCGACCCCAACGAAACCCCTGCCGGGGCTGCGGTGCTCCACTTCGACGAGCTTGCCCGGCCGCTGGTGGCTTCGCGTGCAGAGGGTCTGCAGCATGTCGAGGTATGGTTAGAGTGCCGTTAACCGCCCTCCCCCCCCACTCTAACCAAGACCCAACTTTTGTATCTCGGCTCCATGTACAGCTACAGGTGTGTAAAATATACCAAAATACTTGCCAGAGCAAGACGGACATTTTGATATACTTCACACATCCGTAGATAAACAGGGAGCCGAGATACAAGAGTCGGGCGCCGGCCAGGGGGAGGGGGGGTAAACTGCACATAACCAAGGTTTTTTGAGTTTTTCCGCTTCAAAACTTGACTTGTACCGATTTCTGCTTTTTTTAGCAACACCCGAAGGACGCGTATGGCATGGTGTTGGAGCAGGTGACGAAGAACTACCAGCGAGCCGTCGAGGAGGCGCTTAGGGTAAGCCCGTGGCGATGCGCATGTCATGTTTGACAAAAAATCACTGCAAGCGCGCTTCCTCTCACCATGGGTTTTCCGCAAATAATCGCTGCAGTTTTTGAAATAAGCGTTTTTTTAAACGGATCCAAAGAATTATCAAAAAACCTTTTTCAGGGTTGGGCATCCGTCCAGAACATGCTGAAGGTGGCCGGACTGATCCAAAATGGTAGAAAACCATATTTGTGTAGAAAACGTAGTGTTTCCGCTTACCCCGGAGCTTTGACAATATCGGGGGAGAGAGTTTATCCGGGCATCAACCGTTTTATAAGATCAGAAAAGCTCAACGACGATTGTATAATTTTTGGCAAAAAATCTAACTATTTATCGAACAAAAAACCTCAAAACTTATTTACAAATTATTTCAGGGAGAAAATTTGTGCTGTTTGCTTTTGCATGCATATCTGTAAAGTTTTAGCGCTTAAGAAAGGCGGAAACAGTAGAGAAACATCATTTGTATTCCTATTCGAAATATGGGGAAAAAAAATTGGTTTTCTCGCCATTATAATGTGAAGAGCTATCACCCATTTCCTGCAGGCCAACAATTCGTGCAAGGGCTCGACGCAAATAAGCTGCAGTCGACGGCCGGGGCGTTGCGGACGAGGATTCTGAGCGGATTGGTTGAGCCAAAATAGCGCTTTTTTCACAGCTCCAACCTCAGAAAGACGCCAAATTGAAGCAGAAGTTCAAGGATGACCGCGTGCACGGCAACTGGACGGCAATTTTGGATAAAGCCGTGAGATTCTTAGATTTTTTTCTGATTTCAAAAGCTTTTAGCAATTCCAACTTGGCGTCGGCGACATGAGCGCGGCGGATCAGCTGCTGGACACGTACGACGGGGCCGACTGGGCCTACAAACAATACCTGGCGTAAGGGAGTCTAACTTGATTTTTCGCCGGGTTCTTTGGTGCTTAATATTTTTATGCCTATCGCGTATTTTTCAGTGACACGAAGAGCCCGCCGTTTGGCAACGGTGACGACGTGGCGGCCCGATTCGACGAGTTCATCATGTTCTACGACACGACGATCAGCCCCCGTCTCGCCCCGCATGTCAAGCGCTTCTTCCAGCTGCTGGGTGAGTAAATTTTAGGGATTTCCGGAACCCGGCTTGCTTTTTGGGCAAAAATCAGTGTATTTCTAGCCGGCTTCGACACCGTGACGTCGCACTACGACAACAAAACGGTCGTCGTCCCGCCGGCTGTGCTCGCCACCCTCTACGCCAATCCGAAGCACCATGCTGCTTCTTTTGTGGGTCGATTTCTCTCTCTCTCTCTCTCTCTCTCTCTCTCTCTCTCTCCCTCTCACTCCCGCTTTCTCTCGCTCTCATTCTTTCTCAATTGTTCTAAAATCTCGCACGTTCAGTATGCCATTTTCGCCACCGAAACCGCCAAGGAGGTGCTAAAGATGCTGTTCAAGTCGGTGGACAGCACGCAGAAGGGGTACTTCATCATGATCATGTCGTCTGAAAACTGCGATTTTTAGATATCTAGACGGGCAGCCGCTCCACTTCCGCGAATGTATGCGCCACTACTTCAGGGAGGTGAGGTGGTTCTCTCTCACGCTCTCTCTCGCGCGCTCTCGCTCTCTCGCTCAAAACGATTTCTCTCTTTTCCTAGGCCTGCATTCTCTGGCGCGCCGACTGCGCCTGCACCCGGTACGTTCCTGAGGGCCAAAGCATGTCCTTGGTGGGTACTTTCCGAGTTTCACTATGCTACGCACTACGAACGATCATAGGCTTCAAATCATACCATTTCAGTCTTCAAAATGCCCCTACATCTCGACCAGCGGCACCTTCGAGTACATGGCGTGGAAGGAGGCGCTGCGCCTCGCTTGGGAGCTGTTCGAGAAGGAGAAGCCGGGAGCGGTAGGGAGAGCGAGAGAGAGAGAGAGTTTGAGAGAGAGCGAGAGAGCGACTACAAAAACAAACGACATACCTCTAGGCCGAGGACGTCTACCCGGATCTGAAAATCAACAGCCACCAGCTCTTCTACTACTCCCACGCTGTCAACCACTGCCTCGCCTTCCCTATCAGCCTTGAAGTGTAAGTACTTAAGCAGAATTCGGATGATACTGGCTTTTTCAGTGGAGCAGGCCGCACGGCGAAGGGCATCGGCCGTGGGCTGAAGATAAACGCTGCGATCGGGGCCGACCCCAACTTTGCCAAGGCGTTCAACTGCAAGCCTAGGGACAAAATGGCGCAGGTGAGAGAGAGGGGTGAGGAGACGATTTTTTTCAGTCCGGCCGTTGCCCGTTCTTCTTCGACGACAAGCTCTAGCTGTTCACCATCGATACCCAGCTCGACATCGTCACCTAGGAGACATGAACGACCGGCGCAACGTTTGCAAGTGTCGATGAATAAAGTGTTTTTCGAACCGGGCGACCTTATACACCTGTGAACACGGACCATTGAATTAACAGCCCTATTACGTACGAATAGTGACGCAACTAAGCGTCATAAAAGTCCGAAAAATCATGAGAAAACGAATTTGAAACACTTCTTTTCGTTTTGAACCAACTATCTTCGTACTACTGTCGTATCTTAAATTTATTCAAGCGCAAAACAAGCGAAAGACGGATGAGAAAAAGGCTTTTCGCAGCGGTGGGCAAGAAATGAGATACACGTACGGGTTGACGAGATTTCCGAACTCGAAGATGGCGGAGTAAACGGTCAGGACGGGGCCTTCTGGAACGGCATGATTGTATTTGCGATTTCTGTTTTTTTATTCTAGCACTCATTTTCTCTCTCTCGCGCTCTTTCTCTCTCTCTCTTTCTCTCGCTCTGTCCCTCTTCCAACAATTATGAAAATCGGTTTTTTGCTTTTTCCTTCATATTTTCGGCTTCCTTTAATTTCCGGGGAGGTGTGAAGTGAAGCACGTCGGAATCGCCTTTTTTTTGTCAGGAAAGGTGCAAGAAAATTCGAAACCAAGTCGGTCCCTTTTTTATCTGTCCTTTTCGTTAAGATCAACCCCGGGCATTTGGTTGATATTTGCGTTCTTCGCCACCGTTATTCCGATCTCCCCCCCCAAACCAACCACCACCCCCTTCCTCCCCCGGCATCCTGAAATGCGACACCCACGCTTGACGGGCGCGAAATTCATCTCGCTCGCCCAGTAGAGGGTGTAGAACAGGATGACAAAGAAGTCGATTTGTTGGTCGAAGATTGAGATCATCGCGAAGGTCAGCTCGATCTCGAGGCGTTCGACGCTGCCTGGAAAATGTTGAGTGAGGTGGCAGCTGAAATAAAAATTGCATGGGAGTATTCAACGTTTTGGTTAGGTTGTATTGGTTAGCTTGAGTAACTTTAAACCTAAAAACACTAGCATCTAAAGTTACTTCTGACAATTAAATATAAAATTTTGGTTATAAAAATACTTTATCTAAATAGGTACTACTTATTGGTAGACCTACCAACGACTTGTGACGGCAAAACGGCGCTCGGGAGGTATTTCCCGTGCTTTAGCACCCGATCACATGTCTCGTGCTCGCATAGTTTCTCGATGTTGCTGATCGTCGGGAGAACCAATTTTCCTGGAACTTTTTTCTGAGGATTTTTCATCATCCGTGCTTTCGTGAATAATTACGATAAGTAGAAGCAAATAAACTTTGAATTTTACATTCTCGATCAAAGTTATTTGTGCGCTAATCTAGCTCTTTCATTAAAGGGATGCCGACGGCATAGTGAATGAAATTACGCGCTGGAAAGAAAATGTCTCTGCGTCTCTCCCCACGGCGCGCTCTCTGCCCTGTTGGCTACTTGCCAATTTGTTGATGAGAGGGGGGGATCGACACATGCCGTCGGCAGCTTTGAACTCAAGACTCACTTTTCTTGCCTTTTCCATGCCGTCTCACGATCCGATTGTACTGCTTGTAGAGCATTATTAACGTGAACGTATTCAACGCGCATAGTACTGGCGCGTACACTAGCGTCTCAAAAATCATGTCAACACTGTCGAAAATTGCCGACACGGTCACGTCCCTGTACTCCACGGAGTCGATGGCGCCTTCTGAAACAAAAACCTTTTAGAAAGGTATTTTTGCAAGACTGTAGACGCGCTTGCTTTAAAAAAAAATTTTCTTTGATGCCATGCCTTACCATAAAAATAGCTCCCACAACACGGGGAGAACATTGGCAAAATTGCGGCCAGTGGGATGATCCAGGTTATAGCGACCAGCACCCACTTGAAGAAACGATTGCAAAACTTAAAACAGGGATTTAGAAGACAGAAACCGGGCTACCCAATGATAAGAATGCATCGAAATGGCCATGGCTGCCCTGTCAAAGGCTAACAAAAAACTGGAGATCACGATCGTCCAACTGTTATACCACTCCGCTGCGTTGATCACGTTCGCCCAGCTGTCCTAAAGGGGGTGGGACCGTTGCTTCCAGCTGACGTAGCGCAGGGATGACGCGTGGCTACAATTCTAGACTTACCTTTTTCATCAAAAACTTCCGAATGTACTCGTCCTCAGTGTCAAACAGCAACTCCGGAATATACGTTAAAGAAATCCTGACCACTGTCGCAAACATGTCGGTAAAGTTTTGGGAGAAGAAGAGCTAAAGTTTGGCTTAAAAGTTGTTTTGTTTCCAAAACGGCGGCTAGAAAATAGAAAAAGCATTCATTACCGAAAAATTTATCGTTGTTGTTTTTGGTTCGTTTATTAATCTATGAAGAATTAGCGATGATTTGCTGACCTCATCGAAACACGGATGATGTAGTTTTGGCGTCAGTACGATCACCAACAAGACCCAACAATTCAGCGATAATGAGAAGACGTTGATTACGAACCTAGAAAGCCCAGAAAAATCTCTTTCACACCACTACCGAAAATTGGTTGCCGTAAACCCGTTAATCGATTGAATTTGACAACAGCAAACTACCAGATTTTTCGTTTTCAATCAATGCAGTCGAAAAACTATTGACCGCTTACCTCGTCAAAATAACCCAGTCCATCAAAAAAAATATAGAGAACGAGAATAGACACCAAAATTCCACCACCACCCAAGATGGCTTCAAATCGGGACCAACCCCCCTCTCGCGTATTGTTTACCCACAATTTTGGTGTGTTACCTGACCCCGGGCTATGGGGGTTTTTGGTTGCAAAAATGCTGTGGCTTATACGCTTTTTTCGTTCGAATTTGTTTACCATTGCAATACAATGTGGATTATATAATTCCGTCTTTAAAAAGCCCTTGTTCGCAAAATTTTTAAGTGATTGTCATGTATCTTTTTATTGGCTTCAAAATTGGTATTATGTTTGTTATGATATAGTTTTGTTTTGTTTTGCATCTTAAATAGTTTTTGTTTTGATGAAACGCAAATTTGCATACGACTAGTGCATTTACCATAGCATTTTTCCAGGATGCGAGAGGAATTCGTCAGATTCACCATTGTTCTACGACCCGATGGGGGATGAGAAAGCGGATGGTGGTGTTGGGCTTCAGGCAGGTTTTGGAAACAAATTTCAAATGTAAATTCATCCCATTCAAATTATGACTAGTTTTTGTAACAAACTGGCTAAAATTACAGGCGATCCGCTGCCGCCGCGCCCAGCGCTTCTACCCCTCGTGTCTGTACTCGCCGTTTCGGCACGGTATTTTGAATGGAAAGGTTAGGCCAAGGCCCGGCTCAACCTTCAGCTCGTCGAGACTTGATGCCATAACGCTATGCTCAACTCTTCTTTACAGGTAGCCCTGGTAACTGGTGGCGCATCAGGAATCGGCCTCGGCATCGCGCGGTCTTTGGCAAGCGCCGGGGCGATCGTCGTCATTGCTAGCCGGTGGGGATTTGTGGCTCTTTCATAAACCAAAACTTTAGAAAAAACTCTTCATATAAAATGCTTGATGATGTCTCCTAGTTCTACCGTACTCATTTAATGCGATTCTCATTTTTCAGAAAACTGGCCACCGACCGCGTCGCGCAGCAGCTGTCCGAGAGCAGCGACGGCACCGTCTACGCCATCCAGCTGAACGTGCGCTACCCGGACGCGTACGCGGACCTGTTCGACAGGATCGAGAAATTGTGGGAATTTTTTAGACCCCAATTTTCCTAGCATAAAGCGACAAAGTATTTATCAATTTTCCAATTAATTCTTATTAAAAATTTCAAAAATATTGTTTTTCGACTGAAACGCAAACTTTTTTCAAGTTTTTAGATAGCTTTTTACCAGTCCGGGTAATTTTTTACAAAATTAAGCGGTACAATTCAAATAGGCGGGGGGAAAGATTTAGGCGGGGGGCGGAACCCAACTTTTTTCCGCCCAAGCCCATATTTTTTATATAAATAGTGGAAGTGTTTCTAAATTGTTTATAGCTATCCCTAAACATAAAAACTTTACAAAACTTAATTAAAAAATTTAATTTAGGTCGAAAAATAATTTTTTTCGGCCCAAAAATGACCAAATTTTCGACTTTTTCAAGCGTTTTTCTAACTTTTTAAAAAGTTTTTCCGATCCAAATACGCTGAATTTTGCTAAAAACAATGTGAAAACACTTTATATTTGATTACTATCCCCACCAGGGCCGGCAAAAAAAAAGTTGGTTTCCCCCCGCTAAAATCTTTCCCCCCCCCCGCCTATTTGAATTGTACCAATTAAGCTGAAAATACTCCAGATTCTCCACTTCGCTGACTTTACGACATATAATTCCAGAGCCGGCGCCCCATGCAACCTGTTGGCCAACTGTGCGGCCGGAAACTTTGCCGCCCCCTCCGAGAACATTGACCACCGTGGATTTTGGGTAAGTTTTGTAATTTATAGCATCCGTTTTTCGCAAATTGAGTCAGATCTTTATTGAGCACGTGCGAGAAATTAAAGTATGTGAAAATAGGATTTTGAATCACCGCCCGAAAAGCCGGCCACCAAACGGCGACATTCCCATGCCCATCATGTTGTTGCCTAAAAAGACACCATAATGCCAGAAAAATATATGAAAAGCTGCGCTCTACCTAGAAATTGGTAAAATCGGTAGATTGTAAAGTTTTCGTTGCCAAGTAGTATTCTAAAAACTGCTCCACTTACCATACATCCCCTGGTTTCCGTACATTCCACCCATCCCGCCTCCCCGTCCGAACATCCCACCTCCCATTCGACCGAAACGGCCGAACCTTAAAAATTGGTCTACATCTCATCTCTCGCCCTCTCTCTCTCTCTCTCTCTCTCTCTCGATTACCAACCTCCTGGCCATCATTGGAAACCGCATCAGCCCTCGGATTCCGCCGATACCTCCGATAGCTAAAATGCATAATTCACCTTCATAAAATTTTGGAATAGTTTGTTTTTGTACTTGTCATAAACTTCATTAGGAAAGTAAGCTAACAAAGTAAGCCAAAAAGTAAGCTAAAGTATGCTACGAACAGCATTAAAAACATAGAAACGACAAGAGAATGTACTAAAACTCCCTTATTTAATAGCCAATTTAGTAGAAAGCTAAAAATGCGGGTTTTGTTATAGACAAAATAAAAACTTTGAGAATTTTCTAAAATCAAGCGTGCCGAAATTCTATGAAATTTTCTTCATTTCATAAAATTGTCGAGCCTTTTAAAATTTTTTCCGAAAGTTTTGCGGTGACTTACAAACATATTTTGTCCATTCTACAATTCTTGAGAACTAAAATAAGCTTCAGCTAACTCACCTTCAGTTATGCCAACAGCCAGCAGCAACAAAAATAGGCAGGGTAGTAGGTGGCGCATCGTACTATATGACTTTGAAGCCGCGTATCCCGCTTCCTTCTTAAGTATTAAAGAGAACAATTAGCGAAGGCTTGGGGCAGGTGTTTGCCCCGAAAATGGCAGTCCGAATTATAACGTCGAAGTGGCTGCCGCTGCGTCACAGCTATCCGCTGAGAGTGTCCCACCCACTGCCAGAGATATTAGAAATTAGGCAGCGTAAGGGGGGCGGATCCGCTCGGAATTTGTGTGTGTGTCCACGGGCAGCCGTTTGGCGTTGATTTCCACGGGGGTGTGGATATGAGCGGGGCGGAACATACACCCGTTTCTCTGTCTGTCGTTTGGTGCATGGGGATGGCCGTGTTTGTGCATTTGACGCACGCGCCGGCGCGGGCACGCGGCTGGCGAGCGCGGGGGGCCTGCGCTTTTTCTGGCGGTTGACCGCGATCTGTATCGGCTGGCCAAAGGGGGATTTGGCGGATTAATAGGATAGTGAAAGGGGAAATAGGGCTTTCTAGCACTCACTCTCTCTATCTCTCCTCTCTCTCTATCTATCTCTCTCTCTCTCTAGCTCTATCGCCCTCTCCGTCTCTCTCCTTCGCTCTTTTTCTCTGGCTTGTGATTTTTTCACAAAACGTTCTATGCATGGAACATCTCGAGTGCCGAATTGATAGAGATAATTTTTTTTGGGATCGGATTCGCCAAATCGCTTCCTCTCTCCCTCTCTCTCTCTTTCTCTCTCTCTCTCTCTCTCTCTCTCTCTCTCTCTCTCTCTGTGTCTCTCTCTCTCTATTTAGTTTGAGCGATTAGAAATGGAAACTTGTCCGTCCGGTTCAATGGCCGTTCCCGAAAAATAGAACAGACTCGAGTTTTGGGATCGAAAATTGATGACTGTTTGGCTCGCGCGAAAGCGAGAGAGAGAAGGAGAGCGAGAGAGAGAGAGAGAGAGAGAGAGAGAGAGAGAGAGAGAGAGAGTCGAGGTGTTTTTCGCTAATTTCCGAAAAGAAGTCTGGGAACATCACATTAGAAAATTGTCAATTTCCTATCAAATAACGAAAAGGTTTGAATTCGTATCGGCTCCAGGCTGGCAACTAGCAGAGACCCTTCAGGAATACAAAATACGAGAAAATAAATGGGAACGAGGATGGAAATTGTAGGGGTTATGGTCCTAGTTGCTATAGACAACCAGAAAATTTAAAAATAAATCGCGGATTTGGAACGGAGATCATATTTCAAAATCGATTTTTCAGCACACCTTCCAATCGGGCATCGTCGGCTCGGCCATCCTCACCCACATGCTCATCCAGCGCAACCGCCCCCTCAACATCCCCACCACCGTCCTAAACCTATCCGCCAGCTTCAACAAGTTCACATTACCCTTTTGATTTAGCTTTTGCTTTTCAGAACCTCGCCGCCCTTCACCGTGCCCTACGCCATGTCCAAGGCAGCGCTGGATAAGGTGGGACAGAAGAAGAAAGAGAGGGAGCAATAGACAGAGAGAACAACAGAGAGAGAGAAAGAGGGAGAGCGAGAGCGAGCGAGAGCGATCGAGAAAGAGAGAGAAAATCAGGGAAACGCTTCGAATTTTTAGATGACAAAGACGCTGGCCGGCGAACTTGGCCGAGATGGCCATCGCATTAATGGAATCGCGGCGGGACCCACCTATGAATCGGCAAGACTTTTATTTTCTTGCATCTTTTTTGTTTAGGCCGGAATGGCAAAAATCGCGACCGGCGTCGCCAACGACATTGGACTGAAAACGAACCAGGCGGTGACGCCGATCGGGCGGATGGTGTACCCGCATGAGGTATCTCTCTCTCTGTCTCTCTCCCTCTCTCTCTCTCTCTCTCTCTCTCTCTCTCTCTTTCTCTCTCTTTCTCGCTCTCTGTCTCTCTCTTTCTCTGTCTCGATTTAGGCGGATTTTCCAGATCGGAAACATTGCCACTTTCCTGTGCAGCGAGTACGCTTCTGGAATCAATGGAGAGGTAGTTTTACAATACATTAATGAGAACAAAACAAGATTTTTGAAAAAGATAGTAAAATTTGAAAATTTGAAACAAGAGACTTTCCAGACCTTCATCGTCGACGGCGGCCAATCGACCGTCGCCTTCCCGCAAAACTTCTTCCACGACGTTCCCAACGAGCTGTGGCGGACCATCAAGGACAAGAAGGTATAAATTTTTAGGGTATTTTCATGATACTGAATTTTTCTAGGCCTCCCGAAAGACGTGGACCCGGATGAATCGCCAAATTTGAGCCCCGAAAACCGGCTCCGATTCCTTATTAAACCATATTTTCTACCGTATTCGCGATTTTTACGTGTGATTCGTGCTGTGCTTGTCGTGACTTAATAAATATACAACGATGTTTAAGAGTGATTTGTTTAGTTTAAGTTTTGTAGAGATTTTTTACTTTCAAGAGGTTCGGGTGCTTGTGCATTATTGAGGGTGGGAACCGGAAAGTTTTTGTCGAATTTGAAAAATCGATATTTTCGTATTTGTTGCTAAAATTTGTAAAGTTGTGGCGTTTACGAGCTTTAAAGCGCTCCGAAACCTTCCCCCCCTGTTAGTGCAAAAGAACCAAGAACTGAAAAGGCGATAACTGCTTTTCTGGCTCATCGGTTTTTGCTTATCCATTTCTCACACACACTCTCTCTTTCTCTCTCGCTCTCTCTGGTTCTCTCTCCTTCCCTCTCTCTCCCTCTCTCTCTCTCTGCCTCCCGTTTTCTGACCACTAGTAGTCTCCCAGGCGAGGAGACGCCCGTTTCCCACGACGCATCCGTTATTTAGAAGTGCCTTCCTCCACTCTTCAAAGCCGCCCAAAAACTGCCCTAATCCGGCTTATCTTCTGAAGTGTCCGGTCATTTCTCCACTTCTTTCGTGTCACTTGGGGTGTCCAGCACCGACTGTCCGGTGCCCCTCCGGCTACTAGCTCCCCGGGCCCCATATCAATTTTGCCCAGATAATCAACCCGCCCGGCCATTGTCCAGCCTAAATTCTTCACTTCCCCGTCTGTCTGGTCGCGAGCCGGCGTGTGTCCTGGTCACTCTGATGGTTTGGTCCTAGCCTGTTTTCACTACCGTATTCGGGTGTCAAATGCTTTTCAAGGATCTTTCAAAGATTTTTTGAGCGGCACGTTGTGGAGGTGTCGGACGTACCATGACGTCCCAGCTGCTCGTTTTGAACGGACCACCAGGTTCCGTGTCGTATACAGCTTCCTTTTCCGCCAAGTTTTTTTTTGTCTTCACGCTATACGTATTCCGTGTCGGATTTCTGAGAGTTTCTCTATGTTAAATTTAGAGAGAGGGTGTTGGCGAATGAGATAGGCCTGAGCAGGAGACCGAATGAATCAGTGAGCATGACAAAGTGAATGAGTGAGCGCGTGAGAGAGACAAAGAGAGAGAGAGAGATCTGGGGAGCGAGAGAGAGCGATAGACAGATAGAGTGAAAAAATCGAGGGATGGAGCGTGAGAGCGAGAGAGTGCGAGAGAGCGAGCGAGCGAGCGCGAGACAAAGCTAGCTAGCGTGTAAGAGGTGGTGTGAGAGTGAGCGTGAGACAACGATACGGAAAATTGAACCAGCGATCAACAACGATCGCATGAAACCGGATTTTGCGAGATTTACGCTAGCTGTCATACTCCACCTGAAGTTCTTGATTCAAGTTCGCGAGTTTCCGAAATTCCCTGACAAATGAAAGTGGCAATATCGATCACTGTTTTGAGGTAAGGTAGAGCTTCCGGGCTTCAGATTCTCTAGTTAGAGTCAGACATTGGTGTCCGGCTTCTACTCCCCACCCGATTCTGCCTGTGTGCCAGAGCTAGCCTTTTTTGACTCCCCCTTGACCTGACCTACTGCCTCTATGCTATCCCTTGTTGTCGTATAACAGGACGTTCCGGATCTGTACAACTTATACCTGTTCCCGGCCCCGATCAGCCAAAGATTGTGCTGATCGGCGACAGCAGCACAAAAACAGGCGAGGGGGCCACGTTGGGCCGAACCCGCTGCATAAACAATGTCTCTCGCTCACTCTCTCTCTCTCTCTCTCTCTCTCACTCTCGCTTCCCTAGTTGATAAGCCAGAAGCGGAGGCGACGAAATGCCCCCTCGGCGCACCCCAAGCCCGACCCAGATCGGTACCTCGCCCCGGCGTTCTAATTACATAAAGAACGGAAATATACCGGTGATACGAGTTGGCCGAGGTGACGAAATCGTATTGAGCGGAAGGGGTACGGTAGAAGGGATAAGGGAGCAAGAGATAGGCAGTTAAAGGTCTCAGGAAGCAACACCTAAAGGGGCCTTCGATTTGGCACGTTTCTCTGGTACCGACGGGTCGTAGTTGCTGCTCACCAGCCCTTTTCCGCTTTGTTCAACTTGAGGGACTTTGTCGCCTATAGCTTTGAGCTGCCCGCGACGCATAGCGCGCACTTTTGTAGAAAACAGGCGCGCAGCGCATAGGTAAAACGGAGCATCAAAATCCCGACAGCTATAATCAGGAACACAAAATCCCGACAGACAAATTGTTGCCGAGATACACTCAAACTGGCATCACTCTGAATATGCCCGAATGTTGGGTATCGATATTTTCTAGGTCTGCCGTAACGTAAATGCTGTCGGGATTGTCATCTGTTGATATTTTTGCTTTCGGGATTATGGTTTTGAGGCCCTTAAACTTTTGAAAACAAACCAAAAACAAAAACCACAAATCACAAAAACCGGAAGCCATAAGACTTAATGCTTTCTTGAATCTCCCGGCTTCGGTATCGTTTCTGAACTACGACGGTACTTTAAAATTGCTTTGCTGACTTGGCAGTTCGTTTTTGCTTCCATCTCCTACAGCGGAAAAGTTCATACGAGCTGTCATGTGCCTCAAACGGGATGCAAAGGGATTTTCACAATTCCAAACACGAGCTTCGTTTTTACCCGTCACGAATTCTCCGAGTAATAATTCCCACGATTTCGAGCCCAATTCGCCGCGGCAAAACACGATTTTTTTCCATTAAAAGCGACTCTGTTGCCAGGGCTCCACCAAACCAAAACACCATCACGTGCAAATTTTGTTATGCTGCGGGGCTGCAAGTGGCCGGAAATTTTCGCTGATTCTGCTTTCCTTCTGCTCTTTATCTGCCGCCCTAAAATGACCGCGGTGATACCGTATCGGGAGCGCTGCAGGACATTGCAGGTACTTGCTGACAGGTACTTTCGAAATGAACTGGATCGGTCAATTTTGCACCGGTTTTTGCCTACTGTACTTCTAATTCTGGAGTAGCCTGAATTCAAAAACTTGGGGTCCCAGCTCTGCTTAAAATTCTCCTAAAAATTTCAAATTTTTAGGAATTTAGTCTTCCTGAATTCTTGTGCAGCCAAATTTCCGCAAGGATTTCTGCTGATCTGTTAAGTTTTGCCTCGAATTCCAAGGCAATTTTACTCTAGTAATACGTCATTTGGAATCGAACATTCGCCTTTTTAAAGGGCCATTGAAGCCCGCTCCCCTCAGAGATCACTTGGATTGCGATGCCTTTCTTATGATCTTTAGTCCTGTCAATGGCTATTCTCTCTCTACTTTTAAAGGAACGTGGAAGGCAACGTTTTTTTGGCCTCAATGTGCAGGGCAATACTAAAGACAGAATAGGGCATTAATTATCCCTCAAAAATCTTCCTCAAAGTATCTCACATAACTTCCAAGACACTGAGGACAATATCCAGTTTCTGACCCCAAATCTCGGGGGATTTTTTCCAGTGCTGCTTCGTGCCTGCGACCCAAAAATTTCCAATCACATTTCGTCGCTGTTCGCAACTCCCCCATCCCGATTTGTGCCCTATTTTATGACCCATCATTCTCCCAGGGGCTACTGTAATCTCCGATCTTGCACGACCCTTTGCAAGCCGTTGTTCTGGCGCCCCGATTTCGTTGAAGTGCAAGATCCCGGAGCGTACAAAGCCCCCGATTAAACCCTCACAGAAACAGAAAAGCGAAGAAAGAAGTAAAACGAAATCAGAGGGGTCCCCCGATCTCCCGTCGTTTCCCTAGAAGTGCGTGGGTTTTTGGGTGGGCGCTTCTGGGGTGAGATAAGGGGGCAAATTCCCCCGATTTCTCTCTCTTTCTTTCTCTCTCTCTCTTCCTCTTTCTCTCTCTCTCTCTCTCTCTCTCTCTCGCATCTTCCGAAACCCCCTCAAAGTTTTGCGCCTATCACTCGGCGGCACTTCACCGAAAACAGCCCGATCGGCTCGCCACCTTCGAAGTTTCGCGGAAAACCGATTAGGTCTTGTCGATTGATTTTTGATATATTTTGGGCTGTTATTCCACCCTTTATTTCAGCTTTGATACCGTTTGCACATTTCATGGGCTTCAGGGTCTAAATGACAGTATGTAAAAATTGGGAATTTATGTGTTTCCCTTGATCAACGTTGGACCAGTATGTTTTCTGGTTTCAAAATAAAATGGCCGTAATCTTAGAAATTTATAATTGCCAAATTTATTTTTATGGTGTTTGCAACCCCACTAAAATTAGATTCCACTAAACCGCACAGTGATCTGCACCTAGGAGGCAAAGCGGTCATTTTTTGATTTTCCGGTTTTTTTTCTAAAGGGCCATCGAAGGTACGCGGTTGGCTAAATTTTTTGACGGGAAATCCCGGTTCCCGGCGCTTTCCTAAAAACACCCATTCTATTCGCGTGCTTCTAGAACGACCGGTTAATTCCTTATAGTCCAAATACACCTGAAGGCAACACCCACGTGCCGTTTGTTTTGCTTTTTCCCGGGTCCCTTGGGACGAAACCATTATTATTATCCAAATTATTTTTCACACCATTCTCTGCACAAAGGAAAAAGGGAACGTATTGGACCATCGGGGATTATAGGGGGGATTAGCCCGAAAGATTCTATGCCTCGACGACCACCAGAAGCTTCTTGGTTTGATTTTGCACGCATCAGCTCGGATTTTGTTAATTTCTCTTGCTAATTGAATTCATTTTGGGGTTTAATAATGTTAGTTAGGTTGAAGTATTAAGAAAATGGTTTTTACGCCTTTCGAGCTTCAAAATTTGGCTCTAAATGCTCTAAGTGTGACATTCGCATCAAAAGCTTGTCAAAAATATTTAAGCGAGCTAAAAATGCACAAAAAAACCCCGAAAATCGAGTTTTCCGTGATCTAGGTCTCGCCAGCTACGCGTAATTTCAGAAGACGTAAACGAAAGCTTTTGCACATTTGCGCCGCGCTTTTGGTCATGCCCTTAGCTTTAAACAAAATTAATATAGTTTATTTTGTCGGTGTCATGACCTAGTCAAGCTTCGGGATTAATTTCCGGCGCTGCGTTGTCCCTTTAATCTTTCCTAACTTACCATCTGGTCTCCTTTTTCACTGCATTGTCATTATTGCACATTCCCACCCACCGGCGCCATGCAGCACCGATGCTGATGGTGGCAAAATTTTCGCTACCATCAGCAGAGCAGCGGCTTTTCGGGCTGATACCGATGCTTTTATTAGCTGGCTAATCTTTACAATGGACGACGGTATCGCCTATTCTAAAACCGGACCCCGATCGGGTACGGCCAGTAAACAGCCCGGATGTGTTGTGACCTGGGCACGGTTTTCTTCCTTGTCTTCGTTAGCTCCTCCCACTGGGGTGATTGCTTGTATACGGTAGTCGCATTTTGCTCCCGGGGTTGAACTGCTTGGTGTCGTCCTAGCTTCCGACAGCATCTAGCATCCGACCTATCGCTTTCTGACTTGGAGAAGGTACTTTTTCTTACTTTTCCAATTACATGCCAGATTCGAAACCGAGGCATAAAGCATCCTGGATGTTTTCTGGCACCATCCCTTTAAATATCGTATGCTAAGAACTGATTTTTAAGCTCTACGATAACTTTAGTTGTTACCGTCACTCTTTCCCTCTCTCATTCGTTCTCAGGCGCGCTCCCTCTCCCTCTCTCTCTCTCTCTCTCTCTCTCTTTCTCTCTCGCATTTTCTCACTCTGTCTCTCTCTCGCTCTGTCTCTCATCTTGTCACTTAGGCTCTGGCTATCGCTTGCCTCATCTTTTATCTCGTAGTCATGCTCCTCAAATCCTAATTCCTTGCCAAATGGCCTCTTCGCGAGATAGAAAGTTGTCGAGACCTAGCAAGGGTCGTAGCCGAACCTGAGTTTTCCAAGCTCTTAAGAAAAGAACATTTCAAGGTTACGCGCATCTTTATTTTTCTTAGTTAATGCTTATTTGATTATCTCACTCCGTCCCTTACTCTTTCACCCTCTCACCCGCTCTCTCTCTCTCTCTCTCTCTCTCTCTCTTTCTCTCGCTCTTTCGCGCTCGCTCTCGCTCTCGCACTTCGTCTTTCTCGCTCTCGCTAGCACAGAAAGAACGAGCAGTAAACAAACCTCAGCATTTATTGACAACGTGCTCCTTCCGGAGCGACCTGCCACGCTCCTCCCCCTCAAAAGCCGGCCCCTTTTTAGGGGGCGTACTGTAGGATGGGGTGGGCGGTTTGATAGCGGTGCCCCGGGCTGCCAGATCGAGCTTGTTTACGCCGAAGAAGCCGCCCTTCGCTCTTCTCGATTCCTTGACGTTTGATCGGCAAATGTTGTTCTGGAAAAGTCCTCGCTGAGCTTTCGACTTGGTGCTTATCGATTCTGGGGTTATTCGGTTGGGTTCGTTGGGCGTATGGTTTCGTAGGTAGTTCCGACGTAGTCATACGGTAGGGGTTACTGCATATTTTTTAGAAATAGGAATTTTATCAAAGCGCGGACACTGAAGTTCGCCTCGACTTAAGCTAGAGTTGGCAACAGGAAATTTGGTGAATCCAATCAAAGAAAAATACTTTCGTATGGGCGGTCTTTTATCCTGTCCACTAGCATTTTTGTACTTGATGCTTACCAAAATTTTCAGATGGGTTTCCTTCTAATATCTTTTTAGTCTATTTTTGGAAATAATCCTAGTTACGAAAATATTTGTATTTCAATTTTCTAATACGTCTTCTTTTGAAGTTGATCGCATCATCTCTCTCGCTTCTGATGTTCTTTCTACCGTCTTAAGCTAATTTTCGGTTCTGATGCTGAATCAGATTATTTTGGCTTTTTGGTCAAGGTAATTATCTTCCCCATTTTTTTGAAGTCTGCTCTGAATCATAATTATTTTCCGCTCCGCTCTCTCGTTTTCCTACGCTTTCCGCTAACATATTAAATCTACCATTTTCTTATAGCCCACAAGCTATGGGTCAACACGAGATCGAGCTGCCGATCATTTGTGCTGGCGTTCCGCAGCACTCCTATGCCTTCGAGGCTGCCGCGCTGCCGACAAAAACAGTAATTGTGTACGCGGACCGGGCTGAGGTGGGCTACCAAGCACAAGCCGAATTTTTGTTGTCGTTTGGATGTCTAGACGAAAGTTCGGACGCAGAAAGCCCCCATTATCAGAAGTATTGGGTACTTTCCAGGTCAAGCGCCACGTGCACACCCAGCTTGCCAAGGGCACCAATGAGATTATTATTCAGGTGGGAACTTGGAAAATTAGGTGGTTTTTGGCATTTTTGAGAAAAATGTAAAGGAACGGGAATGGCACTAGAAGTAAAGAGAGCGAGGCCGAGAGCGGCAGAGGGAGCAAGAGAAAGCGAGACAGTGTGGGAAAGAAAGAGAGACGGCGGCCGAGAGCAGGAGAGACCGTGAGAGCGAGAGAAAGCGAGAGGAGAAACATATATCGAGAGAGAGAGAGAGGGAGAGAGAAATAGAAAGTGAGAGAGTTAGTCAGTGAAAATAGCCACCCAGAAGCTAAACTGAAAGTGGAATTCAATGAAGTTGCCATTTTGCATTTTACCTCAAGTCAAGATGTCGCTTCTCCTTTAAAGCTCTCCCCAGCTCAAGAATTTCTGTTCAAAAGCTTAATTTAACCGAAACCCTACGATTAATGTGTCTTTTCTGAGCTTTTCGGGCGTTTTCTGTAGACGCTCCTAATACCATTGATAAAAACGGCCATTTCGCTGGCTCAATTCATACCGATTTACTAAATTGCCCTCCATTTCTTGTTCTTTGCTCCCCCATCACGCTGACTCAAATGTCGAAATATTCGCGGAACGGAGCGAGAGAGATTGGGTGGCGCCACACACGTTGCCTTTCTTGCTTGCCCGAACGGGGAAGGGCCTTCGGATTCTGCTGTGCCATGCACTTTTCCCCCTCGGAAAGCCCAGATTTTTATGCGGTTCCTGCGGCAGGGCTTTTTCTGGTTTTACAGCCACCTCACCCTGGGCTGTAAAAGTAGAAAAACTCTTGGGGGAACGTTGCGAAGGTCGCGGTTAGAAAAAGTGGACAGGGTTGGGCAGTGATTGGGGGTAGGCTTCCGAGGTGGCAAAGAAGATTTGTTGAAAAATTTCATAAAACTTTGAAAACGAAAACTGCAGGATCCTTTAATTCATAGCAAGATAGCAGAGATCCTTTGATCTGGGGCCAGTCAGTAGAATATCTTTGAGGTTACTTCTTCTTAGTTCGCATTCTAAAGAATTGAATATAGCGACCACTGCTTGACTTCCTCGAGGTTTCAATGATGCGCATACCACCATAATAAGCAATACAATGCTGGGAAAACTAGCAAAGATTATTAAAGAAAACGACGTGGCGCCAAAGAGTACCCGGCATTTTTAACGAAATTTAATAATTGTATGCCACTTTTTCTCATAGAGCTCATTTTAAAGCTGCTGGCAAGGCGTCCTTGATGCTAGCTCGTAAAATCAAGGGAATTTGCTAAAATCTCATCCTTGCGCCCCCGCCTTCATAAAGATCCACTAGGACTTAATCAATCCCTTGCCGGTTCCTTTAACAAGGGAAGGTCGTTTGGGTCAGGTGTCAAATCGACTTGAAACTTTTCCATTGGATAGAAAATCAAAAATAAAGTGGAGTTTCTTAATCTCATTTTTTGCACAATACCCCAAATTAAAAAGTTATAGGCCTCTGAAGTTACATAAAAAACCAGGAAACGACCCGACAATTCTGACCTGGTCCTCATTGTGGCCTCCCCCTTTTCAAGCCCTTGCGTCGCCCGGACTGGCAAGCTGTTTGGCGCAGTAGGTAATGCCGTGGAGTACGAAACTTTTTAAATTTTTGTAATCGAGTTCAAGTTTTTGTTGCGTTTAACTTTTTGCTTTTTGGATTTTACGCCAACTAACCCTAATTTGCAGGAGCAAAAAGCAAAAAGCAAAAAGATAGAACGGTTGTAGTCTCGAACTTTTGTCAAAAATTTTTCAAAAGATTGTGAGTCAAGCGCACTACCGACTGCGCTACAAGAGACGTGGGGGAGTGGAGACGAGAGAGGGTCAAGAAACCACCGATGAAGAAAATGTGGCAAAGGTGCCGTATTGGTGGAAAAGCCTGCGCAGAACTCATTTTTTAGACTACAAACTTAAAATGCTTATAACTTTTTAATTAGGGGTATTGTGCAGAAAACGACTTAGCGCACGTTGTTCCGTTTTCAATTCTCTATCAACTGGAAAATTTTCAGAAAGATTGGACACCTGACCCAAACGACCTTCCCTTGTAAGACCATCATCTCGAAGAGCTCGAAGTCCAGTTCCCTAACGATCAAAGCCCAAACTGGCCTATCATCACCCCGTTCCGCTACCATACTTGTTTTTCATTCTCTTTTTGTGCGCCGTAAGCTGACACCGGAGATTTTTCCTCGGGCGGCACCCTAAAAAATGACCACCCGGGGGCGCCTCTAGGCCTATGAGCGGCCGTCCGGCAAAGTGTTGATAACGCTTTCAACGAAAAAGCCGCGGGCCCCTGAATTTTCGGGGTGAAGCGGAAAAAAGCGGCAAGCAAGGGGAAGTGGACACGGGGCCAGGCACCGGGCGGTACTGTTTTGATATCAGGTTGACAAGGGAGTGTTGAGGCTATGGTCATAGCTTCTGGGTATGGAGAAGCATGGGGGGTCATAAAATAAGGCGCCAGGAAGTTGGGGTGAGGGGGTCGCAAATTAGGAAACACGCGTGCGGAGAAGTTTGGCTATGGACAAAAATTAAAGGGTTTTTGAAGGCAACGATAATGATGTGAGATAGAGAGAGAGAGAGAGAGAGAGAGAGAGAGAGAGAGAGAGCTAGAATGGAGAGCAACTTCAAATCAATTTTTTTCAGAACGTCTCCGCGGTCATCGAACGCCAATCCGTACGAGTGGATGGCAACGGAGTACTCATCCAAGAAGTGCAGTACCAGGAGATGCCCATCGATACTCTGACCGAAACGGAACGAGTACGTTACACGCCTATTTGCAATGCCTTAACACCGCGCCATCGGATGGTTTTTGCTCTTGCATTTGATCGTTAGATCCATGAACATCGGCGAATTTCAGGTGCGCACGCTCGAGGACGAGAAGTTCGACTTGGAATCCAGGAAGGCTGAGCTGGAGGACGAGATCGAGTCCCTCAAAACGAGGGCGGAAGTTTTGGATGGAGTCGCTGGACAGGTAAGTGCTGGTGTGAGCTCTTTCTCTCTCTCTCTCGCTCTTTCTCTCTCTCTCTCACTCTCTCTCTCACTCTCTCTTCCTCCCTGAGAGGCTGTTAATGAATCGTCTTCAGATTGCATCTGGCTCGAACTCCCCCTTCAGCTCTCCGGATATGTCACCACCCATGGAGCGTCCAATCGAAAGGCGGCATTCTACAAGTAAGAACTGAGAGAAAAGCGATTGAGAGGGTGAGAGAGAGATAGATAGAGCGAGAGAGAGAGAGAGAGAGAGAGAGAGAGAGAGAGAGAGCGGTACCATAACAATTCCGGGTGCTTTAGACCAAATCACCTGCCAAATCGGACAAAAGCCGAGCCCGGCCGCCTGCATGAACTTCCTGATGGACGGGGATTGCCTAAAGAATTTGGCGACTTTCTTAACTTATTACGGTATGTAAACACGACAAAAAAATATTGTAACAAGTCCTTATGATTTTTAAATCCCATTAACCATGAAATTTAAGGCGAAACCGTCCGATCCCTAAAAGCCGAAATGCGCGGGAAGCAGCGAGAATGCGAACGCTTGCATGAGCAAATCGAGCACCTGGAGCGCAGGATTGATCAGCTCAGGTTTTGATGGCGTAATCGATTAAACCTAGATCATCTAGGTGTGGCTACGAGTATGACTCGATCAAGCGCAACATCTCTATCATCGTGGAGGTAGAGGCAAACAAGGAGGCCGATCTTTTTGTGACGTATCAGGTAAGACGACTTCTAGAGATCAAATTCTAGAAACCTTACCTCCGCATTAAAAAAGTCCATTATCGTATCATACGTTGATACGTTGCTGAAACTGAAAATTTAGCTTGAACTGGAGTGGAAATAGCTCAATGAAAGTTCAAGCTCAAAAATACGTTTACAGGTCTATTGCGCTGGGTGGAAGCCGACGTACGACATCCGGGCTTGCTCGACGCTTGAGGAGGAGAAGGAGAATTCGACGGTCAAGGTAAGTGTAGTGCGTAGATCGTACTCTAACTTTGCCTTAAGCTCTGCTACTACGGACTGGTGGAGCAGAACACTGGTGATACGTGGGCCGACTGCGACTTGGTGCTCTCTACGGCTTGCCCTACAGTAGGAGGATCACCGCCGGCTCTCGGGACGCTGAGCGCCACTCTTCAGAGGCATTCTAAGAAGTGAGATATGATACCTAAAGAAACTTGGAGCAATTAGGATATGTTTTTCACTTAATGCGTTAATAACATAACGCCTTAGCATCTTACCGACGCGCACGGTATATTACTGGCGCGACTTCAGTCGTCTTAAGCCAATCATAGCCTTAAAGTTTAATCAATTGTACACTAATTACCGTATCCGATTCCAGCCTCCGCCAACGACACGGCTCGGCTCGAAGGAAGCCGATCATGAGCGCGGCTAGCGAGGAAGATATGGGCTTCGGGTCGTTCGACTACAACGAGCTAGTCGATGCGGCTGCCATGCAGAGACTGACACTAGCGCATATGTCTTCGGACTCCAACTCTTGCTCGTCCACCCCGTTGGAGACCCAATCGTCGGCTTGCTTCCCAATTGCGCGGCCGGTGACAATTCCGTCGAATGGAATTGAGCACAAGGTTCTCGTTGCACAGGTGAGGAAGATAGAGAGAGAGAGAGAGAGAGAGAGAGACAGAGGGAGAGAGAGAAAGAGCGAGCGAGATCGAGAGAACGAAAGCCAGAATGAGAGAGAGAGAGAGCGAGAGATCGAGCATGAGTGAAAGAGAGGGAGTAAGAGCTTCTCAAGTAGGTACTCAAGTCCAAATTCCAGGTCGAGCTCGGCTGCCTCTTCCGCCATGAAGCCGTCCCCTGCAAGAGCACCTCTGCCTACCTCTCCGCCATGGTCACAAACTCTTCAGGCTTTCCCTTGCTTCCGGGCAGCCTTTCCGTCTACATGAATAATAGCTTCGTCTCAAAGGTATGTTAAAAATAGATATATTTTTTTGAACTCCAAAATTCCCGTAATTTTCCGCGTCACCTCCTGTTTTCCAGAGCCACATCAATTTCGTAGCGCCCGGCGAGGATTTCCGGTGCTGCCTGGGGCTGGACCCCGCCGTCAAAATTGAGTACAAATCGCCGTCGAGGGTCGTGGAACAGGTAGGAAATGGGCGCTGAGTCATAGGATTAAAGGAGCATGAAAGTGAGCGGGAGCCGATAAGGAAAACTGCTTAAAGGAAGCCAGGCCAAAACCTATCCTCTTCCAGGTCGGTTTCATGTCGAAGAGCTCGCTCATCACCCAGGAGCAGATCATCCATCTGCGCAACGCCAAAGTAAACCAAACCGTCCAACTGACGGTCAAGGAGTATATTCCAAAGAGCAACGACGACAAGATCAAGGTCAGTTGGGTATTTTTGGCTTTTCGTTGTCCCTTTAAACAATCTTAAATTTTCGTAAATCTTTTTAAGTGCGTTGTGCTCATTTCCAAGTATTTATTCGTGAGAATTTTGAATTTTCCCAAGTGTCACAGTCTCTTTAACAAGCACGAATTTGAGTTCAAAACCAGTCTCGAATTTTATCTGTCTCAGTCCCTTTAAACTTATTTTTTTTCTTCAGGTCGCCATCGTTTCGCCCGAAGTCCGAGGCAAGGGCCAGGAAGCCCGGCTGAACAAGGAGCACAACCTCGAGTGGAGCGTCACCCTCGCCCCTGGCCAATCGAAGGACCTCTCCGTCAAGTATACGGTAGAATACCCAGCTCACGAGAATCTCACCTACAAGATTTCCTGCTAGACCTGCTGCTTTCCTCGAAATTGTGATTGTTTTGTGTTCTTGGCCTTTCCTCCGAAAATCCTTTCTGTTTGGTGGGAGCATTGAATCTTTGAGGTCGGATTGTTGAAGGATTTTGGCCAATTTTGTAGCTTAAAAATTAGAATCGGGTTTTTGGAAGTGCCACTGCTGTTTTTGGACTTTTAAAAGAATTGAAAAGACAGGAAAAATGGCTTTAAAGGGATGGTGACAGCCATTTTTTTTACCAAATGAACGTGAAGCAATCGCATTTATGTTCCGAAAATTAATTTTAATAGCTTTTAAGACCGTAATTTGCATAAATTCAGCTGTCACCATCCCTTAAGCCAACACGAAAATTAAGATAAATTTAATCATTTAGCCAGTAGAAACCGAACTTAAAATTATTTGAGGAGGAAATCATCTGCCTTAATTTTTGAAAAGCTAATTTGCATAAATTAGGGTTTTCCGTTTCTTTAAATCTTGAAAAATAGTGCTACGAAAGAATTACAGTAGTAAGTATATAAATTTAAATTAGTTGAAGATACATCGAAGTTGATTTTCCATAATAAATTTCTTCTTAAAATTCGAAATTTTGAAAATTCAATGCTCGCATTACCCTCCACCTCGACCCCATTCCAGATGCGCCTTGCCGAGGGCGTCCCCACCGACGAGGAAGAGATGGCCGTTTACCTAAAAGCCACCACCCAGGCGCTGCCCCAAAATTTCACTACTCCGCCCCGAAACCCGGAACCTTTTGGTGTAGGGCGCCCGCGCACCTGCACTCGGAGTTCGGTCCCGGAATGCGCACATTTGCATCGTCAGGCTAGGGTTTTCTAGTACGTTTTAAAGGCGTTGGCAAGGTATATTGGTTATGGATTTTTTTGGCTACGCTTTTTCTATAATTTCCCGAATCGCGAATCCAGAGTTGTGCCTTGCCAGAACTTTTAAAAAGCAACTTCCGGTTTTTCAGTCTTGATTTCCGAATTTTTTCAATTGCGCGACTAATTAAATCCATAATTGAACGATTTTCCCAATTTTACATTTTGCATTCCATCATCTAGCCAGAATTACCATTCCCCTATTTTCTGCGCCCCGACCTGATTTTTACACTTTTTCCGCGTGTTTTTTACGATTTTTGCCTAGCGTTGAAGTCTGAAACTCGTAGCCATTTTAAATATTTTTTTCACAATTGCTTTTTTTGAGTGACTTTCGTATATTTTTTGCTTTTCTGTGCCATCCCAGTTTACGTTCTCCATGATATACCGTGAATAGTGCTTTTACCGGTCTGGCAATTGTGGTACTGTAGTCCTTCTATTTTTCGTAATGCTTTTTTATACCCCATTTCTTTGTGCATTTTTCTATTTTATGAAACCTCGTCTGGGCTAATAAAATTTATTGCGTTTAATTTAACGTTTCTGAAGTCGAAACATGCTAAATCGCAAAACCGCAGGATTTTCATAACGTTGCTACTGGGTTTTTCAAAGTACTGACGCTGGTATTTTGGATGAATCTTGGAGTATTAGAAAAATTTTGTTCGACAAGCAGCGCGAGCTCCCTGGGGAATATAACCCTAAAAAAATTTGCGGGAACTCGTAATCATGAATTATAGAGCTCCTCCTAGCTGAAGTTCGATCTCAAAAAAACAAACGGAAATTAGGAGCGGCGTTCGTGTAAACAACTGACGTGGCGACTTCTGGCTTTTAAGTTTTGAAAAACCATTTGGCCTGGAATTTTGCGCTAATACTTGTGTTCTTCTTGCAAGAAAAGTTGCTATTGATTGTTGCGGCTTTTACCAAATTTTAGCGCCTTCGTTTGTGGTACAACACGGTTTCTCAAAATGTCTAGGTATCCTGCAGAATCTAAGTCATGCATCCGGCAGGTGTTATAAAAACGTGCCAAAAATAGTATGCCCTGGTTTTTGAAAACTGTCGTTTTTCAAATCTGAAAAGAAGCGCCACCTGCCGTAAATAATTTCCGGCACGGGCGTCACCTTAAGAGAGTTTTGATCGCCAATTTATATTCGCTGATTTTCGAATCGTATTTACTTCTAAAGATGGCTATGTTCCCAAAATAAAGAAGAACCGAAGTATCTGAAGTATTGATTACCTGAAATCACTTACATAATCGGTTTTTAATCAAAATTAACTTGCTATGAAACAAATTTTTCAGCGTTCTTGTTTCCAGAAAAACCCACGCGTGACTTTTCCAAATTGCTTGATCCCTCCACAAAAACTACTCCGAAAACGCGTCGAGCTTTGCTTTTTGGGTGTTTGGGTGGGAACTGGGGTCTACGGTGGGATTTTGGTGCATATTAGCATGCGACACACCACGAGACATGCATGACAATTTACATTGAGATGGGAGTCATTGGGAGGAGACTTGTGATTTTTGTATTTTGAGGAATTTCATGTATCCAATGCTACTAGGCTGTTAGTAAGCACCATTCCCGTAATTCCACCACAAAAAACAGCCGCCTTCTCGACATAACAAAAAAAATTGGCAGTTTTGAATTCAGGTCGAAACACTACTGCTCGAGGCATAAACGACATGGACAACCCAATTCCGCCGGTGATCGGCTATACGTTGTATATTGTAATTGGTGCGTTTTGTAGCTATCGTCAGGCATTTTGTCCGTGACGTTTAGAAAGCTAGAAATTTACCATATGAAATATCTGAATGCGAATTTAGTACAATTGCGATTTGGTGCTTCCGTATTATCAGAAGGAACCAACCTTTTCCCTATGATCGCATTTTTCTAATAAACTTAGATGGTTTTGATTTTTTTTTAACATTCTAAAACATAAAAACTACACAAATCTTGCATAAAAATAAAAAAGTACCATTTTTCAACCAAAATTGGCTTAAAATTTGAATTTTCCTTGTATCTGGATCGTTAAATGGATTGTTGGTTTTTCGCTTAAAACAAAGCTACCATCTACTAAATTCATTATTGAAGCCTTTTTAATATGTTACTGGCCATTTCTAGACTCATGGCGCACAACTATGTGGGGCGATCGATCCCCCCACCCGATAATGCAAGAGAACCCTGAGCAAATGTCGATAATTCCCGCGTATTTATAGCGTTTAAAAGCTCTAGCTTTGCTAAGAACCCTTGAGTAGTAATTTTTAGCAAGTATCGTGATCGTATGCGACATTCCGTTTATTGGGATGATTTTTGGCAATCGACATTTGAGGTGGGTTAGTTTCATTAATGCATCCATTCTTATTACCCGGAAAACGCAATCATGATTTTTGGTTGTTGGTCTCATTCTATCCGATTACGACTGGTAAACATTTTCAGAAGTCAAAAAGAACTTGTGACGCTCGGCTTTATGTGCATAGCTGATACCTCACACGCTATAGCTACCCTCATGGCCGGCGCTTTTCGTTTGTATGTGGCGCTGGATGAAGCCGGTATTTTTAAACATTTCTTGAAAATTTGTATTTTATAAATTGTTTTGTACGATTTCTCTTGTACGATTTTCTTAGGTGGTCAACCGATTCAAAATACCCAATGTATTGAATACGTCTTTCCTGCATTATTCCTATTTTCATATCAATTAATGGGTGCGGCAACGCTGGCTGTTTCTTTTGATCGGTAACTTACAACTCAGATATTTTTTAAAGGAATTAATTACAGTACCTAAACGTTTTCAGGGTGATTGTCGTGATGGATCCGCTCAAGTATCGAAGCCTCACCAATAGCTTTGGTTTTTCTTTAATTGCGGGTACACTCCGGTGCTTTTATTACCAAGTTTTTCAAGCACAACATTTTGCAATTTTGATTTATACAATTTCTTTTGCAAATTTTAACGAAAAAAAGAATCCGCTATCAAGACCTTTTTCAGGCATCTCCACCTACGTCTCCATCGTGGCCGCCATTTTTGTGTATATTGTACAAACCGGAACACCAACCGTCAGCTCAGCATATTGCCTGACTTCCGAAGCTTATACACCCGGTATCTGGAAGTACATGCTATACTTCCGGATGAGTACGCTTGTCATTAGTAGCGCGCTGTATCTGCCGATTACTTGGAAAATCTTTAAGGTAATCTCCGCTTGGTTTTTCTGCAGAAGAGTTGACCAGAAACCCTCTGAGTCGATTACAAACTTTGCAAAATAACCAATAAAAATTAAGGCCATGAATTTAGATCACCAGCACACTAAAGGCGGGCCTAACTGGCGAGACGTATACACGGAAAATGATAAAAACAACGCGGACTATTGGTAAAATCAAGCTTTTCCTTAATATTTAGTTTTTTGAGGTTGTACGATACTTTCCGAGTTTTTCCTGGTCGTTATCCCGGATATTTTCTTGAACTATAATCCCTTTGGACTCGCGAGATATCAGGTCGTCTGGTACAACTGTCATGTGGCGAAAGGTTAGTCACTACCGACATCGGAAATTGAAGGCAACCTGGCAGAGATTCTTGGGAAATTTGCGTCCGACTTGTCTGCAAAAAAAGCAACTAGAACAGATTATTGGGGAAAATTCGCTATTTATTCGTAGTAAGCCCAAAACATTTTTAGGCGCTGTTAACGTCTTCCTCGTCACGCTACAACACGAGGAAATGACAAAGGTGCTGACGAAAAAATGGAGACGACGATCAACACTCGCTTCTACACGTATTTTTTCGAAGCGCAAATCACGAATTTCGCAGAATGACGCTATTTTCCAGTGGTTGCCACTACCTCATCGCATCCGAAATCGCCGAGATCCGGGTCTGCTTATTAAAACAACAACACATTATTTGGCCTGTCTAGGTCCGCTCTAACTCTCTCTCTCTCTCTCTCGTTCTCTCTCTCTCTCTCTCTTTCTCTCTCTTTCTCTCACTCTCTCTCTCTCGCCCTCTTTCTTTCTCTCTGTCCCTCTCGCTATCCCTTCCTCCCTCACATTTTCCTTAGTGCCCTGAATTTATAAAATCGGAAAATGAGTTTGTTTTTCGTAGAATAAATGTTTTTCGGAAAGTTAATAGTAATAGATAATATCGTTTATTTTGTAAAAAAGCTTGCTTTAATTTCAGGTGGACGCTTGGCCACCTGAAGTTACACCATTGGCATAAGTAAATCGTAGACCTCCTCACACAGATGATTGACGATGCTCAAGTCTTCTGCGGCCGCATGAACACGATGAGCACGGCCCTAAGTGAATATGATACCAAGGTGTCGTAAATTCAGAATTCCGAAATTCCATGCATTCTTATTTTTTAGAATGTCGAAATCGAATTTTGACTTCTTCATGAAAAATATTCCGGAAAATACCGGAGAAGTATAAAAATGTTTTACATGGAAATTTTTTCATTTAACAACATACATAACAACACTTTAATTTTCGACACTAAGCCTAACGATATTATGTAAATTCAACACTATGAAATTTTGGCATTAATAAACTTTCGAATTTGAAAAACATGGAGTTTCGACATCCGGCCATTTCGAAAGAAGCCAGAGAAACCGAGCCCCAGGAAACTGGCTCTCACATCTGAAAAATGCGTTCGAACGCCAGGAAGCCGTCGTTTGTCATGATGCGAATTATTGAGATGTGCGTCCAGTCCGGCAAGGACATTAGCCAGGGGAAGGCCAGCCTCCAGATATTGGAGAACCAGTCGACCATCATCTGAACGATTTTTTGTGTTTACCATTTTTAGCAGCCGCATATCACCTCCTTTTTTGCCGGGAGACGCTTGCTCCTGAATCATGGTTGGAGTCCTATGATTTGCCATCACAATGTCGAAAATCAAAATGCTGAACTATGAAGTTCTCCAAATTTTTAATTGTCGAATTTTAAGAATGTCGAGATTTCAAAATATTGATTTTTTTGCGTAGGATCTGTGAATTTTGATGTTACAATGTTTCGGCATTCTAAAAACCGGCACAAATTTCGACATCATGAAAATTCGGGGATACTGAAAATTAGAAATCATGGAATTTGGACCCTATGAGTTTTGACGCGACGAACTTTCGAAATTCAGAATTTCGGCATTAGCAACTTAAAGGTTATGAAATTTCAAAATCAGAACATTTCCGCCGCATCAAATGCCAAGAACTCGAAATTTCGCCATTATGACGAATTATCCGACCCACCATCCGCCTGATTTTCCAAAGCGTTGTCAGGTCGACGGCGAAGGTGGCCCAATACACGTATCCAATAAAGGTACTTGAATACTGCATTATCGGGAAGAACTCTGGGTTCCAGCCGGGTTCATAAACCATCATCAGTTCACCGACACTGAACCAGTAGCCCCCACGGCAGATGTGACCCGTTGCTTCATCCCTAAACGAGGTGATATCAATGAGAGCGAGAGTGCTGGAGAGAGGGTGAGAGCGAGTGCATGAGATAGAGCGAGAGAGAAAAAGAATTTTTACGAACATAGAAAAATATTAATCTTTGAATTGGGAGCCTACACCCTATCGCCGGAACAGGACAGCTGAAATCCAACTGGGATTATGAAGAAGAAGCAGATTTGCGGAATCGCCAGCCGCTCGACGCTTTTGAAGAAGTGGCCGTCGAAGTGGACGGCGAAGAACCTGAAGTAGCTTGACTTAGGCTGGGTATCGGCTTAGCTTAGGCTTAGGTTAGGCTTAACTTAGGCTTACAAGGGAACCTCAAGTTGGCACGGTGGAGTTTCGAAAAACGCTCGCGGCTACCCCTAGGTTTTCGATTATGGCGATTCCAACGCTGTAGTCAGAATTTCCTAAATAGGCCTCTGGACAGAGATACAGCACTTCCGGAAAATCATGATTTACATCCGAAAAATTAGCATTAGGGATAGGTTTATGAGGCTCTCCCATCACTCTGGAATCACCAGTGGAATGGCCGAGTGGTAAGCGACTCGCTTGATAGAATACTGACGAGGGTACGGATCCGCTCGCCATTTTCTATTTTGTTTTGTGTTCAGAATTTTCTGCCCAACTCCAAGTTTTGGCTATTTTTTCGAAAATTCGTTCTCTTTCTAAAATGTCTAAAAGTATGAGCAAAGTATGAGCAAAGTAATTAGAAAAAAAATCTTGTCCGGTCCATCATAGAAACTCATTTCTAAAAAAAACGGAAATGAGAACACCGAGCCGTTCTATAAAAATTTTTCGAATTTTGAGACTACTTTGGAGCCGTCAGGCAGGTTCAGGGGCAATAATCAAAAAGTTTTCCTATATTAAAAATGAAAAATTGGAGTTGGGCAGAAAATTCTGAACACAAAACAAAATAAAAAATGGCGAGCGGATCCGTACCCTCGTCAGTATTCTATCAAGCGAGTCGCTTACCACTCGGCCATTCCACTGGTGATTCCAGAGTGATGGGAGAGCCTCATAAACCTATCCCTAATGCTAATTTTTCGGATGTAAATCATGATTTTCCGGAAGTGCTGTATCTCTGTCCAGAGGCCTATTTAGGAAATTCTGACTACAGCGTTGGAATCGCCATAGTCGAAAACCTAGGGGTAGCCGCGAGCGTTTTTCGAAACTCCACCGTGCCAACTTGCGGTTCCCTTGTTAGCTTAGGCTTAGCTTAGGCTTAGCTTAGTCTTAGCTTAGGCTTAGCTTAAGCTCATGAAGCCAGAACATGAGAAACCAACCGATTAACCGTCAGCCCAGCCGACAAGAAGCGTACCGTGTCGGACACGCCGATATGATAGCTGGTGATCAGGTTGTTGAATACAAACCCGCTGAACGGGGAATTCTCCACGTTGATGCACCACCACCTAAAAAAATACATGGTGCGTCGGGATCGGCTACCACTCACGTAATAATACAGTGCACTTTGAAGCCATCAAACAACGATTCAGTCGCGCGGATATAGCACACAAAGAGAAGGAACAGCCTGGAGCCGAAGGACAGCTCCTTCTTGCGGTAGATGACATAAAAAGCATAAAGGGAAAGCGGGAATCCGATTACTCCGAACTGAAAAATATCTTTTGTTTAACGGCGGGAACTCACAATGAAGAAAATGAGTGCGGCGTACGTGTCGAGCTTTGGATCACGGTCTTGAGGCAGTTCAACCCATTTCTCCAGCCAGGGTGAGCCGGGAGAGTGACAGCCTCCGTCCCCTATGTCGTACTCATAGTAGACGTATTCGACGTTACTGGTTGGCACATGGCTCTTGTAGATGTTGACGAGGGAGCCGGTCATATGCTGAGCGTTCAGAAAAATTAATGAACGGTAATTAGCCGAGCTCGTTTTTCAGGTAAGATAGAAAATTAATCAAATCAAAATCTCAAGAGCCGAAATACCGACAGTTAAAATCCTGATGGGCTAAACTCCCGAAAGCCAAAAACGCGAACGCCCCAAACGCGGAAAGCTATAATCGCAGGAGGGACAGAAAAAACCTAAAAATGCAGATTATAAGAAACAATTGCTGAAACCTATAACATACTTTTGCATCGAAAACGCCGACAGACAAAATCGACATCCAAAATAGCTGTTTAGTTGGAAGTGGCCTTCAAACTAGCGTCAAAAATATTTGCGGGTTTTGCTGTCGGTATTTTGGGTGTGGGAGTTATGCCTGTCGGCATTTTGAAATTAGAAAAATAGAATCGATAGGGAATAGAAATGAAAAATCGACCCCGAAATCCAAGAACTCAAAGGTCAGGCCTGTGCAGCTCGTGAGAACTCCTTTAAATCGAAAGCCAATCGCGTAAATTGCATTCGACGGAAGCCACAGATGTCGGACGCGTTTCAAATGTAGCTCAGTTTCCCACAAATAGACGCCACAATTACCGAGTTATCGGGCGCGATAAAAAGCCTGTAACAGTATTTTATCCGGCGGGGGGGCGAAGTGGTAAAAAGTCACGTCTGTCTTGTCGTTTGTCGCGTCGACGACACTGTTTCCCTCTGCGGACGGCTGAACACGATGAGGATCGCCCTAAAAAGCAATTTCTTTTACTGGTTAGTGAACGTTTTTAAAATATAATGGATGGGCTGCTACAAAATACTTAAATAATCCAGTTTCGAAAAGTTGTTAAACATTCAAAACCTTCAAAATTGATCCTCGGCTTTTGGGGGTACTAAATCATCAACTATAATAATTTTCTTGACGCGCCCGGCCGTCCGCCCGTCCGTCCGAAGCCGAATTCAACTCGAAGGGCAGGAGCTCGAGCTTAGCTCTCTTCGGATTCGGATAGAGCGCGGTCAGAAACCCCCAAACTGATAAAAAATTATGAAAAACTTTTAGTTTAAATTATTAAAATTAGCTTTGAAAGTTTTTCCTTCGTAAAAGAGGTGGGGACGAAGGTTGGAGCGATTTTGGACATAGTGAGCCAGGTGGCGCGCGTATCGGCGAGGGGGAGGGAGCGCGGGGGGTAGCCCGATGTCCAGCGGTTTGCAGCGGCGAAGCCGAGGGAAGCGGCTGGTTTGGAATAAACGCTCGACTTACATGTGCACAATGTACTCAAGATAGGTAGGAACGTCGTTGACCAGTACTCTGGCCACCGAGATGTAGTTCCAATCATGTATTACGTGAACAAGAACGGGAAGAGCTAATTTCCACAGGTTAAGAAGCCACTCCGCGAGCATCTAGACGACGCAAGTGGCAAAAAGCGATAGACGAACCAGTTTCAACAACCTCAAGTCGCCACCTTTCTTGCCGGGCGAGGCTTGTTCCTGAAAAAAATATGAATTTCTTGGCCCGAATTCCAACTTTTTCATCGCTTTGCTCGATCAGCGCTACTGCTTTTGTTCCCTGCAAACCGCAACGCCTGCGCAACTGCAGATCCTAATGCGTCGCCGTTGGCGACTGAGTCCACTGGTAACCGCGAACCGCAACGCACGCGCAGACGCATGCGCCGCAACCGTAGTAATGTCTCTGCGGCGATACGCAATGCAGCCGCAAGCGTAACTAGAATTTTTAAGGCAGCGAGAAGCCACAGAATTTTTTTTAGCCCCAACCATTCCTACTCCAGCTCGGACCACAATACACCCGCAAGCGCAGCTCGGCTACCCACCATCTTCCTAATCTTCCAAAACGTCATCAAATCAACGACAAACGTCACCCAATACAGGTACGAGATGACGATTTCCTGGATGTCGATGATCTCCCAGAAAACCGGGTTCCACACGTATAGGATCGCCAGGGCCAGTTGGGCAGGGCTGAAATAGATGCCACCATGACAAATGTAGCCTGTGTGCCTGTCTCTACAAAAATTTATAATTGAAAACAACTATATTTCTTCACATAATATTTCCGCTCATCGCAAACCGCATCGCAACAGGTATAAAGAAGGACAAGGTAATTTGAAATAGTGCCGTTTTCTCGACCGTCTTGTAGAAGTAGCCGTCGAAGTAGACGGCGAAAAATCTGAGGTACAACTTAAGCAATGTTCCGTCAGTGCCGATCAAGCAAGAAAAAGAGAGAAAGAGAGAGAGAGAGAGAGAGCGAGAGAGAAAAAGAACGAAAAGGTACCAGAGATAATAGTGATATATTATAGAAGGTGTGAGCCGGAGAGAGAGAGCGAGAGAGAGGGAGAGAGCGAGAGAGAGGGGGGGGGTGAGAGAGCGAGAGAGAGAGAGAGAGAGAGCGCGAGAGAAACCAACTTCGGAAAGTGAAGGGAAACCGTAGTTCTTTGAACACTTCGAGCACGTCTCGACTTACCTATTGAGAGCAAGCCCGGCCGTCAACCACCGCAATGTATCAGCGACGCCTTGATGGTAGTTCGAGATAAAGTTGTTGAAGAGAAAGCCGCTAAATGGAGCGCGCCGCAAGCTTATGCACCACATCCTGAAAAATACGTATCCAACGATGATAACATCACTACGTTAGGCTACACCACACTACTCGTCGCGTTACAAATTGATCGGAAAACCGTATCTCTAACCCACGTCATCACGCAGTGTGCCTTGAAGAAGCAGAACAAGGATTGAGTTGCCCGAATATAGCAAGAAGAGAGTAGAAATAGCTTGGAGCCAAGGGACAGCGCTTTCTTACGGTAGAGGAGGACGAAGGCGTAAGTCGACAAGACGAACCCGATGGTGCCAAACTGAAAATGGGTAAACTATGTATGCTTTTCAAAGGATTCATGTGCGGTAAAGCCTAACATGTTGGCGTTTTTGAGTCATCGCGGTTTGGCGTTGAGACCAAGCCGATCTTGTGCTGAATTTTTGTGCTGATTCCCAGTCTGTTTTCAATTTTCGCTAAATAGCGCGCTTTAAAAAACCACAGGTATTTTAAGGTTATTTTTAGGTCTGCGTGAAGTAAAAACGTAAATGACACAAAAAGCGAATGTCAGAGCTTGCTTCTTCTTGGCGTTCACTTACCAAAATCCAGATCAAGATAGCGTATGTGTTGATCTTTGAGTCCCGCTGCTCGGGCATCTCCATCCAACGGTTTAGGTAAGGAGAACCAGGGGAATAACAATCCCCGTTATCATAGTCGTAGTCGTAGATTAACTGGTCTGATCCGAGCATTCGAATTGACAGTAAGGATCCGGTCATTTTTGTAAGTAGTAATTTTCGGTATTTTAAGTTCTTCAGGAATCACGTAATAAGTTGCTTACGATAGTGTGGGTGTTAGGACAAAAATATTGGATAAGGCAGGTACCAAAAAAAAGGTACACCCCCCGGTTCTTCAAAAGGTTGGCATGTAACCGAAATTTCCCGCCGTTAATCTGGTGATCACGGAGAGCGGGGGCAGTGCGTTCTAACGTGTATTTTTCGCCGTCCTGGCCCGAGGTGCCGAGCGGTGAACATTTAGGAAACGTAAAATAAGAATAGACAGAATTTCAGAAAACCAGATCAATTTAGAGGATCAGAAAGGGCAAAAATTGATCTCTTCAACTGACTGGGTAGCAAGTGTAGCTACGCAACATTCCAAAAGCGACGCTTTAACTAACACGAGCTCGGAAATATTTAGACATTGATTCTATTGTAATTTTTCATGCGTTGAGGATAAAAAGCGGCAAAGCTAAAAATATACTTCAACGTCATTTGGTTATAAACGGATCTGTCAAAATCTGGTCGACACTTGAGGCCGATTATCGCGTTTTTCACGTCTCTCAACGCTCCCGCTTTCAAAACTCCAGCAACTTATCTTTTGAGTGTTTAAAAAGGGTCAATAATTTATTTTTGTGTTAATTTATCCATTATAACTTTGTCTGCATCGTAGAGATCGAGGCCACACGGGTGGGTTGGTTGAAGTAGATGAGGACGGCGCTAAAAATTTAATTCTTCGTATTGTTGCCATTATCTTACGCATGCAAGACGTTATCAAGAAAACGTGGTACTTCGTTAGCAAAAAAATTGGTCAGCGGGTAATGTATAAATTTTAAATATGGCCATGTAAAAATGAAGCAAATGTAGAAAATGTCAGGAACGTGAGTCGCTACTATCTAAAAGTGCAAAAATTAATAGCAACATCTATTCTTCAGGATACCATTCGGATTAAATGTAGATCGACGTTTTTCTCGCCCAACGAAGCTTGTTCCTGAAATTTAGAACATCGTAGAAATTTAGGAAAAAAACATAGTGATAAATTTTGGTTTTTGCAAAAATCATAGGTTAAATCATGGATTTTTGACACTTATTCCCTTTAAAAACATGACTTACCGTATTCCATACTTTATAACAAGTTGCAGTATCGATTAAGCATGCGAAAATAAAGAGGACTTTCGCTACGTAAGAGGTGTACTTTGCAACATCAAGTAATGAGGAATTCCAAGTCCAAAACAACACCGGCTCCAAGTCATTCGGACTGTAGTACGAGCCACCATAGCATTTGTAATTTTGCTCAACGTTTACTACTAAATATAGGAAAATAGTCAGAATAGTAGTTAAATGAAAGTCCGTTTAAGATTATTAAACTTACAATTCCCAACTTGTGCAACGTTTACCCCGATTAGGTACAGTAAGAAGATTAGCACAAATATAATCGCGAGTTTATCGATAATTTTTGATGACGGACCTTCCAGAAACGCGGCAAATAATCTTAAAATATAATTAAACGCATGTTCTTGCTAAGCCGTAGTTAAAAAACCTACTTGCCGCCCTGAAACCGTTTTACCAATTCAATCACGTTAGGATGTCTAAAAACCCGAAAAGATTACCTATTAAGAGCCAATCCAAAAGCTAAAAGACAAACAACATCGCTCGTTCCCGAATTATAAGCTGTTAATACCGAGTTGATCAAATACCCGCTGAAGGGCTCGTATTTTGTATCGACGCACCACCAGCTGAAAGTACATTTGACGTACAAAATTTTATAACCTAATTTGATTGACTTTAACATGTAAGTTATCCACGATTTAGTTTTTTTGCCTTTTTGCCCTCGTAATGTTCAAAGCCGTTTGTGCGCTTACGTCAAGATACAGAGCGCTTTATAGAACAGTAATAGGCTTTGCGTGAGACGACAAAGACAGTCGGTCAATAATAACAATTTGACACCGATTGATACAGATTTCCGGCGTACAATTAACCAAGCAGCGTACAAAATTACGACGGATGCAATCGCACATCCCTGAAAACGATTATGACAGCTTAAAATGTTTAAAAAATTGTATTTTTGCGTGAATTCGAAAAATTGCATACCATAAACATCGACATAACAATATGCGGCTCGATAAGATCATTTTTCGTGTCTTTCACTGGAAGTCCGCTCCAGGTAACTTTTGAACCAACTGGATTCGTAGAATAATACCCGGCCCTTGGGTAGCATTGGCCAACGTCATCGATTGAGGGCAAAGGCGTGGTGGTAGTGGTGGTGGTAGCTGCAGTCGTAGTCTTGGTTTTCGGCATTAAATCCGAAATTCAGGGCTATTTTCTCAGGGTGCAAAAGCTGAAAAGCGCACGCAGCTTTCCGACCGGTCGAGCTGTATTTAATCCCATTTTCGGAGCAATCTAGCGGAACTCAGGATGGAAATTGGGTTCTAGCAGGTCAATTTAAGGTACGGAACTTGTTGAACTTGTCAAAAACTATCGATCATATCCATTTTGCTAAAAAGTTTGTACTCGCCACTAGAGAACCTGAGGGAAACTATGGACGCTATCATAGCATACCGTTTTCTCGCAGCATCAAACCGGTTTCCTCCTACCTCCCGCTTTGTCGCCCTCTCACTCTCGCTCTCACTTTCTCTCTCTCTCTCTCTCCCTCTCACTTTCTCTCTCTCTTTCCCTCCCTCGCTCCCTCTCTCATTTCCTTCCACGGTTTTCCCTGCAAAGGTCACGATGGAACAGTGTAATCATCGACTAATCAACGACAACACCAAACATGCTGGCAAAATTCATAATTCCAATACTCCTACCACTTTTGGTGCTTTCTCAAGATAATCCCTTTGAATTTGAGTTCTCCCCATATATCTATAAGATTTATAAGTTGCCTTTTAAGCAGGTAAGCCTGATTTTTTGACGTTAGCGAATTTTTTAAGGACAGCTACGCCCAAGATTGGTATGGCCAGGACGTGGCGTTGATTCAGGTAATATCTTATTAAAACCTTGGTGACCGTCAGCTGCACCAAAGCATTTTAACTTAAAATATGCCAAAAAGTTTACAAATTCTCGTGAATTTTAGAGCCCGCTCCTTTCACCAATAAAACAATCTAAACCCGGTCACCCGCTGCCCCTCCCTACGATCAGACCTTTTACGGTTAGCTGGTGAGTGACTTATTTTGTCTACGTCCTCTATTCTTACGATAGAAACTCGCTAGAGCTCGATTTTAAAATGCCTGGAATTCTGAGGAAATTTTATCTTTGTTTTCCAGGAAGCACCTCGACGACACCAGCGTCAACCTCGAAAATAACCAAAACTTTGAGAAACGCATTGACACAAAAGTTTGGTGGCCCAGTTAATCGCACGGCTTTTTCATGATAATTTTTTTTGTTTCTTTTTCATTGTCAACTTTTCGTGCTCATTTTGTAAAATAAATAACTTTTTTTTTCAAGATGGCACATGAACTTCAGTTTTTCAAAAGTAATATCCAACAAATGTGGTGATATCTAGAAAAAAACCAAGAAAATTTATAAAAATTACGAATCATGGTATGATCAGATGGATGGGATCTGGGATCAGATGGCAAAAAAAAAATCCTGAAGTTACTCGGGTCGGTGCATTAACAACAGTTACGTCCGATCGTCTGGATTTTGGGCATAATCTTCAAAAAAACCCGAATTTCTGGCACCGGTATCTCATCTGGGTCTTTTGCAGAATTGCTCCAATTCATTCCCTCGGAACAAAAGTTCAACGGGACCGCTCGAGCCGTCGGGGCCGCGTTAAAATATCCGATGAGGCGCCGCCGCCGTGGGCGCTTGAAATTAGGCAAATTAGGGGGTCGTATTCTCTCTATCTCTATCTTTCTCTCTCTCTCTCCCCCTCTCTCTCTCTGTCTCTCTTCTGCAGTGTATTTGTCTGTCCTCGCGCACCCTGCGTGTTGGTGCTCAAATTAGTTTCGTCTATCCGAAGGGCCCAATTAAAGGGCGATGCGAAGCGCGCGCGGACTGGGGCGTTGGGAATGAGGCCATACTGGGCCCTTCACAGGGTAAATACACTGATTCTCACAGCACACCGGAACCCTCCTCAATGATCCCCTGGGGCCAAAGGGCGCCTTTAAGCAATTTGAAGCGAACTATGTACCTTTAGGATATTGATCTCACTTCAGAAACCGCTCTGAATCTCCATTAAATACCAATACCACCTTCTTTTCATATTTATAATTTTTATAAATACATTAGTTTATTATCTCACTCTCCTTTTCTCACACTCACTCTCCCTTTCTCTGTCTCTCTCTCTCTCTCTGCCTCTCTCTCTCCAGCTTGTAATAAGCATCCATACCTAGCGCAAAGCTCACTGTTATTTTTGCGAGTTTGCAAAAACCTTTCTATATTTGTTCTATACGTCAACACTTTTCACATAACTTTATTATTAGCATATCCCTTTTCCGTTTCTCGTAATTTGGCGCTCACCGTAGCCCCGAGCTTCCAGCAGCTGTCGCTACGATTAATTTGGATGGCAGCTGAAAATGGGTGCGCCGTAGGGTAGCGCCTGATTCGTATTGAGATAGTCCAAGTAGGAGGGTCGACTCGTATCTTTGGTATTTTTGGAGTTATGTAGCTGTTCTCGGAGGGATCCATATTTTTCAATAAAATACGGTAAGAAGCCCTAAACTTAGATAGCGATTCGAAGTTGGCATTTACCGATTTTCTATGGACTTAAAGGACTTTTTGTCCTTTAAGCGGAAGTACACCATTTTTAGCTAGGCAGTCCCTAAGCGATCAGAGAGGTGTGAAAGGCATTGCCTTCTTCTGTTTCTCCTTCCTCTTTTTCTTCTCCTTTTGTTCACCCGCGCCAGCTTACCGATGCAAATTGGCTTTGTTTCCCCCGCTAAGGTTTTTCG